TCCAGGGGGAAATGCGCAGAGGTTGACCTGACACGGTATATTGCTAGCAATGAGACTGGTAGCCCGCATTACTAACGATCCCTTTCCCCCCACTATATTTGGGTTAATATTTCATGAATAGCATTTCTTGTTAATAACATCAAATATGTAATAATTTGAATATCATATCAGCTTAACTGATTATTGCTTAACATTAATTTTTGTATTGTTATGGCACACGCACAAACGAAAAATTGTATTTAGCTTTATGTATTTTTTTTTTTAAACATTTATGTTATCTCGCTTTTTATGTATATCAATATATGTTGTAACTCTATAAACCAACAACACACATAGGAAAGAAAGGTGTAGACCACATTGGCTATTTAATGTATAAAATGTGACATAATAAATTTGATGCTTCATCCAGAAAATGTAACTTTTTAATACAGTACATTAGACTTTTTTGCTAATGTATTATTAAATATATATAATAAACTGTATTTTGAGGGGGGAAAGGGATTGTTAGCAATGGAGATTTTCAATGTATAGCAATATACATATAATAAATTTGACTGCTTCCCCCAGAACCATCGTGAACAATTTTATTGAATTCGTCACGATGGGCTAACTGACTTGCTTCATCCTCATCTATCATCCTTCACTGGTGCCCTGCCGGTGTATACCGTTAGCGCAGGCGGGATTACCATTCCATTATCAGAGGGAGACTTTTACAAAAGTCGATTGCTTGGCAATATGTCCCATTCGTGTTTCAACCGTGAAGCAGTTGTGTTTGCATGGCTGTGTTTCGGTTTGAAGGGTTGTATATGGCGAGAATTTACTGGGTACAGAGGAATAACACCTAAGTCCTCAGGAATGGCAACTGGGGGGTATCATGGGCCAGTATACTCTGTTATGTCCACGGTACTGCTCATGTGTATAGGCGACGGTTACCACTTTCCATCAGGTGGGCCGTCAGCTTGTTTGCCATTCTAAGTTCTATAAAAAAAAAAAAAAAAAAAAAAAAAAAAACACCCATTAAAAAAAAACTGTATTTTGAATAGATGATCATAATATAACCAGGGTCAATATATACTTTGACTGCAGTGAAACACATAATTCCCATGAGACAATATAAAAACTCACTGTATGAACATATTAATATTACAAATGAAAAGTTTGTAAGGATGGACGAATGGATGTTTATTACACAAAAACTACTAAACGAATTTGAATGAAATTTGCTACACTGGTAGGTTATATCTTAACTCAGCACATGATACTGTACTTACTGATTCACGCTGGATAAAGTTTGTAAAAACATGAGATAAAAAAATAATATTAAAATATTATTTGTGGATCCAAAAAAACATTTGCTTCTAAGAATCGATTATAATTACTAGATTAACTTCAATTCTAAAAACCTAATTGAATATTATATATCCTTACATAATATTATAAATATGAAAGTAAATTTGTTCTATTGTTACCATAAGGTAACAAATAAACAAAGTCTTAAGTTGTTCAACAAATCACTATAAAATTTGGTATACATATAAAATATGGAACGAGGAATGAAGTCTACTTTTTATCCTGCGATAAACATGTGCCAGTCACACAGACAAATTCACAGCATGTATTACAATAAAAATTACCATGTCCTCTGTCACATGCACCATGCAAACAATAATATGCAGAATATAAAGCATAATTTGAAAGAAATACTCTTATACTCAATTCCTCTGGGTTCAATACATCCCCATATCAAATATCATCAAAATGGATTCAGCCATCTTGATTGGAAAAACAAATGAAAGGAAAACAAACAATTAATCAAAAATAACATAAGTATTTATGCTGTGTTAGCCTTAATAATCCTAGTAAATATATTGAATAAATAAGGTCTAAATTTAGATAAATTTTGATGCTGGCAGATACCAGGCAGGACATAGTAAAACAAAATATTTAAGCTGGCAGATTCACTGAGTAACCTAAAAACAAACAACGTTAATGATTTAAAGTAAACGAACTTGAAGTTCTATGGGAAAGACAATTAAAATAAGAGTACATCATAAAATATGAATTATTAGTTAATTAGCTTAGAAACTATAACAGAGAAAAGTACTGCAAACAGAAGAAAAAAAAAGCAAAATACCAGGTGTACACATACACATGACTATTGTACATATTTTGCCTACGATAGGAATTGAAACCATGTGGACATGAAATATTAACGAATGTTGTTTCTTTATGTTATTATTATTAATAATTATTTATTTTAGGCTACTATCCAGTTCCTAAAGAGAAAGTATCAATTAGGCCTTATTCAATCTATCTTTTATTACGAATAAAAACTGAATCAACAGCTGATTAGTTTTCGACGAAAGTTTGTGTAAAATCATAACATAAACTATAACTATTACTTACATAAACCAATTTTCTGGAACAGTAAATATCTCCACAGTTATTTGGTAGTGTATAACTTTTTTTGTAGTAAGTGTAGCGTAACCAGAGTACCAGACAACTTATAATACCAAGAAACAAGAGATATTTGATTGAATACTTGCATTTGAATTTAAACTTAAATGTGCGACTGAAATAGCTATATTCGTAAACGACGATGAAAACGTTTTGATACTTGATAATAACTAAGTGTTGTGAAAGTTAGTGAAAATTATAAACTAAACTTGTACAATTGTGTAGGAATTTACATACTTGTATTATATTTGTATAAAATAAAGGAAATTGATTGTCAATGAAAAAAATATCACTATATATACCTTGTCTATTTAATTATTTTTTTCAAAAAGCTTGACTAAGCACGGATCTATTTTCGCTTGAAAACAAAGTAGACAAAATAGTTCTGTCATTGTCCGACAGGCAGCAATTATGTATGCTTGGCCCAAGTGCTTTAATCATTTATGGAGCCCATTATAACTTCGAAATTTTCAGTAAAATGGTATTCAAAGGCAGAATACTTACAAAGTAAAATATAATCATCACTTCTTTTTAATCACAATACGAGTCGTCTTATATTAAGCAACTATGGAAATAAAGCGCAACATAAGTGCAAAAACAAAAGGAATACTTACATACAGAACAAAATTATACAAATAGCAAATAGCTCCATTCTCCCAGTGACCTCTTGAAAGAGTGGCGTATTGGTATAATATTTAAGAACTTATCAAATTAAAACTAGAACAACCCTGAAGATGTAAAGTTAAGCAATGCTGATATAAATACTTAAAGTAATTATTATTAATATACTAACTAGTATTGAAATATGGAGCAGGCATGGAGCAAAAATGGAGCAGGCGTGGAGCAGCAACATGGTGTTATTTATCTTTAAGAAGGACAATAATATCCTATTAGAAAACTATATCCCTTCTGAATCGCATCTACCTACTATTTTCGAAAATCCTGACCAATCGTCTTACACGCAAACTCGACGATTTCCAGCCACTCGAACGAGCTGGTTTCCGAAAGAGCTTTAGCACCATAGACATCATACATACATTATGGCAAATTATACAAAAGACTGAAGAGTATAATCTGCCTCCATGTCTGGCGTTTGTGGAATATAAGAAAGCCTTTGATTCAGTCGACTACAGTCCCTCCAGCGGTACCAGATTGACTAGAGGTATATCGAAGTGTTGAAGTGTATGTACTTACTGTGGCCACGATGTCTATCCAAGTACAGAATCAAAGTACGAAACTTATTCCAGTGCAAAAAGGAGAAAGACGGGATGAAGTCATATCCCTGAAGCTCTTCACATCTGCATTGGAAGATGTTTCCAAACTCTTGGACTGGAAAAGATATGGTATAATTCGCCATTGATGTTCTTAAGATGAACATGGACAAGACTAAAATGATGTCTAACGTCCATGTCACACCTATACCGGAAACGATTAAGAATACTATGCTCGAAATTGTCGACATATAAGTATGTAAGTCCAACTTCAACCGATGAATCCAACTCGGCTAGGCAACCTACGGAAAACTACGTCACAACTTTTTTCAAAATACCTCAAAATTTGAAAAGGAAGATTTTTAACCAGTATGTGTCGTCAGTGACGACTTATGGAACTGAAGCATAGTCCTCCACGATTATCTATATGCAAAAGCTACAAATTACTCAAAGGACTATGGAGAGAATCATGCTCAGAATTTCTTTACATCATAAATGAGGATATCCACAAAAGGACCAAAAATAACCGACATATCCCGAAGGATTAGCAAGCTGAAGTAGCAATGAGCTGGTTACATAGTTCGAAGAACCGATAACCGATGAGGAAGAAAGACTCTTGAGTGGCGACTTCGTACGAGCAAACGCAGTGTAGGACGATCCTCCCCTCCACAAGATGAAGTGACGACCTCAAATGCATTGCAGAGAGTCAGTGGATACAAATAGCTCAGAACCGTTCCTTATGACAATCCAAGGGGGAGACCTATTTCCGGGAGTGAACGGATATTGACTGAAATGATGAAGATGATAACTGAAACGTGAGAATTAATTTTAATTTTATCCAATAGTTATCAATTAGCAATCGCTAATTCTAGAATATTTTTCAAAGAATTATCAATAAATATAATATTCACTAAATTTATTGCGTGTACGTAATAAAAGTATGGTAAAAAGATCAGTAAGAAAATATTGGTAGTGAGTAAAATAATTGTATAAATATAAAAATAGAAGTACAAGACAATGGATGATATTATCTGGATTGGAAAGAATATTGTATTATTATATTAATTATATTTGACAGAGTATAGCATTAGGAGCTGTTTTACAAAATAGTGCCAACCTTTTTTCTTTCTTTCGAATCTTAAAACATTATTTCCCGAATAGAATTTTTCAACTTAAAAAAGAAAATACTCGATTAGAATATTATTAGTTCAGAATTATATATATTCTAATTAATAATTTATGTTCAAAATCATGCGCAGATAAAACCAAAGTATCAAAACTGTTTTTAAATAATTTATAACTTATTTGTTATCGATGTTGCCGTTGCCGGTCATATACGTAACAAACCACGTGGTTGCTGGTCCATCTGAGATGCTAGCTATCAAAACTTTATAAGAGGCCATATTTCTGGTGTACAATTGTCGCGCGATCCCCGCTGTTCTGCAAGCTTGTCACATACTTATTCGCTCCTCAAACTTTAAGAAATCAAAAAATGACTCAACCTACGGAAGGTAAGGGAATTTTTTGTTTACATTTCCACGCTTCGCATTATTTATATTAACCAACCAAAAAAAGAGAACCTGCTAAAACATGACAATATAAGACATGCTAATATTTACTTTAGCCGTATTATAACTTGAAGTTTATAACCTGACTTTTTTTGCCGTCTCGATTATAATGAACGACCTTGGCCTTCGTTACGTACAATTTTTACACTGAATGCATGTCTTTATTATTGAAATGTCTCTCAATTTTCCATATTACACTAAACGAGTACTCAATTTAAATAATATTTTACGGTGCTTCAAATGTTTAAACAGCACGCATAAATTAAATATACACAAATTACAAATTGATATTTTTGCTTTTTACGGAAAGTCATAGAATTATTTAGAAGGGGCCAGGTGGGTTATGTTTACCCCAGAATCGTCTGGTACCCACGCCAGGATGCAAGCAAAGCTTCCTAAAGTCATGTCTGAGTAGATGTGCGCCTTTTTTAAGGGACAAAATTAATGTTTTAATCTCCAATGATTAACGGACAATATTTCGATCTCGAAAAATATATTATACTTACTAAAATTTTATCCCCGGCTGCATTAAAGATTAATTCCCGTTTAACTTTCTACTTATAACAAAATAGTTAACATACTTTTTTTATGATTATTAAGGAAATCAAGTAAAGATACTATGTAATTTACGTTTCAGTCGGTGGTTACAGGCTCGGAAGCCTTATTATTGAGGGCAAAACAAAACAAGTGTACGATCTGCCAGATGTACCAGACCACTGCTTGCTACTTAACAAAGATAGGATCACAGCTGGAGATGGAGTAAAGGCCCACGACTTGGAAGGGAAGGCAGCAATTTCTAACCAAACCAATGCTAAAGTTTTCGACATATTGAAATCTGCCGGTAAGATTTTTTTTTAAGAATTAAATTGGCTGTACTATTGATACATTGACAAGGTAATCATCCTTCATGGTGATGACCATGAACGATGATTAATAATAATGAAGGTAAGTTCCTGTAGAAGAAATCAACATGAATTAATTATAATATTTTCCAGAGAGAACCGGATAAAAGTCGATCTGACAGAGTATATTAATAGACATGGCTCTGTTACATACTAACAAAATCCCACCACAGTAAATTATCTACCATATTTTTTCGCCCACGGCATATATCAAGTAATCTACTATCTATATTCTATCCCACAATAATTTAAACAAAATTAATTATATTTTGATTTGTCTATCACTTTACATTTGTTGTACGTTGAGACTAAGAATAAAATATAGATGTCCTCTTCAGTACATTAAGATTAAACGAAAAGCACACTGCATCAGCCGTCGTAACAATGCATGTACAATTTGCACAAACAACCGATCAAGATTTAGCAGTGCTTTATAAAAACGGTCCGTTTTTAAAATAGCTTTTGAAACAGACATAGATTAAGGTTAACGCTTTTTGGTACCTAGTGATAGTCTTTGAGTCTTTTAAATTATGTCTGTTCTTATGATTATATTTCTTAATTTGATATATTAAAAGTAAAAAAACCGATAAATAATACTAGATAATAATTACATATTTAATTAAGACCTTGACATATTTAAAAAAGCCTTGTAATAGCTTGTAATAGTCCTTGTCAACTAAGATTCTTTATTTTTGAAAGGAACATATTACACGATTAGTAACAAAACATTTTTCTATTCATTGTCCTAAACGGAGTTGCCAAGTTTTATTTGAATATTCACTGAAAAAATATGTAAATAATCAGTAAAATTCTTACTATCATTTCTAATATTATAAACGTCAAAAGTGAGTTTATTGCCTTTCGGTGTCTTAATAGCTTAATTAATTCTCATAAAATTTGATCACGCAAACGAACTCAAGGGTAAAACCATAAATAGCTACTTGGCATATGCCTCTCATCTATCCAGTTCTCCTCTTGATTAGGCGACACTGTCATTAATCGTGATAGATGATCATGCTTAGTTTTAAAAAAGAAATATTTAATATTGTCTGCCACGACAAAAAAGTTTAAATTTTTAATTATAAATTTACACTTTGTTATATCAACCTTTAATTGTCCACTGCTGAACATAAAGGAGGGAACATTGAAGGGTTCCAAGAGGGAGACAGATTGGCAACAGCAGTTAGGCTTTGGAGACATTTTAAGAGGGACGCTGCTGCCCATCTCTCGCACTCTCTTAATCACCTCTTTCGACACCCATGGGATGTGAAAGGGTGGCTTATTCTATGCCGAGACCACACGGCTATACGACATTAAAAAAATTATACTTACGTCTTTATAATGACTATTATAGTTGATATACCTACAATGTCAAAAATAACTAGTCTATGTGTAAGATAATAAAGATAAGGTGACGAAATAATATTATTGTTAGTTGTTCGCGCCAAGATGTAATTTAGTTATTTTACCGAGTATTTACTGACCTCAGGGATCACGTCTGATAATTCTACTCGAAGATTAGGTACTGTTCCACGTAAGGTCTTTTGATATTGCATAAAATGTGAAATAATAATATCTACATTATCAATGTATTATTTATGATTGCCTCTGATGGATGACCTTAAAAAACAAGCAATCAATATATATTTATATAGGAAAGATGTAATAATGTAACAAAATGATAACTTGGGTCATTATTTGATTATCTTATACTTCATATTTATTTACCAGTCATTCACACCGGTTGCCTGAACGTCAAAATATGACGAAATCAGACATTAAAATAACCGAGAGCGCAATTCAGAATACCTATAAAACTTATAAGTGTAGGTTTCTGAAATTGAGCACTTTTATTCTTTGCCATGCACGATTTATCGTGAACTTTCACGTTATTATCGTGCAGTTCTACGATACATTGTGCAAATTCATCTCTGACAAACGAAATAAAGTTGAAGGTATTAGTCGACCGCAGCAATTATAAAGGTTATAACTAACATTTGTTCTGTTACTTGATTTTATGATGAGAGTTACGTGGATTTATAACAAAAAGCACACACTTGTGGTACATTAACAATTTATTTTCAATAATTTGAAAAATACTGAGTATATGTTATCATAAAATTCTTCATTTTAGGTCTCAAAACAGCATACGTTAAATTAGCGTCACCCACAGCATTTGTATCTAAAAAATGCGAAATGATACCAATAGAATGGGTCACACGCAGACTGGCCACTGGTTCTTTTCTAAAAAGGAATCCTGGAGTTCCAGAAGGCTATCGTTTCACTCCACCTAAACAAGAAACGTTTTACAAGGACGATGCAAACCATGACCCACAATGGTCTGAGGAGCAAATCGTTGCAGCTAAGTTTAACATCAACGGACTTGTCATTGGTTCGTATTTTTTTTTCTCGCTGCCAACAACGGTGTTATAGTCACACAAGTAAATTTTTATATATTACGTATCGATTATGCTTTTCTAGTACAAGTTTTAACCATTTTTATAATAGAAATGTATAAATAATTTAATGAACAATTTTGTGTTTTTGACATTTACTGACAAATATTTGTGTACTCTCTCTACTGCTTTATATTAATTTAACTAGGACCGTAATTCTAGGACTAGAAAATTATTTGTATCCTTTTTGCAGGACAAGACGAAGTTGATTATATGAGAAAAGCTAGTATTCTCGTTTTTGAAATTTTGGAAAAGGCCTGGGCACTCCGCGATTGCGCTCTCATTGATATGAAAATTGAATTTGGAGTCGACTCTAGTGGTACGTTATGTTACTTGACTAATTTACAAATTGAAGCATCATCATTATAAGTTCAGCCATTATCTACTGCTGATCAGCGCTGAGCCATCGATCGCACAATCTAGTGGGAGGAGGGCGAGATATTTACTCTACGCAAGCTCCCGAAACTCGAGAATCTAACTATCGGTTGTCACTATATGACCAGCCCATTAAAAATTTAGCATGTCGATTATTTTGTTGAAACAAGCGAAAACCTCGATTACTTATTTCAAACTTATCATGTCACATAGCGCAACTTTGTTTTCTTACTTTTGCAACAGGAAACATCTTATTAGCCGACGTGATCGATTCGGACTCTTGGAGATTATGGCCATCTGGTGACAAAAGACTGATGGTAGACAAACAGGTTAGTACTAAGTAGTATAATACGTTCCATAGTTATCATTTAATAATAATTACTTGATGATTTGTGTAGGTCATTCACGAAGCACGTGTAACTTAAAATACGCTCTGAATTTCACAAATTTGGAAACAAACATAAAATTTTGTTCCTCTTTTGAGCCAAGATACATATCTGTTTTCGTACAGTACAAATTGTCTTAAAATTGAATACCAGAAGTTTCAAAATAGTTAATTGATAGTGATTAGTGACTGGATTCTAAAATCATTCCAATTTAGAGTACTCTATGCCTTCTACCAATCTAAAATTATTTCAGGTTTACAGAAACTTATCTACAGTAACAGCTGCTGATTTGGATACCGTAAAACGCAATTTTTCTTGGGTGAAAGACCAGTTAGACTATTTGAGGCCCAATGTTCAACATAAAGTTGTAGTGTTTATGGGCTCGCCAGCAGATCAGGAGCATTGCCAGAAGATTGCTAAAGGTAACATGTTTTTTCTTGTTACAATAATAATTATAATACTGGATCCAAATATGCTGTACTCTGCGAAGGTTCGAAATAACACGATAAGTGTGGCATAAGTAGTTGTTTTTTTATATAAATGGTCTAATGTTCGCGCAAATAAAAGCTACGAAATCTTCTTTATCTTACCTTATCAACTCAATAACGTCTCAGTGCCAGACATGGGTCTCTTATTTTTAGAGAAAAATATTAGTCAATTATTATGAATCTAAACAAAATGCTTCGTATAGGAGATTATTTTGATGTTTTCTTCCTTTGGACTTAAGTTTTGTTTTCACTTTATTTCTTTCATCTCTTACAACCGTATAGGCGAGGAAAATACTGTTGAAACATATTCGCATATGTCTCTGTAATAATATTATAAAAAGGAAAAATCTGACAAAGTTCACGCAAAAACGCCACGCTTCACCGTTTTATTTTATGGAAAGATAAGAATGGGATAAAGATGTTTAAAAATTATTACTGGAATGGGTTCACCTAAAAGTAAACTATGAGAAATAACTAGTTAATAAAAAGTAAAATTAACGCAATTTTAGCTGCCCGCGAGCTTGGCCTCAACGTTGATCTGCGAATTACATCCGCACATAAGGCTACAGAAGAAACTCTTCGAATAATGCAGCAGTACGAAGACACCCACGGTGCTTTGGTATTCATTGCTGTCGCTGGGCGGTCTAACGGCCTTGGACCTGTGCTCTCTGGGAATACTTCATACCCCGTTATCAACTGTCCACCGCCATCGGATAAAATAGTTCAGGTGCGTAATAATGATGCATCATCACCCCATCACATGGTCATAAAGTACTGTTCTGAACTAACCACCTTATGTTGTGTTTTAAAATTCATGAATCAAAAAATATATAGATAATCTTAACAAACTAACATTAAAAATCCGAAAATGTAAAAAGTTATCTAGCTCTCTCTCTTTGGCTGTCAGATAATCAATAAAAGTATTTATATTTTTTTTATATTTTCCTTTCAGGATATCTGGTCATCATTATCAGTGCCATCAGGTCTCGGTTGTGCAACAGTTATTTATCCAGATAGTGCAGCTCTTATAGCCGCTCAAATAATTGGGCTCAAGGATTATCTTGTTTGGGCACGTCTTAGGGTAAAACAATTAGAAATGGCTACAGCATTGAGGCAAGCTGACCAAAAATTAAGAAACTTGACTGTTTAAAATGATGTTTGAGTAGTTTTGCAGTTGCCAAGTTTATAAATTAAGCCATTCTGTTGAGTCATATCAAGAAATAAATTCTTCCTTGGAGAAAGAATTATTACAAATGTTCTTTAAGTACTATATTTTTTTGTTATAAATATTTTGTAATGGAAGTCTGAATAATATTATTTTGTACATCAAAATATATATTATTATTTTTATATGATAATTGTTTTTGTATTGTGGTAAATAATTTCGAATGAATTCTCGAATATATATATAAATACATTCCAAAAGTGTATGAATTTATTAGATACCTATTTATATATGTATAGTCTATATGCCTACAACATTAAAATATAATGTTCATGTTATTTGTACTAATTTCATTTAAATCAATCCTAAAAACAATAGTTGCAGTAGTTATGCTGAAAAAGAAACATATACATCTGTCTCTACTTAGTAGTTAAGTAGTACGTTATAACATGTACAGAAATCATAAACGTAATGAAAAAAGTTACTAGAAAATATTATAACTTACTTAGTTCAAGACATAAATTAATTACAACTGTGTATGCTAAAAAATAATAACGAATTTTATCATTAGAAGGGAAAATAATGTGTAAAGCCTCATAAAATTCATATAAAAACATAAATAATAAACTACTGGAATGAACTAATATGAAGCTACAAACAATTTGCAAATAGTAATTTAAAATAATTTTCCAATCATATGCTGCTTATTTTTATATCTATGGCTGCCATTACTAAAATTCATCAATACATTATTATTATTTACCTATATGCAAATCCAGATACTCATTAATATACTCTCGATAACAACAGTCCTTTTCATCGTAGTTGGATAAATAAAAATTATGGCAACATTAATTGCTGCCGTCAAATCAACTGTCAGTGAGTCTAAATTGTCAACTGTCAATCCATAATTTGCGATTCAGAATTTAGCAAATGTTTAGAACGATTTCGCAACGTACTCGTGTTTTTGCGTCTCGTAATTGTTTAGTTTTAGGTGCACCATATAAATTTATATTCAGTAGCAGAATGGCGGAAAAGAGTGTGGATTTTACAAATTCAAACAATATAGAGAGCAAAACTCCATTTCTTATTGGGGTAGCTGGTGGAACTGCTAGTGGCAAGGTAACCTCAAATTTTTACAAGTTATTGATTTTTCTGCTTCGAATATAATTACGTAATTTGCCACCGAAGAAGAATTTTTACCTGATGGGTATTTTGTTTAGTGGGTCCTCTTATTTCCTTACAAAATTTTAATTTGCGAAAATTTTTATATGGAATTTAAACTACAAACAAAGGATGTTTACGAATTGTCAGTATGAATGTTGGGCTAATCTCGCGATAGTACTTTTATGGTCAGTGCTTTAGTGTCTTGTTTACTAATGCAAATTTATTACTTTACTCCTTAGGGTACCCACTGACTAAAAATTCAATCTGTTAACAACAACACCTAAGGGTATCCACGAACTCAAATTATACATTGTTATACCCAATATTAATTAATTTTGTCTTTTTATTGGAATTTAATATTTAAAAGTAAGATTTTATGATTTTATTTCGATTTATTGTGTACAAACACTATTGCAAGGTAGTAGTGCTTTTAAGTGACACACTACCTTTGGAGGAAGTATTACTTATTAATATGATGTAAATTTCTAAGAAGTAGTGAGAACATCCCAGGAAATGGTATTTCACCAGAGGGAGACTTTGTATGAAAGTCATTTGCTTGGGCACCCATTCATACTTCTACTGTAAAGCAGTTGTGTGTGCACAACTGTGTTTCGGTTTTAAGAGTGGGATATGGCAATGAATTTACTGAGTACTGAGAAATAACACCTGAGTCCTCAGGAATGGCAATGCATGGGAGGTATCATAGGCAAAACAGTATACTCTGTTATGTCCATGGTACTGCTCATGTCTATAGGCGAAGGTTACCACTTTCCATCAGGTGGGCCATCAGCTTGTTTGCCATTCTAAGTTACATAGAAAAAAATGGTTTTACTTCTGATATACCTCCTTAAGTTGATTTCCCTACATATATATTTTTTTATACTACTATGGTAGCAAACAAGCATTTGACCCGTCTGATGATAAATACCATAGCCTATGGATGTTTAGCTTCATAATTATATTGAACTACTTAATTAAAATAACTAGACAATTACCCTCTATTCATAAAAACTAAAACCTTCTACAAATCTATTTTAATTGCTACACTGTTTTGTTACTTTCATTCTAATAGGGAATTTAGTGTAAAAGTAAGAGATGAAACAATTCAATAGATAGAATAGGTTTATGAAATGTTTGACATTTTTATAAATGTGGCACAAATTTGATAATATGGACTAGTTTTGTGTCCTAATATGATGGGTGTTCCTTTTAAATGCTGGACTATCATTATGTTGATATCTTATTAATATCATAAGATAATGTAAAATTATGTTTGTTACAAGATTTTTTTTATATACAACTTAGAATGGCAAACAAGCTGATGGCCCACCTGATGGAAAGTGGTAACCATCGCCTATAGACATGAGCAGTACCGTGGACATAACAGAGTATACTGTTTCGCCCATGATGCCCATATGGGAAGAAAAGAAGAATTACTTTAAGTGGATTCCGATGCCCCCATGTGTTGCCATTCCTGAGGACTCAGGTGTTGTGTACGTGTTCCTCCGTACCCAGTAAATTCACGCCATATCCCACCCTTCAAACCGAAACACAGCCATGCAAACACAACTGCTTCACGGTAGAAACACTAATGAGACAGAGGTACCCAAGCAATTGACTTTTGTACAAAGTCTTCCTTTGTATGCTGATGCACACTGTCAAAACTACAGGAAACAGATAATTATTCATTATGGTTTTTATTCATAGTTACAATGGCATATGGTGGTTATTATGTTAATGTAAACATATATTTATCAATGTTTAACATAAATAAAGTATGTGTGCCCCAAAAAAACTGAGTTCAACTAAACCATTTATATTGACATTTAGAAAAAGTTAATAAATGTTGTAATAAAATTAAAGGATATTTTGGATCTATGTTTTAATAAATTAAAAATATTATTAAAAATACTTATTGAACAAAGCCTTAACTATAAGTAGTTATTTGGATAACAAACATGAATGGTGTTAGTTGATATTGTATGAGCTTTTTAATGACCTTGTAATTTTAAAAATAGTACAATTTAATATATATATATATATATATCACACAACACAACAGTGTTAACAGATATTTAAAAGTGCTTGTAAAAGTCTATTTGGATAAAGATAATTTGAGTTTGATTTAGAAACGAAATTATTAAATCAATTTCATAAAATTTCGATGCAACTATTCTGTAAGTATATATCATATCTATATTTATATATTTATCAGATTAGAATTGAAAGAGACAAACATAAAAAAGGACAACCAAATTGAGAAACTCCTTCTTTTTGAAGTTGGTTGAATATATATATATATGATTCATCTTTTATAGTCAACAGTATGCCAACGTATCATGGAGAAACTTGGGCAACAGCACAAAGAGCAGACAGAGCGGCGGGTGGTATGCATCAGCCAAGACTCCTTCTACCGTACCCTGGCGCCTTCAGAAAGGCTCAGGGCCGAACGGGGCCAGTTCAACTTCGATCACCCCGATGCATTTGATGATAAAAAACTCCTGTCTGTGCTTAGGGATATTCTGGCGGGAAAGAAGGTCGAGGTGCCAGAATATGACTATATCACAAATTCCATCAAGTAAGTTGTTATTATTGCTCACAGATCCGTTTATTGTTTGATGAGCTAAGGGCTTTTCACAAAATAGATCATCAGTTTACTTCTTTTTTTATACCATTTAGGTGGCAAACGAGCATACGGCCCACCTGATGGTAAGCGGTTACCGTAGCCTATGTACGCCTGCAATACCAGAGGTATTACGCGCGCGTTGCCGACCCTGAAGAAACCTCTTTACCCCTCTTTTAAAGAACCCCATGCTGTAGTCTCTTGGGAAAACCTCGGCAGGGATACCTTTTTACCATTCCTTTGTCATCCACGTGAATAATTAGTTTCTCAAAAATAAAAAAATAAGTTCAATTGTGTCAAAACTAGTTATTTCGAATTAAAACTTAAACTACTGAATTTATTTTGATAAAATTTCTATAGGATCAATATATAAAGCATATTCTTTCTGATAAAAAAAAAAAAAAAGAATTTTCCACATCAGTTTATAATTGACTGAGTTATGAGGTAACAAGTATGAAAAAATACAACGGAAGGACGAACTTGAGAAACTTCTTTTTGAAGTTACACACTCACTTGCGTCGCGACTATTGTCGACGCCCCAACCCTCCTATTTTTGGGAGAGCCTTTGTTCAGCAGTGGACAGTTACCGGCTGATATGATGATAAGTACTCTGTAATTTACGAGATAAAATAGCAACATCATAGTTATAATACATGAGAGACATTATGGGCGTCACAGCATATCCTGTGCTGTTGTTTACGTGTGTAGGCGACAGTTACCTCTTTCCAATAACCACCAGCTCGATTACCATTCTAAGTTAAATAAAAGAGCTAGAGTCAGTGTAATGTGTAATCTTGCAGCCCGCATCGTTCGCACACAATCTACCCGGCGGATGTGGTGCTAATCGAGGGCATACTTGTCTTCTACTTCCCGGAGGTGCGTGAGCTGTTCCACATGAAGCTCTTCGTCGACACGGACTCGGACACGAGGCTCGCCAGGAGAGGTAACCGCTTTTTACTTAACATTCTTAAATTACCTGATCATCGACCTGGTTTATTGTCTCAATATCCTTCTACCCTCTTTATCTATCTATATTCGCGATCAAATCACATTGGGAGTAGAGAAGTAACTATCTGTCGTCCAACTGCATGTCGAGTAGGACAAATCTTGTAAAGACCTCGACAAATCTCCGCCAGTTACGCATAATGTAATCAGCCGCAGTCTCCGCGTATCATTTAGCAAATTCGCAGCAAAATCAACAAATGTTGGTTGAACGTAATAAAATATGAACGCATGTAAGAAAACCTACACATTTGTCCTTCTCCCTTCTCTTTACCTAACACTTATTATATGAAAAAAAGAACGAATTAATTAATCTAATCAGATGAATTAATTAGTTTTTTCTTTCAACGACGTCTTTATTACTTTACTACTAGCTTTTTACTCACTACTTCTTACACGTAGATTTCAGTAGGAAAACCAATTCAAGACTAATTCTAAAAGATGTGTTAAGATAAAACAGACACCAGATTTTAAGTTATACCTTCAGAACCACAACTGTGAAGAGCGCATCTAATTTGGTGTAATAGTGTTTGCGTGATATCCGAACAAATATACAGTCAGAAAAAAAAAATTTTTAGCTTCTTTTGGTTTTATTAACACCTCTTTTATTCATTTTTTTCAAAATATCTCTCACATACATTCATAGTCTGATTACAAATTTCTTATATTACTAAGATGGGTACAAAAAAATCTTTATAAATTAAGCAAATAAGTTACTGGAATATTTTACTCTGACCCTATTTTATATCTCTCATTATCATATCAAACATTAACTGTCCACTGTACACACATAGGCCTCGCCTATAAGGAGGGGTTTTGCTATTAATTGCCACGTTTGACAGGCGGATTGGCAACCGCAGATAGCCTTTGGCGATGTTTTAAGAGGAACGCTGCTGCCCATCGTTCGACCATTAGTCGCCTTTTACGATGCCTACGGGAAAGGAGGGGGTGGCATATTTTTTATCGGCTTTTAGGGGCGCTACTACCCATTCCTCGACCAGTCGACTTAGTCTCTAGTGCCTTTTACGTCAACCACGTATCTGAATAGAACACAAAATACACACTAAAATAAAATTAAATAATTGCAGTACCACGAGACATAATGGAGCGCGGCCGTGACTTGGAGCAAGTACTTAATCAGTATATGAATTTCGTGAAACCAGCATTCGAAGAATTCTGTTTGCCGGTAAGTCTTCAAATACTGTACATGTTTTGTGTTCAAATTGTTTTTATTTACGTACCACCTATTTATGCTAATGATGCTATGATTTCTCTTGCAGACTAAGAAGTTTGCTGACGTCATCATCCCCAGGGGTGCCGACAACTTGGGTAAGTTTCTGATTACTTGTGTAGATTGTCTACGATAAAATGGCATGCCCCTCCAAAGTCCAAAGAAATGTAAATGTGTGTGTAAACATATTTACAAGGTTCCGTCCAAGGAGTATAATACTTCTCTGGCCAGACCGCTACTGAAGATATTTCCTCGTAATTAAAACAGAGCAGCAATGTCTGTATATGGTCACACACATTGAGGTAAAAAAAGTTAAAGGAGCGTGCCATGTTAACATAGACTAGTTTTTTGGGATTACTTATTTGAAATTTTAAAAAAGGAACAATTTCTTAATTGGTATATAAAAATATACTAGATAGAGGATCATTCGATCTAAGTGATAGACTCTATAGAGAATTGATAATTTAGGTAAACGATGACAAAATAAAAATTACGAGTCTCATTTCTTATAAAACATAAAAATATAGCGCAAAAGTTGAATTTATACACTCCTTTTTTTATTTGCGTTGATTTTATGCGAGTTCAATTTACACTCGGTGATTTTTTTTTTAAATAAAATCTTGTCTTTATATGTTCTTTTATATATACACGTCTTACGCCATCGTTAACAAATATGTTATAAAGTATTATACAGGGTGTAACGAATGACCGGAAAAAACGAGCGGCCTGAATAATTTTTTCCCTATCATATCTGACCAAAGTGATGTACCCCACCTGTTGATACGCGGACAATGTGGTCTGCAGTGGGTGATATATATAATCCTTACATACATATCTGTCACGATTTTCTCCCATTGGGGTAGGCAGAAACTACGGAACGCCAAATGCTTGGTTTCAAACAAGCTTCTTTCGCTTCCTCCACATTCATCAATCTTTTAATTTATAAATGTGAAAGTAAAAAAAATATCGTTTATTTGTTACCTTTTAACGACTTAACGTCTTAACTAATCACTGTTAAATGTGCTATGTGGGATGGAGGACGATATAAACTTTTTATCCCGGTCAATAAATATATCCCCGTCACGCGGACATAGTCGCGGGTAAAAATTAGTACTATTATAAATGATTTTTTTTTATACAACTTAGAATGGCAAACAAACTGACGGCCCACCTGATGGAAAGTGGTAACCGTCTCCCTGGACATTACAGAGTATACTGTTTCGCCCATGATACCCCCCATGCGTTGCCATTCCTGAGGACTCAGGTGTTATTCCTCTGTACCCTGTAAATTCACCCTGTGAATGTATCTAAACACGTTTAGTTCTTTATCACACATTCCAACTCTGTTCCTCGGGAAATGGAAATTTATTCAATTCAAATATCTTTGGATTTAAAATGTTGTTCTTTTTTCGTTACACTTTGTATAATATATTATACAAGAAGATTAGTTGTCTAAGACTTCATACAAGAGTGCATTCGACCATCAACCAGTCAAAGGAATATAAATCTTATTTCTATATGGCCGTCGTTATAAAATGGATTGCGGTTTTTCCTTTTATATCAAATCAAATGCATCGTTAAATAGTGAATTATTTATATAAAAATTTAAATTCGAGGTAAGTCAAACAAGATCATAGCCACTGCAACGAGGTCGCAAATCACATCGTGTAATACTCTATTTAAAAAAAAACTTCTTGCAGCGGCTATGCTCTTTTGTAGCTGCTAAACCGATCAGCACCTTATGCGTATGGATTATAAGATCCGTTTTCCGTTGTTGCAGTGGCTATTGATTTAATCGTTCATCATATTTGGGATATAATGTATAAGAAGAGACCGACGGCCGCCAAGATTATTCCAAATGGGACATGCAACGGGACACACGAGGACGAAGGCACCAACGGCAGGAGGATGTCTGGCAGTTCAGAGGATACGCTCAGCCGATAGTCTATGGTGATAAGAGGTATAGAGAGTGCTTGTCTATTCCTACATAACCGGATAAGTTGTAAGTTGCATTAATTTGCTATACATATGTTATATATATACATGTACTGAAGATATTTGAAGCACAAAATGTTCTCTTTTGACAACTGATTCTAATAAATATTGTGCGAAAATTTGTTACAGTGTCTGATATTTACATGGCATTGTTTTTTTTGACTGTTTCCACTATCATGATATAATGAAATAAGATATTTTACCTTATGTACATGTAGTGTACGTGTAATTTTCAATTGAATCATTAAATTAGCTTTATAATTTGATATAGTTATATAATTATAAGATTAAGCCTAATGAAATCAGTATGGAAATGCTGAATTGATTAATAAAATGCATGATATTAAAATTAAAACAATATCAACAGTCCCTGATTCATGTTTAAATTTCATAAGAAAAATGACTAAATATTTAGTAGTAAATATACTGCACAGCGTCTTCTAGTTCCAACCTAAATAAAATTTGCATTTTATGACATTTCAACTGCCGTTATATAATGAGAAAGAGTTTGCATTTTTATTACAATTTTAATATTATTTTACATTCGAAGAAAAAAATGTGTTAAATTTAAGAATGTTTGAGCACTTTTTTAATACTGGTGTCAAAACCTGCGCTATGCTGTTATATATGCGGCATTATATCATTTATTTTTTTAATCAACAGATCTGTAAAAAAAGAAAAAAACATTTCACTCTACATCCCGTATACTTTTTAATATTCTATTTTTAATATTACATAGAATGTACTCGAATTTATATTGTCTATGACACAGTATACATACACTTATGCCTCAATTTTATATTAATGTAATGTTAGTATTACGAGTAATTGTCTTTTAATAATTCAACGCATCTTTGAGATACATTGTGTATAAAACTATTTTATAATTTAGTGAGAAAACAGTAAACACGTTTGATTTGACGTTTTGAATGATAAGAATTAATCTTATCTGTTTCGGCTTTACTCGGGTGTTTTCGGGATTGCTCGACTAATTTCAGACTCCATTTCTATAAGCCATCTGTCACGTGTAGCACAACAAATTATCTTTTTATGAATAACGGCACTTAACCGAGTCCGAAAAAAGTCCGGCAAATCCGAATTTATTATTCGATTCCGAATATATCGACTTTGACCACGTATTTATAATGCGTGATCAATATAAATTATTGTAATTTTCACTTGATTAATTTTACTTTAAGAATTCTCAATATTAAATGTACTAAATAGTTGACAGGAAGAATTTTCAGACAAACCCATAAGCGATTTATTTTATTACTTTTTTTCATACAACATTGTATATGATAGAGAAATATTAATGTGATACAAATTAGTCAGTTCTGCCTAACCTGTAAGGATACAGACGTGAATATATATGTATAAATGGTAGTGATATTGTATAGAGATATAATATTACGAGACTTGAGATATTTTACCTATTTATCTCAAATGTGCGTGAAAGCTGAATTATCGCTAATATTCAGGTATACCTGATATATATTGTATACTTATTAATTCAAGTAATCCATTTACTTCCCAATGTATTTTTACGTATTATTTTATATTATCTAGCGTAGTTGTTTAATTCTTTATCTATTTATAAGGCTGATGTTTTCAGGGAGAGTAGTTTTAAGAATTTTAAACGGAATTCTAGGAGTTCTTAATTCAAATATTTTTTTTTATATTTATTGCCTTATAACCCGGTCAGTTGTAAACCGATTTGAATTTTTTTTTTTTTATTTTAAAAGATATACTTACAGATTGGTACCATAGTAATTTTATCAAATCGCTTCAATAGTTTAGTTTTTAAATCAGAGTAACTGGTATTGCCATAACTGAAGACGGTTTTTTTTTTCTAGAACACAATCTTATTATAGATCATAGCTTACTAACTAGTGATATGGTATTTGACTACAAACATATGTATTGTATTTATTTATATCGGCTTTGCTCACTTTTTAGATTCGGGAATTCCCGACTAGTTTCGAATTCGATAGCTCTTATTTATGAGCACATTCCACGGCTGTGTAGCGAGCAGCACTGCGCGACCATTACAGTTCAAAACTAGTCGAACATCTCTGAACTTGAAACGTGAGTAAAGCGGACATAACTTATAACAATACCTACAGTTATTATTCAACAATACATATATATGGTTTTAATAATCATGAAATTAACAATTTTAAAATATATTACATAATAAATAAAATTTTTAAAGTTAAAAATGATTACGTAAACTTAATGGGGTAGGGTTTAAAAGTTATGTATATCAGTGACATAGATCCTATATAAATGATTTTAATTTAATGAACAATGAAATACGCTAAAGTTTATTTATCATTTTGGTTGTTGTTATCCAAATAGTTGAACTGGTAAGTTATTTAATTTTTAACTTTACCCATTTGTATCCCAAACAGCATTTTTTTTTAATTCGATCGTCAAGTACCTTATCACTAAATGTGTAAGATTAGCACCGAGTTTACATTTTCCTTTATTAGCACAAATATTATCTATAACAAATGTATTTTTAAGAAAGTACGATGTATTTTTTTTTTCAATTAAAATTATTTTATCTATAATTGTTTACACAAAAAAATAGTAGTTGTGAAGCGATATTTTATCTATTTTTGTTTTTTTTTTTTTATATTGCACATATTTTAATATGTCAAGTATAAATAAAAAAAAGTATAAATAAAAGTTTAGTAAATAGAAACTAGCTTAGCCGACGTGTAATAGGATGTAAATCCTATTATCGTATGCAAAAGGCTGCATACACACGTACGATTTCATAATTAAGTTTCCGTATTAGAATTCTGACAATTTGAAAATCGAATGCACACATTTTGAAATGTTTTATGTAATTCTCAATTCTGTTAACGGCACCGTAATTAAAAACTGTGCATATTCAAATAGAATAAAAGAAAAATATAATATATATTATAAACTATAAAATATAAAAATATGTAGGAAAATAGAAACAAATATTTTTTTCTTGGGTTTGTGCTGTTGTGGCATGTTAAGATGGTGACAATTTTCAATTGCATTAACAGTCACTAGTGAGATTTTTTTTTCTATATATTTTTGTTGCACAATAAAACTTTGTACAAGTGGCGAGCTTTATGCCATATGGCATTCTCTATATTGTATATATTTCCTATTTTATATATATTCTCTAATTATCTCACTAGTGACGCCAGCGGGTTGGCAACCGCAGTTAGGCTTTCGTGATGTTTTAAAAGTTACTGCCCATTTCTCACCCTCCTTAGTCGTCTCATACTACACTCACAGAAAAGGAAGGTGTGGTCCATTCTTTCAGACAGAATAGCTTCCTACACGTACGGAATCTGATAGTCTACCGAATATGGAAAATATACGATAGTTTCAACATATCAAGCGTAATTATAGTTGAAGTCCATGTATTACTTTATATTCGACACGTATATTATATTCGTAAATATGTCCAGCTAGTGTTCTTAGCGTTTGAGTTACAGCTTCGTACCTGTTTTGAAATTATCAACCACTCTGCAGGAATGTAGAATATTTTACGATAAAGTATATATCACTGAGTTAAAAAAGCAAAGCTTCACTTTACTCGAAATATTATTAAAATATCTATTGAATGAAGACAACATATTGTGGTCTATTAAATTTAAAAAGTATAGCCATCGTCATTATGTCAATTTAATTTTATAGTCTGTAGCTGGTGCCCGAATAACTTTTTTATTCAGACTATGTCGAAGGTTTAGGCGCGAAAATTATTACATGATACTGCAGTATCTATGGTATACTTAATGCGCTACATATTCATGTATAATGATTAAGGATTATTGTTTAATTAATTATTAATTTTAGTTTAAATATAGGCATAATAACCTCACAATGCAATCGTTATTTTGTGGTAGAATATTGTGAAAATAATGAATTATTTGAATGAGAATGAATTCAAATTTTGAATAATTATATCTTAAAAAAGAAAACGAGCATCTACGGTATGACTGTACATAATGTTTTTTAATAATTTTACGTTGTGCGTACATATTTTTGGTTAAAATGTAGTGAATTTCAAGACAAGTTCCAAATAAAATATGTTTATTACAGACTGATTCAAACTACAAAGACTAATTGCTTTCCCCAAATTGTATCATTTAGTGAAAACTTAGAAGCCATGTACCAATAATGAAAAATAAAGGGCATCTGTTACCATAGACATCTTTATCTCGTGTACCCATCTTACACTAAATTAATCTTCAACTATTTATTTGTATTTATATATTCTACAATATTTCCGACTAAGAAATCTGTAAGCATTCATCGATCTTTTATATAACTGTACTAGATTTTTATTTCGTAATTTTTAATTGTACTTCACTCGCTGTTCATACAAGTCTACGATTGTTATTTCATTCATTCTTTTATTGTCAATTCATGACATTCATTCTTTCATAAAATATTTACTAACAATTATTAGAAAAAACAGTTTTTCAAGTACAAATGTCACATGTCAAAAAAAAAAGGAAAAAAGAGAAAATTTTTATTCAAGTGAGATACAGTTGCATAAAGTACAATTTACAATTTTAACAATTTATATTGAACGAGAAAAAAGTCTGCATTACCATCAGTCCCCAAACTAGACCAGACCTGTATCTTGGGGACTATAAAAAAAAGTTTGGCCATTTGTACTACTCACTACTACTACTACTTACTATTACTACTTACTACTACCACCACTTACTACTACTACCACTTACTAATACTACTTTCTACTACTGCTACAAAATATGTAATTGTCTATTGCTTATTACAGTACTCAAATTATGGAGATACAGATGCCCTGTTAAATTCCAATCATTGATCATGTGATAAATCGTAGTAGTGATCGTGAAAAAAATATATAAGGATGACTAGAAAAAAAAATGTCATGTTAGTGTTGTAATTAATTTGATTTATTGTCTAATATAATTGATAGATAGTGGAGATTCTTTTTATATTCCTGGATTTTGTATAGTGTAATTCAGCAAAGTCTCTCAAAACTGTTATATGTTGTAATTAATTCTGTTTTAGGACGTTTTTTATTTGCATTTACACAAATTTGTTTTAGAATGTAAAAAAGCCACAAAATATTTTTAACAACATTCATTCATACTTATATCAAAAGAGATCAACAGTACGTTTTAAAATTCAATAAATGAATTTTTAATGAATTTTAATGTGCAATATCCGTTTTTTATAATACGAGACTTATTTACATTTTGTGACTTTTTATTTTATGATTTCTAATCAGCTCACCTAGGTAAATGGCAAACGAATTTATCGATTAAATAGTTTCGGTTGACAATAACATGATAAAGAACGAAAACCAATGAGCTCCCTATCGAGGTTTTCCCTAGATACTACAGTACGGGGTTCTCCAAAAAGAGTGTATTAAGGGTCGGTAACGCGCACGTAACATCCCTAGTGTTGCAGGCGTCCATAGACTACAGTAATTGTTTATCATTAGACGGGCCATAGACTTAGTGTATATTTTATAATATAAGAGACTGGTTGTAGGCATGTTTGCTATTGTGGTATTAAAAAAGACAATGCATTGCCTTTTAATTCAATCTCATAGATTCGGTAGCGACAATGTTTGTATCGATAGAATCGTTTGCCACTTCTCCAAGGAGGCAGAGTTTTGTACTGATTAAGAATTGTTACGGTTTACAACAACATTGCACAATATTCTTTAACGTTTTAGTAACAATTATATATTATGTATTATTCCCCGTATTATGATATAAAGCATTTCTTTAATGAATTTATATTATTGTGAATTTTAATTGAATAAGTAAATAAAGTGTTTGCTACATTGCTACGCATTTTTATTTACAATGTCTACTTATAATTTCATTATTAATTCACCAATTATATTTTTCACTAGTATTACTGTATTCCGCGGTTTTTCCCGCGTAAAACAGTATATGAAGTATCCTGTCTGCTAAGTTAGGTTATAACCCACCCATGTACCAACGATTTTAATAAAATTTGTCACAAAAATATGGTAAATATACTATTTGTATATAGAATATTTTATTTGTTTTATTAAAAAAAAACAAACAACTAGAAAATTTCATAATAAAAAAAAAAAATAAAACTATTTGAAGATATTAAAAAAATCTTTCATCCACAAGGAATTTGGTATATCTTAGAATAAGTATTCTCATGTTCTTACATTCACCACATTACAAATTTCAACAAATACCTCTGTCTAACCCATCATGGGATATACTTGTGTGATATTTATCTATGCTTAATTCTTTGGCTAACATAGATTTACAAAATAATAATGTTTTTCTTATACAACTTAGAATGGCAAAGAAGCTGACGGCCCACCTGATGGAAAGTAGTAACCGTCGGCTGTAAGCATGCAATTACAGCTATTTTGTAGTAGAAACATTAGTGGCACAAAATAATCCAAGCAAGCCAATGTTTATAACAATAAACATTGGCTTGCTTGGGTTATTTTGTTTATTTGGGTTGCTTGGGTTATTTTTAACAAAATGAACAGCTAAAAGAGTTTGAATTAAATATTACATAAATAATAAAAAGGATACGTCATAAAGCTGGTAGAGAATATCATATAGCAATAATCTCGTCATTTGTACAAATTTTATTGTGCAAAAAAATATACAAATCATACGAGAAGTGAAATAAAATACTCTTATGTTATATTTATTACTTCATAGGTTACAGACAGAAGGTAATTAAAATGGAGAGTGGTTCAGTTTACAGAGGAGGAGAAAGGATTGTTAGTAATGGGGATTAGGAGCCCCATTGCTAGCAATACATCCTGTCAGGTCTAACTCCTCGCGGTTCCATCTAGAATCCATCATGCTTAGTTCCAAATGAATTCATCACTATGGGCTAACTGATCTGCCTTTTTATCCTTACTTTTCCCTCCTCACTGTTGCTCCGCCAGCGTATACCGTTAGCGCAAGCGGGATTGCCTTTTCATTATCATCCATTTAAAAAAAAGTCCAGGTAAAATCTATTTAATTTTTTTTTAAATCGTTTCAGTGGCCATTGATCTCATTGTGCAACATATATCGGAGTACCTGAAGCGGAGTCTCGTAGACAAGTCGCTGACAGCGCACGAGTACGCTGGACTCTCCTCATCCGTGCCGAGCAGCCCACAGCGCAGCGGGAAGAGCGGCAGACCGCATTAGGAACCACTCATATATATTGGCTATATCTCATACTAGAACGGTACAGTGGTGGCCCAAGTCCTTTATTACACTATCAAAATATAGGTTTAATTATGTAAATCGTAGGTGCACGTAATGCCCGCGGTTTTTCAGGTGTTAATAGGCTACGGTAACTGATTACCATCATGTGGGCTGTATGCTAGCTTGACTCTTTAGTGGTATAATAAAAACAATTTATGAAGTTTTTAACGCACACTTAATATGAGCAAAAATTTAAAATTATCTTCTATGGCTTAGAAATAGTCTAGTGAGATTATTTTTCATACGTATCTTGTTTTTGTTATATTAGGTACACACGTATAGTTATAAATATGTGATAGTGTAATAAACCTAATGAAAACGGACTGCCGCTTGCAGATAGAAAAAATATGTTTGAGAATAATAGACACGGACATGGTAAATCTCGGACGATGTCACTTGTGTTCGCAGCACCAAAATTTTAGGTAATCTTGCGGACCAAACAAATTACACCTATTTTTTTTAGAAAAACGTGTTAAGAACGATTTCTAATAAAAATATGGATACATCCACGTCCTGCACATGCCGGGTTTAATTCGCTTTATAAAAAGGTTAAACAAAATGGCGGGAAGGCACATTCACATTAATCATAATAGTATAACCACAGAGTATAATAATAATATAACCAGAGACTATATAAAACAAATGTGTCCTGATTAACGCAAAATTGGCTGTTTTAAAATTTTTTGTTGAAGTCGTGCCTTCCCATGCTTGTCTATGGGTTTGATACAATTGTCTAATTGCACTGGTTTCCAAGTTTCCAACAGCTCAAATTGGAGTACAAAGGATGTACAAATAAAAAAAAAATCTTTTCCCCCTATTTTTCAAAGATTAGGAATTATTTAACTTGTAATTTGTAACATATCCATAGAATGTTACCTAGTAACGACTAGTCAATCGGAATTAAATTTATATATTTGGAACTTTTGCTTAATGGCATAAGTACTTATTCTAGATAAATTTGTCTATATTTCCTATTTATATTTAAGCGTTTATTGAATATTAGTATATAGAATGATAATTGCTACACCTTTAATTGTATATATTTTCCATAATATCTATAAGTACTTATATAAAAAAAAAAAAAACTTTCTAGAGATATCTTTAGCTTTTGAATCAAATGTTACGGTGCTATTCACCGTATTTATTTTAATAGTGGTGCTGCTTTTCATGTAATTTTCTCGTGATTGTAGTGTTATGTAGTTTAACCAATCTTGAGTAATTGTAAATAAAAAATGAATAGGGAAATTTAATTATTAGTAGTAGCTATTCATCTATAAAACAATACTAAACTTACATACGACGTACATCATAGAATGTTCTAGTAATTATCTATATAATAGGTTGCATATAATTAAACGAGTTATTCTCAGTTCCGAATTATCTCCATAGACAATGTAGACAGTATCTAGGGACAGTATCTACACAGGGCGAAATCAAACTCTTAGTAACTTTTTAAACCCGTACTCTATCAGTGAACTGGCCATCTAGACGAGTGGCAACCGAATTCATCTATGGAATCAACATCATTAACGAGTTTGTAAGAAAGAGATAGCAACGTCAGATGTCTCATTCCAACTCATGAGCCCGCTTTCGGTTACGATTCCATCGATGAATTCGTTTGCTACTTATCTAGGAGGCTTGAACTTTTATTCCCAAATGCTCGTAAACGAAAAATAATTTAAAGTAACCCTTAAGTCGATAGCTTTATGCACTTTTAAATATGGGTACTTCAAAATGTTTTCACATTTTTTACTCATGATGCATCAGAAAAAATGTTGTTTTACTGGTAAAATACTTAACATGTTGCTAATAATTTGTAATTTAACTCATAACTAGAAAAAAAAAATGTATTTAAAATTTGGTAATATGTTTTCACAATTAGTTATATAGTTACCGTTCCTCCTGAAGCAACTTATAGCTATAGATGTTAGGAAATTTATAATGTTTTGATAAATTATGTAGTTACGTTACCTATACTTTTTTATTTCAAGTATTTATTTAAAGTCATATTTAAACATTTTATAGTATAGAATAATAAGTGGAGGCATATATTATATTTTTAGAGAATTTGGGCTGTTAAAATGTCTAGTGAATGAATTTTTATTAGGGTTTTTACACTTTACGAGTAGTTCCACAATATACTAGTCAAAGTTTTTGCGGATTTGCTTAAAAAGTCTTATAAATTATTTTAAAGTATATTTTTTTATAAAAATTTTATTTGTTTGACAATGTTATAATTGGTTATATGTTATAAGAATGGATTTAACTTAGACAATTGTCAAAAATGAGACAATGATACTAAAGTAATGTACGAATTCTCTACATCATTTTTATATTATTATTTCAAATAATTATATTGAAATAAAACTCGACCCACTAAGGGTTGGTTTATTTCTGCTAAACTACGATAAATGTATGCTGTGGTATGTATATTAAGATAAAACTATCCTAAGCATATCCAATACACACACATTTGCCTGTATTTATTACAATAGAATTTAATTAAAATTGAAACAAACAAATAATTGGACGATATAGGCCTCTCCCATAAGGAGTAAGGGTGGGTAATAGAGTGAACGCTCAATATAAACAAACTCTATAAGCAACATTCTTTATATTTTTCCCAGCTTAGTTAGTAAAAGAAATAAGTAAAAATATTTTCCAGTCGGTAAGTATTTTTATACTCCTTTTTTTTCGGTAAGTATTTTGAATTTTGAATTTCCTATAAGCAATTTTACCTAATAAGATTTGTTTTTATTGAAATTGGTTCAAATTATTTGTTTATATAGAGCGTTCACTGTATATAGCATTATCTATACATTGTAGTTACAATGTCTATACATATATTGGTGCAATAACCAATACATAATATAGAAAAAAAGAAAGAAGAAGAAAATAATAGAAAACAGTTTTACATTTAATTCTTTTGAATCAAACTACAGTGACGTCCCCTATAGATTACATTATTTTTGTATGAAACGTTTGGAGTGTGACAATTGGCATTATAGTAACATGCCTCATCCTTCTATCCACATTTCTCAATTAATCTATAAATGTCGAGTCGATGTAGCTACGGTCAGCATCAAAAGTCTATGAACGCTTTAAGATTATCAAAATCTCTGTGCTCCGTCGTACACATATCTTATTATGCACATTCGACTAATTTGAACATTATACGATGCTCATTAAATTCTAGCTCTAATTTTATTAACATACTATGTACGCAGACATGTTTACGGGTTTTAAAAAACAGTGAGTATTTATCAACTTTTGATGCTAACTGTACGATTCACAGACTACATTCTTAAACTGGATACGGCTTTTACAATATTATTACATAGACAGTAATTTGCATAGTGACAATGTTCGTGTCGTGTTTTATTTCTTTTGTAAATTACAGTCACTGAATGTATTATATAGTGCATCTTTCTATGAACATTGTTCAGTCGAGTTATTGTGAAATTGTATTTACTCACAAGATCGTCATTGCCATAAAATACATTACGTTTTCCTGCAAAATGTTTAAATTTATTATACGAATATTATTTAAATATACAAATTAATCTTCATCAAAGAAAAAGTATTAAAGTTAGATTTACTCGATTCTACGAGCCCAAATGATGCTCAAACTAAAGATCGTATAAGGTTATGGATTATATGACACATGTATTAATCTTAATGAAATAAATAAATAAATTATTATTAATATTATTATATAAAAAGTACTGTATAATATATATTAAATATCCTGAAGCTTGTGAAAAGCACAATGATAAGTTAATTGAGCAAGTAATCACTACTATAAACCCCATCTTTGCAACGCGTATTTCAATTGTAGGCCATAGACAACGGATCGATTCTAAGACGCCATTTCTCTAAACTTATTTTTTAATCTAATATTTTAATTTGATAATTTTGCCAAATTGTTATTTACCACTATAAACTAAAATTATAATAAATTTGATTTGAATCTATAGTAACTGCTTCATATTGATTTTTACTATAAAAATTTCGCTGTGATATCAATCAATTAACCTATTTCTAAAATTGAAATTTCAATTGGAGAATTGGTGTCTCAGAAACGTCACAAATGTATATATTAAGTAGTTATAGTTATATGATACATAATTTATAACTATACACTGTCTTGCAATATTTCATTTTATTATAACGTAAAGTTTTAAGTATAATATTGTTAGAATTCGAGTGATCACTTGAGATAAATTAACAACTATGCGCACATTTATTTATTAGATAAGATGGATAAGTTGGTAGTGCCTATGTTTTATATGTTATATTATCATCGTGTTGAATTTTTGTGATTTTGATGTTGTTTGAAAGTCTGTTTATTGTTGATAGAGTTTTATTTATTAAATGTTTATTTTTTAATGTATTTATTAAAAAAAAATTGTGCCTGCTTCATTATGCCAAAGAATTTATTAAGTTATTTTTGTTTCCATTATATATATTAATAGTTCTAGCGTTCACTGTTCATACAATTATTTGAAAAATTATAAAAGATTACCAACGTCCTCTCACGTGAACTATTGCAATTGATAAATTCGAAACGGATGTTTTGTAATAGTGAAATATGTGTCTCTAATCGTGACAATAAAAAGTACCAGTGTCTGAGACGCGAGTTCAAACTGAATCCCTTTTAATTATTTCAATTAAAAATGTATGAATAATGATCTATCTAGCACAGGGGTCGGCAACCTTTTGACTCAGTAGAGTAAAAAATTACAATTTATAAATTTCAAAGTTTTTAATGAGCCACAAAATTTTTTGCCAATAATAAAAAGTTGCATATGTAAAGTTTGGTGCCTATTCCGTGTTAATCGATCAGAACGATTTATAATTTTTTTTTTATTAAATAAATATTTGTCTATGGAACTATGGAGCCGCAGCTTCACATCGAAAGAGCCGTATGTAGCTTACAAGCCTCAGGTGCCAACCCCTAACCTAGCATTATGAACAAAAGGCCATAATTTTAATGCTATAAATATACCTATCTAAAATAACAGTAGCGAGATATATAAACATCAGGGGGGGCCTACCATGAAATGAAATTCCGAAGTTTCGGTCTCAATATCGTGTTCTCGTTCATACCTAATACGGCGCAGTAAATGGAGCTTAACATTTCGTTCCTCATAAATCCTACCATAAAAGTTCAAAGGATATTAATATTTTAATATTTTTAAACGGTAAGTATTATGTAATTTTACATCAAATTTGTGTTTCGTTCGGCTCCGAAATTTCGGAAAACATTTTTATGGTAGGCCTTAAAGTTTTAAGATAAAAGTAGATATTCGTTTCAATATATTTTGTAATACTTTTACCTAGCAAATTAAATAAAATCAAATAAGGCTTCTTAGCTAACTAGGGCTACATGCATTCGTTGCTTCAATCAATGCCTTGCTAGTAAGCAGTAAATATATGACGTATTTCAACTTTCATTGTAAATTTTACCAATTGTGAAAGTAAACATAGTAGGGAACCCTATGAGCACTTTTTTTTTTAATTTGCCTTTTTTGATGGGCGAAAATGGTATAATAACCCCGCCTGCGCCTACGGGATACGCTGGCGGAGCACCAGTGAAGGGTGATCGATGAGAATGAAAACAGGCCAGTTAGCTCATCATGATGAATTCATTAGGAATTAACCATGATAGTTTCCAGGGAGAACCGGGATATCGATCAAATATATAAAATTATCTTTACAATTTGCTCTCCTATTATATCATGACGACAAAATTGTGCTACGCATATTGTACTATTGTTGTACCAGGTTGTCTGTAAGAGATTGCTTTTAGCGATAAGGCCTCCTTTTGTATATGCACATTCTGTATAAATACTCCTTGTATACATCTCTACTGTGCGCAATAAAGAGTTATATAGACTATACTACGGTAATTATAAAGATGTTCACTCCGGTCTTATTCGTATGCGGCGGCTTTAGAATAAAATAGAGACTACGCCAGGGGGTGAATTAGAAGGCATTGATCTCCCTTCCCTATTATGCGCGCCCCGCAGATATAAAATCTTCTCAGGTAGCAATTATTCCTAATATTGACGTCGATTTTCAGTCGGCGACCCTAAAATGGTTTAAAAGTGACGTCTTATTTGTATTGCAGACGTCACCTTGCTCCGTGCGCCCTCTAGTGTTACACTACGGAGCATCGCGTACGAATTCTGTAGACTTTAATATATTGTTACTCATCTCTGTATTTCAATAGACACTTAGTTTGCTTACCCAAGTTGTACAAAAAAAAATGCTATTTTAAATAATAAAGCTATTTTCTTTTAACACGTCTTTGAATTTATAGTGTTTAGACGAAATCATGTTTTTACTAAAATAAATTTAAAATCGTCATGTTACTAATACAGTAACATACTGCTATTGATTAATGAAATGTATTCCTTAAAGCTGGTGTTAATATTCATAGATTAATATTTTAGACTAAAAATTTTTGAGAGTACTAAACCTAGAAAAAAGATTATCAAATTGCCAAACCTAAAAAAATTACAACTCTTGAAAAAAAAATCTATATCTGTACAAATGGTGTAAGGGACAGGTTGGCAAAAACTGAAACTGAAATCAGATCATTATTCTAAACTTAAAACCGGTGAAAATTCTTTTCGGAAAACTTCGAATTATTTTTTGTTCTTTTTTTAAATTTTGTAATCTATGATATTATGTTATAATATAAAGAAATAATAATATTGTATAGTGAAAAACGTATTAAAATTCTACTGCGACGCACGGAATCAGCTGTGTGAGATCAACGGTACAAGCGTACGTAATTACCTATGAAGAAGCGCCATTGGCCGCTCGATATCTACGTGTGGATCGTAAAATTTCAAATATATTGCGCGGCGTTAAAATTATCCTTAATAATATGGCTATGGTGCATTTCCGGTGGGAAAATAATCTGCCATCTGATTCAGGCCATTTATCTGAATCGGCTGTTTTCGTTTTCGACAACCTGTCCCTTCCGCCTTGTATAATAATAGGTATGTACATACCGTGTACTGTGCAACTGACGTTCTCTGTGCATTAGATTGACGAAATCACGTCATGGGGCATACTTAAAAAAATATATATGAAGGGTCTTAATGAGACTTCTTCGAGAGTTCTTGGTGGGTGTTTCGTTATCTTAAAAGTTTAGGAACCTTTGCACTAGGGGAAACGCCAATGCGTTGCAGGCCTTTTTAAAAGGTATAAATATATTTAAACACACTATCAGGACTTAGCGTGATGAGAAATTTTGACAAGTAAATAGTAGCAAGATACCTGCTTCATTATTGCCGACGTTTCGACGTGGTCGCATCTTGGTCACCTGTCCCAGGTACACCCTACATAAATCTCTTCATATCAATAATGTTTCAATTATACACTATACGAGTACGAAGTATATGCACTTCCCAAATATTAGAAATAGTTCAAAATTAAAAGACCCATATTTTTTATACCACAGGTGACAATCAAGCATACGGCCCACCTGATGGTAAGTGGTTACCGTAGCCTATGAACGCCCGCAATACCAGAGGTATTACGCGCGCGTTGCCGACCCCGAAGAAACCTCTTAACCCCCCTTTTGAAGAACCGCATGCTGAGGGCCTACCATGAAATGTTTTCCGAATTTTTAGAGCCGAACGAAACACAAATTTGATGTTAAATTTACATAATACTTACCGTTTTAAAAATATTATTTTTTGGACTTTTATGGTAGGATTTATGACGAACGAAATGCTGAGCTCCATTTACTGGACCAATTTAGTTATGAATGAAAACACGAAATTGAGTACGAAACTTCGGAATATCATTTCGTGGTAGGCCCCTGTAGTCTCTTGGGAAAACCATATATCAAAGAATGAAACAACAAGGTAAAACTGATTCGATTTATTACATTACACATTAAAATAATAATTATTGCAATAATTATAATAATAGAAAACAAGTTAATCGTTGTTTATTAAATATATATTTTTAAATAGTCTCGTCTTATGCTAAGGCTTGCACGTAAGGCTGCGTGCGGACTAGGGGGCGCTACATTACGCGGGGCCGGCGGTCGTCGTGTAGCGCTGTGGACAGTGGCCTGTACGAGCCAAAACGCTAATAAAATTAAGGGCCGTATTACACTAACGTTGATTAAAAAAAAAAACATGATGTCATATTTTCGCCGTTTCTCTAAATCTTTTTTAATCTCTAATTGAGGAGGCATATCACCAGAGGGAGACTTTGTACAAAAGTCGATTGCTTGGGTACCTCTGTCCTATTCGTGTTTCAACCGTAAAGCAGTTGTGTTTGCATGGCTGTGTTTCGGTTTGAAGGGTGGGATATGGCGTGAATTAACTGGCTATAGAGGAATAACATTTGAGTCCTCAGGAATGGCAACGTATGGGGGGGTATCATGGGCGAAACAGTAGTCTGTTATGTCCATGGTACTGCTCATGTCTATAGGCGACGGTTATCACTTTCCATCAGGTGGGCCGTCAGCTTGTTTGCCATTCTAAGTAGTATAAAAAAAAATGTTCAGCAGTGGACAGTTAACGGCTGACATGGCATGGTACCATAACATAAATTTTCTTTTTATATATTTAGAGAAATGATGCCTCCAAATTGAGCCCAGCATCGCGATATCTGAATGATTTTGCTGTGACATCGCATACGTTCAGGAGAACGTTATAATACGGCCCTAATATTTATTATACACGAATCATCGAATACAGGACACATGTCTGCCTTATTTTTTTTTTTGGTATCGTAAGAAACAATTGTTTAAAAAAATAAGATTTTTGTATTTTGCGTCTAGTTCATTACTATTAACATTTATAGGATAGCTATTTTTAATTTCCTCGTATATTATTATATTAAAAAATATTATTTTTGAAACTTATGTTCATTTTTTATTTAACGTCTATGTACACATGGGAAATTAAGGAAGTCACTGTGTTTTTCTGTGTCGCAAAGCGCGGAACGCTTCCTAAAGATTTCTGGATCGAGTGGAAACAATTGTTGGAAACGACTACAAACACAGCGAGTTCAATAATCTCACGTATGTACATCCATTGAAGCCGTTCAAATTCATTTTAAGCACTTGTCAATCAAATATTTTCTCGTCTTTGCTTTACAATATTAATGACTAAATTTAAAAAGTATAAGCCATATATTTAATGCATTTATATGAATAGATGTACTTAAATATTTACACGCCGATACAAATGCAGAATGTAAACGGACAATGCAGATGTCTTTCATTTAAAAATTATCTATATTGTAGCAAAATAAATTAATTCCATTACAATTTTATTTCATAGGTTAATTATTATTTATTCTGTCACTTGCCATCAATCACATAATAATGAAATAAAATACAATTCAAATTTTTATTGGCACATTTATGAATTATTAATAATAACATATATACAATACATAGTATTGGGGGTGGAAGGGATTGTTAGTAATGCGGACAGTATCATTGCTAGCAATATACCCTATCAGGTCGACCTCCACGTGGTTCCCCCTGGAAACCATCATACTGAATTCCAGGTGTGTTCATCACGATGGGCTAACTGACTTGCTTTTTTATCCTCACCTATCATCCCTCACTGGTGCCCCGCCAGCGTATACCGTTATAGCAGGCGAAGCTACCATTCCCTTATCATCCACTAAAACAAAATATACAGTATTGTAAATTGTCAACTACATAACCTACGAAATTAATTTAGAAAAACCTGTTATTGGCCACACTACTTTGTTATAAAATGTTTGATAATTTTATTTGTAAACCGCTGTTGGTTTAAAAAAAAAATAAGTAAATATAATAATGACTTGGTTTATAGCAAATTCCATTTAATTCAGATCAACGATACTGTTGTATCGACCGCCGACCCCAGACGCCCGACGTGGGGCACGCGTGCTTTCAATTACAAACTCTACAGCTCCATAACAGATAGTTTTTGTAATCTTACAAATATAATAATATTGCTATATATAGATATTTAAGAAAAAAAATACGAGTATAAGGGGCTTTAAAAAAACAAAATAAAAAATAGGACCATAAGGGGCCTTAAAACGAGCAATGGAAGCCAACAATATTTTTTAGAAATGTTGTGTATCTGTGTTTGTTCCAACATAACTTAAAAACTACTGCGCCAAATTGCGATGCAGTTTTCACTGTTGAATTCTTAAATACCTGAAGGTCTAACTTAAAATCTGATATATGTCTTATCATGATACGCCATCTATAATTAGACCATTCAAATGATTTTCTACTTCTGAAATCACAAGTAGCGGACAATAAATTAGTGTATATACAAAATTAAATATAAGAGGCACCTGGTTCAATTCCCGGTTGAGCCAATTAAGTAAAATGAATTTTCCTAAATTACTTCGGTCTCGGTGTATTGAGTTGTAGCCGCAGATTACCAGAGGGAGACTTTGTACAAAAGTCGATTGCTTGGGTACCTCTGTCCCATTCGTGCTTCAACCGTGAAGCAGTTGTGTTTGCATGGCTGTGTTTCGGTTTGAAGGGTGGGATATGGCGTGAATTTACTGGGTACAGAGGAATAACACCTGAGTTCTCAGGAATGGCAACGCATGGGGGGTATTATGGGCGAAACAGTATACTCTGTTATGTCCATGGTACTGATCATGTGTATAGGCGATGGTTGCCATTTTCCATCAGATGGGCCGTCAGCTTGTTTGCCACCTCAGTGGTATAAAAAAATCTCCCAAATAAATACCAGTGGTATGCATTACCAGAGGTATTACGCGCGCGTTGCCGACCCTGAAGAAACCTCATTACCCCCCTTTTGAAGAACTCCATGCTGTAGTCTCTTGGGAAAACCTCGGCAGGGAGCTCATTCCATAACCAGAGTGTTCAAGAAAGTGAGTAGAAATCAGTTTTAGGGAGCATACGGTAGACATTCTAGTATTTGAATTTGTATTTAGTTATTAGTACTGATTACTAAGTTACTAGTTTTTATAAAGTCAACATTGCTATATAGAAAAATAATTTGCAGAATATCCTATATTTACAAAATAATAATATTTGGCAGGTATTTTTCTTTAAATAAATAAATATCACACAACGCCATCTAGTAAAAAAAAAAAATTATACCTAAATATACATCCAGAAACAAAATCTATCCACTATGAAGCCATAAAGTACAATACAAGAGGGGAACATAAGCGAATATAAACACGTGGTTAGGCGATACGACGCAATCGCACGTAACCACGTTTGGCCTATCGCAAACGAAAATCTAGATAAATAATTATGTTATTTGGTATTACACTGTACAATATGACTTCTACTGGTCAATTATTTCGTATGCGATAGGCTTTTTATTAGGGGCATATTACATTGTCATATATACAGGATCATACATAGACCATTTTATCAATTGATCACATTTATGACGTTCTTTTAATATCATTTAAAAGTTTTTTTTTTCTACACAGCATTTATAGCTCTAGAAAATAAATTAGAACCTTATAAATGACAGTGTAATATCCCCCTTAGACCATTTACTAACTTCATCAACCAACGACGATCTAAAAGCAATTACAAAATACGATTAAACTCTATAGATTTGGTCGAAACTAACATAAATTAATGTACAATTAATATTAATTAATTTAAAAATATATGCAGCATATTTATAATGCTCTATTACAATATGTAAAAAATATATATATATATATATATATAAACTAATTTCATCTATTAACACTGCGTTCCACAAAAATCCCACGGCTTGTAATACGAAATTCAACTTTACTGCTCTGTAATAAGGATCAACTATAAAAATCAATAAAAAAAATTTGATGTTTAAAAATAAAACCTTATTACAGTGCAAATAAGTTGAATTTCGTTTTCGAACCCACGACAAATTTCGTGAACTGCAGACTAAATAAAACATTCTCACCGAATATAATTTGTAATGTGACGTCCACTTATATAATATAATACACGATATTTACATTTTTTTTTTGCACTATAATCGTCATTGCAAATAGGAAACGTTAGGTCACGTGACCGTCGGGTATATTAAAGCAAGCGGAAGCTAGTGAAAGCGACCAATCGCACTTTATAATCTCTATGTCAGGGTTGGCCAACTTATGTGTATATATATATATATATATATATATATCCTATAAAAAAAACTATATATAATTTTAAAAAAATCATTGGTCAATGGTTTGTGAAATTATTGACCAATGATGATTGATTCTGAAGACCACACAGATATATATATATATATACAACGTTGTATATATATGTGTGTGTGTGTGTGTGTGTGTGTTTCATATAATTATATATAAGATACTTGTATTATCTTTAAATTGTCTTTATTTTATCACTTACCATCAAGAGAGGTAGGTAAGATCAAGAATAAATCCAACTTGATTTAAAAAAAAAAATTACAGGCACAGTCTGAAGTGTATAAATCTTAGACTGCGCAACTACTTGTAGAATACAAAAGATTTTTTTTTATTGTTAGAGAGGCAAACGTGGGACAGACACAGACACAATGTGAACAGCTGGTTACATTGCACTGGGACATTTACAGCATCAGCTGAGCCAGTTCCTTTTGCCTAGTATGGGACACTTCTTATATACCTATGCATTTTCTATATTTCTATTGTAACCGTTTCTTAGGAAAAAAAATTCTAAGTGTATACAAATGTATCACATTGCGAGCGATTGAACAAAATTGAGTGATCGCTTTGGCCACCCCTGATCTATGTGACCGATAAATAAACGTCCATAATATAAAAAAAAAAAACCAGTTACGACTCTTTAACCGTGGAATTTTATTTAATTATCTACCTAATATCGACGGTGTGTCGCCAAAATTGTAAGCTGCGACGACCTTATGATATTTCGAAGCTTCATTGCCGTAAAAGGCGAATACTACAATTTCGTTTTAGGTTCGACAAAACCGCATATTGCACATATCGTCATAGCCGTAGAATACTGACGGATCTGACAAAGATTACATATAAAGATCCGTCAGTATTCTACGACTATGACGATATGTATGTACATTAGAAGTAGATACCATTGTTCAATTATAACATTAAAAAATCCGAACCTAAGATTAGTTCGTAAAATTTATGAATGCTTAATTTATGTACTACTACGTAATGAAACTAAAGATACATATCGTCATAGTCGTAGAATACTGACGAATCTTTATATGTAATCTTTGTCAGATCCGTCAGTATTCTATGTCTATGACGGTATTGTAACATCTCTCTTTTTAAGGCTACTTGAAAAAATGTTTCCGACCATTTCATTCGCATAACTCTATAATATTCTCTTATTATTGATAAGTCTTGTTTTGTTCTAGTCGACCCATTTTACAACGTGCAAGTTATACAAATTCGCACTCATGACTTGAACAAGTCCAATACAATAATTTGTGACCGTCACGATATAGTTTACATACATGGAGATAATTACAGCGAAAGCAGCCCCAGGTCTAAGATTTCTTCAAACCGGGACAGTAACTTGATAGTGACGCATTCTCTCAACAGTATTTGAAATAAATTGTTAAAATACATGTTAAAATATATGTTATATAATACCGGCAATATTATATCGTGATTTAGACGGCCCATAAAAATTATGCTAGGACCAGGTAAACACATCCAGGACTGAGCGAAACTTCCAATGGCACTAAAGCCTATTTCGGGGTAATTTAGTCATAATTTTGTCAAATTATTTAGTAAAAACATTGATTATAATGTTGTTGTTGTGACGAGTTGTTAAAATACTCGTCTAAATTGAAAAAAAAAAACAGTTTGAATTTGATTTATAGGCGTGAAGAGGCTAGGTACCTACTTATTTGTCATCAAATTATATCTAACTTCGTGCAGTAAAAAACGGTAAGCGCTATATTACCCGAAATCTCATCCCTTTCAATGTAAACTGTATATTTCTGTCATACATGTGTAAAAAATGAGCCATATTTTATCGATTGACAATTGTAACTTGGCATTTAAAATTTCAACTCTAAAAGCTAGTTTGGACTGCATTAGTAATCCAGTTAAGTGGCGAATAGTTAAGTAAAATTTTATTCGATAATATCCCTTTACTGGGGGAAAAGTGTTAGTAATGAGCTCTATATTCCAATTCTAGCAATATACCCTCTCAGGTCGACCTCCACGCGGTTCCCCTGGAAACCATAATGGTTCATTCTTGTCGAATTCATCATGGTGGGCCAAGTGATTTTTCGGTGTATACCGATAGCTCGGGCGGGGTTATCATTTCATTTTTACCCATTAAAAAACAAAATATCCTTTAACTAAACTACTCGCCACTCGACTTAACCACTAGTGCAGCCTAAACTAGGCTTAATATTGTAATTAGTTCATGAATACCGTAATCATTATGAACATTATGACCGTGCAAGTGTGATATGAGTGATGTTCCGTTTAATCTAATAATACCTTTACAGTGAACTATAAAAATATGGCACTAACGGTGGTATAATCTCAAATGCAGTAGGCAAACATTTTGAAAGTTTCCAACCCAAATACAAAATGATTCAATACACTTGCGTGCATTATTACTTCCCTATTTTTATTATTTTAATAATCGAGATTCTACTGTAAATGATTTATTAAAAGCGTAAATACAAGATGTGTAAAAAAATGGATTTACAGTTGTACACCAAACAAAACTATAACAAAATTGCACGCAAGTGTACGGCTGCAGTACTACGCCACTTTTTGCTCAACATATCGTCATAGTCGTAGAATACTGACGGATCTTTATATGTAATCTTTGTCAGATCCGTCAGTATTCTACGACTATGACGATATATGTATGTCGCTCATTGTACCTATTGCACAAGTTAAGTAATATAGACTTTAAATCAAATCAATAAGTCCGCTTTTGTACTGTGTTTATTTTTTAAAATGTAACTAGTCTTGTTCAATAAAGCTTTTACTTTCTCATATTGTCATAAAATTCTAAATAATATATCGTTATCGCACAAGAGAGTTCGTTTTACTGTGACTGTCAATTGGTCACTGCATACACCGAACTGTAATGGCGGTTGCAGGCCTGTTTAAAGATCTTCATAAACATGCAGAAAAATCCTTTGGGAGATCATTCGCAAACATTTGTACAAATGTTTGCACAACTCTTTCACATCTTCAACCACTGTAATATTTTTTGTCAATACTTTTTGTTTTGTTTGGAACCGCTATAATATTATATGTTAGTGTCAATTATATAAGCAGTGCCGCATTTAGGGTCTGTAGGTCCCTACACTATTTTTTTATATTATATGTAAAATCTCAGCGTGGGTGGGGGTCTCATTTTACGTATAAAATAGATTATTTATATTTCAAAACTGAATTACAAATGAATTTTCTATTATTAAATTTATAGAAATTTAAGTTCCCACTTTTCATCTAATTTTCCAACCAATTCCGCCCATTTGTGGCAAGAGTCCATTTGTGATGGGGGCCTTTCGTGGTGGAGACCCCTAAGTTATAGCCTATGTAACCTATAGTTAAATGCGGCGCTGTATATATGTAGAGGTGCATACAAACACACGACCTAATCGGTCATCGATTATTCGTAGCTAACGAACCTCTAAAATACCAAAATTTCACGTGCGAATCAATTTTGAATTTTATTTTAGAAATTTAACAAGCAGTCGATCTCAAAATTTTATACCCCATGATTTCTCGCCCCTGTAATTCGCATCTGTTATCAGCATTATTTTTTATAATGTAGTTATTATGTTTTATTCTAAATTTAAATGAGATTTTATGGCTAAAGCGCGAGAACAAATGACCGTGTAAAAAAAGTTACAGTACTCAAAGGAAATAGGTATATTATTCATACGGTTGTAACGTGTATCCAATGATCAGCTCTTTACGCTCTTATTTGTTTTATTGTAAGCTGATTTCATTAAAAATTATAAATGCTTGTGTCATTGCCTTTTTAATTAGCGGGCCACAACGTTAGCGGTTATTAATTGTCCGCTCTATATATAAATAAGTCACATAAAGATCCTGCTTTTCTTGATTATACATATTCGCTATAGAGAATTGAAATATTTGGTCTAGTCAGTACAAAGAGAATGTTATGCGAAAGTCAGCCTTAAACGTGAATACGTATAGTCTATTTTTTAAAAAAAGTCCGCTTTTAATGTAACCGACATATCGCGTCGAGCCGAGATTGGGCAAATACGAAACCCTATTAAGGGGGAATTTGTGCAAAATATGCATGACAAATATTAAATACAGCTTAATATCGAGACGAAAGGACCTGCGCGGACGAGCGACAATGCTCACCATTTGGTCCAAAATAAAATAAGACGTAATTGCATCGAATACGTACTGATGAGTTTATGGTAAGTTCCCGCTGACTGACAACAGGGAATCTTGATGAAAGCAGACAAAAGTCGCTCGTTCGCGGAGGCCCTAATTCCAAATTTCAAGCACCGCATCTGCCGTGTCGTCAGTGGGCGGCCGCTAGTCGTGCGGACGCGGCGGCGGCGCGCGCGGCGGCAGCGGGGACGCTGGCACGCTCCGCGTCTCGCTATTACTGTGGCCCCACCTACGCACATATGTAATAAAATAATATTATAATTTGGTACTATCATTATTACATATTCATGTTTTAAACACATATAGGTCGTCTGTAAGAGATTACCCTAGCGATAAGATGCGTATATTTTAATCTGTTTTTTATGTTACTGTATTTCACTTGTATTTTCTAATTGTTTTTGTACATTTTTATGTTTTTGGTGCAATAAAAAATTAAATATATAAAATATAACTGATGACTTGTGATACGGGTTCTTCGGATACCCAGTTCAGGCACCAGTTCTCTATAACTTTGATGTATCTATGGTATTATTTTAAGTGTTTAATTATTTTAAATGTTTTCATAACTTGACAGAATAAAATTTTTGGAGGAACTAAATTTTAATTGGGTTGTTAAATGCATGTCGTAGAGCACTGTAAATAATGAATTAAAAATATTGTAATTTTTTCGAGTTATTTTTGAAAACTGGCAAACAATTGCGACGTTGAACAAAGTTCGGTAAGCTCTGGTATGTACGCTCTTTATATTGAAATACATTGTTCTTTTTATTTTAAATCACAGACCATCATACGTCTCAACCACATACATCGACCACCCCTTCCTTTCCCATGGGCATCAAGAGATGACTAAAGGAACTAAATGGTCGAGGAATGGGCAGCAACGTAAAACATGACCAAAACCGAACAACGGTTATCAATTCGCCTGCCAAGCGTGACAACTACTGGCATCCCCCCCCCCCTTTATCGGGGAGGCCTATGTTCAGTAATGGGCAGTCAATGGCTAATGGGGATGGGACTACTCGCCACCGTCAGGGAGTTCATTCTATATCCTGCTTGTAATTATTTATATTTATAATAAGTTTACTATTGTAATCTTTTGGAGGAACAATAAACCCCGTCTATTTATTTATCACGATCTCTCCTGGCCAATCGTGCTAACTGACCTGGCTTTTCATTTTCACGTATCATCCGCCACTGGTGTATACCGACAGAGCCGGCGGGGTTACCATACCATTATCATCCATACTCTATACCCTAGAACTTGGATAGTCGCGTATAGCGCGATTTCAGAGGTACTTTCTCCTATAGACGTTCAAATTATAAATTGAGCTATCTGCTGACATATCACTGTCGGGTACTTGAAAAAAATGTGAAGAGATTTCTTTAAGTCCTGATATTGTAGGCATTCATATGCTACGGTAGCCGCTTATCATCAGGTGGGCTACATGCTTGTTTGCCAGCGCAATAGTATAATGAACGTTCTATATAAGCAACCTCTTTATAAGCAACATTTTTTATATTTTATTTATTCTACTCAGCTTAATTAGTAAAAGAAATAAGTTAAAATATTTTCCAGACGGTAAGTATTTTTATACTCCTTTTTTTCCTATAAGTAACTATTCCCAATAAGAATGTTTTTTATTAAAATTGGTTGAAATGAGTTGCTTATATGGAGCATTCACTGTATAATATAAGACAGTAGGGGGGAAGGGATTGTTAGTAATAGGGAGGTTAGTCTCCATTGCTATCAATAAACCCTATCAGGTCGACCTCAACGCGGTTCCCCCTGGAAAATATCGGGACTAATTTATCGTTGAATACGTCACGATGGGCTAACTGACCTGTCTTTTCATCCTCACCTATCATCTCTCACTGGTGCCCCGCCAGTGTACACCGATAGCGCAGGCGGGGTACCATTCCATTATCACCCATTAAAAAAGAATATAGGACAATAAGAGTGCACTGACCTGTGCTGCAAGTGGTGCGGGTGGTGCGGATGGTGCAGCGGCTCCCGGCGCGCTGCAACGTGAGACCAGTTCACGTACCCGCTGAGCCGCCGCTTGAGCAGCCCCGCGAGCGAGTGCAGCCAGCCTGCGACCAACCGACAATGTGCACACCGCCCGACCGCCCGCCACCCACCGCCCACCGCCCTCTACCGGCCACTACCGGCCACCCATCGCGGCAACACTACGCTCGCACGCTCGCTCTGTCCACTCTATCGGAAGCTCTTTGGTTTATGGACGAATACAAAATTGTAAAGGCTCGGACTCGCGGCTTCAGAATTAATCGTATCATAGTTTTTTTTTTTAAATATTTTTCTTAAATATCAGTCTTATTGCATGCTGATTTCATTTTTTTTTCATATTGAACCTCGATCTACTTTATACAATCTTTTTCGCCTCCCCATGGAAAGAGAATACGAGAACTTAGAAAGATACTTATTCTTAATAGTATGAAGTTGGACAGCAACATACTTGTGTAAACTGTATTTTTATCGAAGTCTATCTTTCTATTTTCAATAAGTCTCGACTCCCCAGACAGGAAAGGGATTGTTAGTAATTGGGGTCTAATAGCCCCATTACTAGCAATATACGCTCTCAGGTTGACCTCCACGTGGTTCTCCCTGGAAACCATCATATTTAATTCTTGTCGAATTCATCACGGTGGGCCAACTGACCTGCATTCATTCTCACCTATCATCTTCCACTGGTGCTTCGTCGGTGTATACCGATAGCGCGGGCGGGGTTACCAATCCATTTACACCCATTAAAAAAAAAACTCGACTCTGCTATCGTGGTGTGAGCGAGATGGAAGACACTACAGTCATTTATAATTTACATTATTCAGAAATTGTCAAAAGTAAATTCATCACTATCGAAATGTAATTACTGTCTTATTACGTCACAAGTTTACTAGACCTATTTTAGGTATTCGAATATTTTATTTCTTTTTTTAATCATTTTTTTTATTTTAAACAATAAAAGCGATAAAGCACTAATATTTTACAATAAGTTTGCACCACAAATCAGTTTTTATAAGACGTTTAAAATTTACTTAATCCATTCTAGAACCAAAGAGCTCCGTAACGCGTTCGGTACCCGGACACAGATGGTTACATGTGAACAGCGAAGCTACAATTGATAAAATGTAATGAATGATGATGACAGTACCGTCACTAGATGCCGCGCCAAGCTGGGTTGTATGGTTTATTTAGGTATACGCCAACATACACACCCAAACATAATGTACATCTATAACTCGTCTCCTTCGTACGCGGCACACTCTATTAAGTCCATGGGTAACAAAGTAAATTAGAAAGCTAAAATAAATTATCCATAAAAACTAATACATCCTACAAAGCTATTTTAACTATAAGAAAGTTTTGTCCCTGTTTCTCAAATTGAGAAATTATCACAAACGAAAAAGACAAAACAATAGCTAAAATAGCTTTATGAGATGTTTGAAGTTTTTATGAATAAGGGAGTAAGACTTGCTGGAACGTGGAAAGAATATAGCGCGCACAATCAGTTGTTCGAAGATACATTATACATCCGCCATAGGAGTGCCGCATACAAAGTTGTCAAGTTACAGCAGTTTTGACAATATCACTAAGTTTGAATATAAAGCCTGACAACTAAATCTTAATTCCATCCAATTAAATTTGATTACTCTGAAATTCAACTGCATGGAATGGGACAAGCAATTTTTTTTTTTAATAAGGACATGTAAAGATTCTATAATTTTTTTTCTAGTCAGGCTTTGAACAGAAATATACACACAAACGTGACTTTGAAAGTAGTAATTAACAGATATAGATTATGAAATGAAAAAATGTACATGGCAATAAGTACTCTTAATAATTAAATGGGTGTTAATGTTGGCAACACTACCAGACCCCCGAATATAAGACCGTTCCAAGAATACAGGTAAATTGTTTACTAATAATTTATATATATATAAAAAATAATTAAGCTTTACTTACCTTTATAAATTATAGATTAATAAAATTTTATACAACATTCAAATATTCGTCACTTACTTTTTGTTCTCTGTCTTATTTAGTTTTTTTTTTTTTGAGAAATCTATTTTGACAGCATTTTATTATTTAAATTAAGAAAAAAGTATCTATAAAGTATATTCACATAGTCATAGATAATAGACACTTTTATATTTATTTTCTCTCCAATAATGAATCACCGGGGTTTGCACCAAAGTATTCTTGGAGTTAACCAAAAACCACACAACCCTTACTAGACAAACATAAATATAACCTTTATTAGCTGGGCATTAAGAACGTGTTTAGTGTAGCGAGGCATATGACAGCAATGGGCAGGCGATGTGGGGCGCGTGAGGACAGCGGCAAAGCACAGGTTTGCGACATTGACAACATTCTGATCATATACGCCAATATATGTTTTTCATAATATAATTTTGGATCAAATGTTCGCCAAATACGCCGGTTTACTGGTATTATACTACACACATTTGAACAAATGTTTGTAAATATTCCCACTTAGGAAGTTATCACACTGTCATATAATTATATAGGATCATAATATTTTTTTTTATACTACAAAGGTGGTAAACAAACATACAGATATATTATTTTTAAAACTAAAGTTCATTTTTTAACAATATCTGTATCCGGGAGTCTTCTTTGGGGGGCGTACGACGCTTTTCGTCACAGAGAATGTGAAACGAGACGCTGTGACGCAAAGCGCTGTACGCTCCTTGTAGGAGACTAAGTTCACAAACACTTTACAGATATATTTAATAAGTACATTTCAGCAATAATGAGATTATTATTAAACTATACAATATCTACCATAATATTGTGCCCAATAACATGATAGATCGATCCAAATATGATCCCGCATATATGATAATGTAATAGCATATTCACTTATAAAAAATATACTACTCTGTAATCCACGAGTAATTTTACATTTTATATGAAATATTAAAATATATATATATATATATATATATATATATATATATATATATATATATATATATATATATATATATATATATATATATATACTGTGACAAAACAAATGTTCTGTCGCTGTTTGTGAGTTGGTATCAATTTATCAACACATTTGATCAAATGTTGTAAACATAACAAGATACACATAAAAATGTTCACAATAAGATACAAATTTTGAGAAGAGTGATCGAAACTTAAGCGATACGAGTTAGTAAGAGGTTACTTATAATACTTGTACTCGAGCCGTAGCTGCCGAGCTCGGTTCGTTTTGACAAATGTCGGAAACGCAAATTGTAAACAGCATTTCTGTATCCGGCGTAAGCGGAATATCTGCGAAGCACATAGGAATGCGTCTAAAGCAAATTTTTCCCATATTTTTCTGTATTTTTTTTTTTTTTACTTTTCTCATGTAACATTTACACAGTGAAGGGATCTTGTGACACATACAGTACATGAAAATGATGGGATGATATACTGGCATAGTGAAATGATTGTAGTGTTTTTTTTTTTTTTTAAATATAAAAATTTCAGATGTTCCGACACCTTTTTTTTTATTCATATGCACTTAGGAAAGATTTCTTAATAACACTGAAAAATTACAAATATTTTTTTTTTTATGGGAAATCTTTTATATATAATAAAATATTCTAACATTACCAAAGATCGTATCACGATGCAATAAGGTTTCTTTTTTATTTAATTTAATTTAGTCCATTTTTTCGAACCGCATCTCAATTCGCAATTGCAACACAAGCATAATCATCGACATCCAACCGTTGCAATAGTTTTCTTTTGTCTAACCGCAACCACCAATAAATTTAAACACAAATCACCTATGAACAGTGACAAGTATAAAATGACGCAAGTTAGCGTTAGTACGCGAGTAACACTTGTACAGAGCGAGTTATTAAAAAAAAAAACTTTTTTATTTATATTAAAAAACTACAATGATATTTTTAATCGAAACCGTCGACAGTAAAGAGGCAGGTATGCAGGTACTAATTACCTGCAAAGGTTTTTCATCAACAACAATTCGAATTTTTTAAATAAACAACTACAATCATTTCACACAAACGCATACTATACGGCTGATTAGAGTGGCAAGCGCAGCGTCTGCACTGTCGACACTACATAGTCATAGGCTGGCTGCCCTCCTTCACGTACCATATTCTGATACACACTTGTATATAATATAAACATTGTGTCTCTAGTATTAATAAAAAAAAAATATATAGCTGAGTGGAATGTATGTTTCTTTTTAAATTTGTAATTTTTTTTTTTATATATATTTGCTCGAAATGTGGTAACAATAATGGTAAGTAATATAAACATTGTGTTTCTCAATAAAAAAAAATATATAGTATCTTTTTAAATAAAAAAAAAATATAATAATGGTAAGTAATATAAACATTGTGTTTCAAGTATCAATAAAAAAAAATATATAGCTGAATGGAATGTATGTTTCTTTTTAAATTTGTAATTTTTTTTTTTAATATTAGCTCGAAATGTGGTAATAATAATGGTAAGTAATATAAACATTGTGTCTCAAGTATCAATAAAAAAAAATATATAGCTGAATGGAATGTATGTTTCTTTTTAAATTTGTAATTTTTTTTTTTTAATATTAGCTCGAAATGTGGTAATAATAATGGAAAGTTTTTTTTAACAATAAAAAAAAAATATAGCTGATGTATTTGCATGAAATGTGGTAATAATAATGGTCTTAAATATTCTTGATCTACACATTTCACCTTATCTAAAGGCATGCAAATTTAGTATTATAATTTAGTGGCTTACGTATATTGATAGCCTAGTAGGAGTCAATTCATATAATTGATACATGTTATTATGATGATAATAATTGTGTACATGTTATTAAATTTGCAGGTTGGAATTTTTATTTTATTTTATTGGCACATAAAACAGATCACAACCATAAAAAAACTTAAGTGATAGTTACATTTGTGATTCGGCTAGGTTATAATTCAATTACATTATGTGCACAGCTTGAGTAATTCATTAAAAGAACTGAGGTCATTATGAATATTTGTGACATAAAATATGTACTGAGTGCAAGTACGTACAGATTTTGTTAAAAAAAAAAAAAAAACAATGACTTTAATCGAATAAATCCAGTTGTTTACATTTAAAACCCAAACTATTGAGCCGATTTTGATGAAATTTCTATGGGGTTAATCTGAAAATATATCCTTACAAATGAAACAAAAAAATCCATATTGGTTTATAAATGAACGAGTTCTAAGATTACAAACATTAAAATATCCGAATTGATAATTTCCTTCATTTTTTAAGTTTATTAAAATTTTATTTAAATTTTAAGGGATTTTACAAGGGATATCCCATTGCAAGATGAATTAAGCTAGTTTCTCTTTTAATTTATAATCAAAATATAATTAATAAATGAAACATATATACCAACATATACTGCTAGGCATACATATTTTTGGATTGCATTTTCGATATGTAACCTTTTGCATGTTATAACAATAGCGTTTAAATTTATTGTTACCTGTTTTGTATACTAATAAATAAATAAAGTCATTGAAAATTTTGTCATAATTCTATTTTTTTCTTAATTTTAAATACTAATATTAAATATAATAACTTCAATTACATTTTATTGAGTGTCACAAATCCAAAAATAATCTGGTTATATAATCTTGTTGAAATATTCATCTTTTCGGTATAGAGGTGAAAGGGTATAAATAATGTAAAGTCCAGTGATATATAGTATTCAAGAAATTAAAGAAATATATATATATTTCTTATACTACATAAAAGGGTCACATAACAGTGCGAAAAAGATAGTTTCCTTATTTTGATTACTTGAATACTATATAAAGGATTTCAGGTCGTTGCACCCTTCCGTATACCGGGTGTATCCAGATATCTACAACATATCAAATATAATATAATGTTGCACAAATATATACATATAAGATACAAATTATATTAGATATTTATTTTTTTTTTGTTTATAAAAGAAAAAAAAATAATAAAATTGTAATGGGAATAACATAAGTAAATCAAACTGGACTTTTAATTTAATGAATTACGATCAAATTATCTGTACGGACGTCAATATACAACATTATGTTTGAACAATATCGAATTTGGGATTTCAAGATCATGTACTTCTACTACATCCATACTGACAAGTTTAAAAAGTTAACTACAGAAATTTTAAATATCAGTATGCCAAAATACCCTCTTTACACCATTAACAATAATATCCCAGTGTCGAAAACTCTACCAGTCGTTCAATAGACACATCTCGACAGAGCAATGCGTGCCAAATTCTCATGCAATCATTCGGGACATGCCAAAGATATTGGATCACTGCTTATTCTTTATTCTCAGATAATACTATTAACTTTATAAAATTCATCTATAAAAAAAAACTGTAATAGATATTATGACCTTAACGCGAGGGACATATTAATCTCGGTGAGGTACGACGCACAGTTTGTGACCCCTTCCTTCTTTATTATTTTTTTTTTGTACAACTTAGAAAGGCAAACAAGCTGACGGCCCACCTGATGGAAAGTGGTAACCGTCGCCTAGAGACATGAGCAGTACCATGGACATAACAGTACACACACATACTGTTTCGCCAATGATAACCCCCATGCGTTGCCATTCCTGAGGACTCAGGTGTTACTCCTCTGTACCCAGTAAATTCTCTTCACGGTTGATAAAAATATCGCACGTATATTGATAGTGTGATAAATGTCAATGGTGTATACTAACCATGGTCGTCGTGGTGCAGTTTGGTGGGCGGTAGCGGTGCTATATCGCTGCGGAAACCATTGCGCAACTCAGCGCGTGTCAGACTCTGACTGCGGCCCTCGGATAACCTGCACGACAGGCACAATCTTGTCAATTTTTACTCTTGATCACTTTCGTTGTTTATTTGTGATATCCTATATAATCTATAAGTATGTATGTATATTTATATTTGTATGTATGTTTTTTTATGATATATATTTGTATATTTTTTTTTATGTGTGAAGATGAAATGGTAACCCTGCCTGCGCTATCGGTTTACGCTGGCAGGATGCCAGTGAAGGGTGATAGGTGAGGATGAAGACAGATCAGTTGGACCGTAGTGACCAATTGAACAAGAATTAACCACTATGGTTTTCAGGGGGAACCGCGTGGAGGTCGACCTGACAGGGTATATTGCTTTGTTAGGGTTGTTAAATCTCGTTATTAACAATCCATTTCCCCCCAATATTTGTATATTTATGTAATATTTGTTTAATGTATTCATGTATGTATATTTATATAATCATAGTGTGCAGTAATTGCCCATTGTATGTGTCGTGATTTGTAAATATATCGATACGTACGTGTAAATATTTATTTGTAAAAATTTTCAATTTTTTCACCAAATATTTAAATTTCTGTTTTACCAAAGGTTAACTGGAAGAGAATGTTATATTATATGCTATATATGTATTAAGTCCGCCTTTTGTATCAGACATTTTTTATGTAATGTGGTCAATAAAGAATAATAAAATAAATAAATAAAAATTATCACAAAAATAACATGCATTTCATCATCAAATTCATATGTAAATCTACATCGAATGAAGTACATAGTACAATGCTTTAGTTTGACGAAGCTAAAACGATGCACTTTGCGGCGATGTGTTACTAAATACTACACGCTAGTAATACACGAACGCTAGTCCAGTCGCTGCTCGAAGCTCGATACAACGGGAGGCCTTTTCAAATTGCGGCGCATGCGCATAAGTCCATGTGGACTTATGCGCATGCCTTGCCTCACTAAATACTTTAGTTCAGTATCATATATATATATATATATATATATATATATATAATATAGCAAGGAATATCAGCTTAGAAGCATGGAACTACTTAAGCTCATCTATCAATAAGTGCACAATATTCCTTCCTCCCCGTTCACACGCCGCCAGGACACCCTGAGCCTGGCGCCCCCACTAGTTTTACACTAGATTAATTTAGACTTAGTCATAAAAACACAGCTTAAAAGTTTGTAGACGATTTTAAAATGGTTTGAAACTGACACTGAATGCTCACCGTATCATTTCTACTCACACACTCACGTCATTGTCAGTACATTCTAAGGTGACGTTCGTTTGCTTATAATTTTTGTTAGCTTAATAATTTACCTATCGTTAAGCAGCAGTGGCGAGGGCGGATGCAACCGGTCGTGTAACGGCGGCGGCTCATCACCATTTGCTGCAACAACCATGAATTATTTTATTAGAGAGAGAAAGAGAAATATAGATAGAGTGAGAGAGAGATAAAGACAGAGAGAACGAAGCTTTTTTATATACTGGCACGACACTGATTCCACTCCTTTCTTTTCCTTTCCAGATCTTCGTAACTTCTACAACACAGTTGGTTGCCTTATTCAGGTCTTCCTTCGTGCAAGATGAAGGACACGAAGGACAAGACAGGAGATAAGACATGGTATGCGATTGCGCTCCACAGTCGCAGGTCTCTCGAGATATAACACCTCATTTCACCAAGTACCAGCAGCGGCCAGCCTGGGTTTGCAGTCTATTAAGAGATTTCCAGATTGACCTCTGCAAGTCACCATCCAGGAGTAGGTTACTTTTTTTTTATACCTCTGAGGTGGCAAACAAGCATACGGCCCACCTGATGGTAAGTGGTTACCGTAGCCTATGAACACCTGCAATACCAGAGGTATTACGCGTGCGTTGCCGACCCTGAAGAAACCTCTTTACCCCCCCCCCCCCCCCTTTGAAGAATAGGTTCAACGCAATATTGTATCTTACCTGTGACACCCAACTATGCCGGTTTATATAGATTTCTTCATGCCCCTTTTTAACAAATCTAAGTTACACTTGACAAGAAATCCCAGTAGAATTTCTGTAATTAGATGGTGCGACAAGATCGGAGTTGTAAAATTTTCTGGCCAGCCATGGGTAGTTCTGTGACGAAATTTTTTTTTACACAACATTGAATGGCAAACAAGCTGACGGCCCACCTGATGGAAAGTAGTAACCATCGCTTATAGACATGAGCAGTACCATGGACATAACAGAGTATACCGCCTCGCCCATGATACCCCCCATGCGTTGCCATTCCTGAGGACTCAGGTGTTATTCCTCTGTACCCAGTAAATTCACGCCATATCCCACCCTTCAAACCGAAACAGAGCCATGTAAACACAACTGCTTCACGGTTGACACACGAATGGGACAGAGGTAATCAAGCAATCGACTTTTGTACAAAGTCTCCCTCGGGCAGAGAGAGAAATGAGGACAGAGGAATAATTTCTCATGAACAAGCGATAAAAAATACTAAGGAAGGCAATTTTAATAGCACTTTAATTTCAAATGAGATGAAAGTTAATACCTTCATGTCCTAACATCGGATGCTGCCTACTGGTCCGCGGCGGCGGCTCCGGCGACCTGCCCGTACTGTGCTCTCTGCTTAAACTGAAATATAACATTTTATTATACAATTTCATATATCAAACAAGCTGATGACTCATTATATTGACGCAGTGTGTAATTAAGAATTGTATATCTCACCCATCAAAACACAGCCATACAAGCTCAGCCACTTGACGACAGTTAGCACAGGCGGGATTACCACACCATTTTCACAAATAAAAAAAAAAAATCTTACCTCCTGTGCCTAGGTGTGGAGTGTAGGTCCACTCTAGACCGCCTCTGTTGACTTTGGTGGTAAAATCGTTGTAAAACTATGGGGCTTGTGTTGCCGGAACTCTGAAATTAATTTTTTTTTGCGTTTATCTTACCAAATACTTAAATTGATTTTGTAATATACTTATAATCACAAAATGTGGTTTAGTGAATTTGTTAGACCCTCTCTTTACACTTCATGTTTTATATTAATATTAGATACTTCTATTAATATCAATATATAAAAAAAAAGCGGCCAATGCGCGACCGTTCGGTAGATTTTTTTTTATACAACTTAGAATGGCAAACAAGCTGACAGCCCACCTGTTGGAAAATGGTAACCGTCGCCTATAGACATGAGCAGTACCATGGATATAATAGAGTATACTGTTTCGCCCATGCATTGCCATTCCTAAGGACTCGGATGTTATTCCTCTGTACCCTGTAAATTCACGCCATATCCCACCCTTCAAACCGAAACATAGCCATGCAAACACAACTGCTTCACGGTAGAAACACGAATAGGACAGAGGTACCCAAGCAATCGACTTTTGTACAGTCTCCCTCTGGTACACGAATGGGACAGAGGAAAACATTGTAGGAAAACAGTAGATACAAGATGTTCCATATGGGAATTAATGGAGAAGTTGGTGCTACTGAACACCGACTAAGAGCTGAAATTTGGATTTGGATTGAGATCGATGTTGGATTCAAGAATTATCCTACTGTTTGTTTGTTTGTTTATTATTATTATAATTTAATTGCTTTCTATTTATATACAATTGTTATTTTCTTTTGTTTGTTTTGTTTTGATTTCTTTTGTTCTTGTTTTGTGCGCTACTGTGTGGGCCGCATGCTTCTTCGATTAAATTATTTCTTTCTTTCTTTCAAATAAAATAATTCTATTTAGCGTTAAGTTCTCTTTTTGACCCTCATATCACTATTCAATGAAATGAAATTTCATTATACAAATAAAAATGAATTGTAATTGTAAACGAATGTAAAATTAATAATTTATTATATATTCATTTGTCAATCATGATCAAAGAAAGTTTAAAAATTCGTATAGAAAAATAAAAAAAAAAAACATCTGGGTTAAAAAAAAATCTCAATTTAACACTTTGAGTGCCGACGAGCGTCATAGCGCTCGTGAAAACAGTCGCTGTTTAGCTTGCTGTAAAAAAAAATATTTAAATTGGATTATTTTTGGAGATACAGTTTTTTTTAGAGACAAGGGTTAATGACATCGACACGACAAAGATTTCTTTGGCATTTTTAAATAGATATGAGTAAAAATCAATGCCACTAAAAGGGTTAAAAAAGTATGCGAGTGAGTGAGAGGGAAGATTTGGTCTTATCTTCATTAGTACCTACACACTCACCAAGACAAGACATAAATAAATATTTTATAGTGTGATAATTACGGCGGGTGAGGCAGTGGTGGTGGCGGGCCGCCAGCGGCTGTCGGCCGACACGCGCCGCGCCGGCGGCGGCGGCGGTGACGCACTCGTCTCTACCGTCCTACAAGCAGAGATATGTAACAGTTAACACTTTCACATTTATATATAACTAGCTTTTAACCGCGACTTTTCCGCGTGTTTTCCTGATTGGACATCCTTCTCCTTAACTTTCATATTGATTGGTTAACTTAATGGTTAACAAACAAACAAACTCGGAGAGATGGACAGCAATCAAACCTCAGAGTCTTTCAATTTTTAACAACATCTATGACGTTAATAGTAATGATTATCGGGCAGTTGGTAGGACTTTGTACACATGCTGATATTATTTGTAAAACACTTGTACTCTACTACAAGTTTTTTTATTTTTTTAATAATACAATGTTCCATGATGTTTATACTGCATAGAGTTGCCTGGAAGAAATCTGTCAGCTACTGAATAAACTAAGAGTCTGGCAACTACTGGCAACGCCCCTTCCCCTCCCTCCCATATAGAGCGAGGCCTACGTTCAGCAGTGGACGGTTAACGGCTAATATTATAATGATTCCATTTATCGAAGTTAAACAGATAACAGTGGTACGTACCTGCGGCGTGCGTAAGGCGAGTATCCGCTGTAGTCCTCGAGGCTAGCCGGCTGCGACCCTCCCGCGCCCGCCATATTATCGACGCCCCACCGCGCCCTGTAAATCATAATACAATTCAAGATCAATTCAGACGAACGAACCGAATATCTGCGCAGACAATTTTTTTTTTAAAAGCATACCATATTTCTGTGTTGCAAGTAGTAATTAAATTATTATTTTTAAAACTCTTTTTCATTTTGAACGATGTCCACACACAAGCACAATGATTCCCATTATATTATAAATTTAAATTCCTAACTCAAAAACAGTTTATATTGTTGCGTTAAGATTTATATTTTAGAGCAGAGACAAGCTGCAATAAAAAAATAAAAACATAATTTTTTAAATATGTATTTATTGTTTGGAAAACTTTCAATACTGATCGAGAAAAGATTATACAAAAAAAAAAGCATAATTCCAATTTCAAATACATCTACTTCTACAGTGTTCCTGAACAAATATAACAATTTACTATAATTAATTTTAAATAGAATTTATTAATAATAAAAAAGCATAGAATTGGTCGTCTCTCGCTTTCCCGTGGGTGTCGTAAGAGGCGATTAAGAAAACCTTATGGTTGAGGGATGGGCATGATGGCGTCTGTCTTAAAACATCGCCAAAAACCAAACTGCGATTGCCTGTCTACCAAGCGTGACAACTTTTTTTTTATACAACTTAGAATGGCAAACAAGCTGACAGCCCACCTGATGGAAAGTGGTAACCGTCGCCTATACACATGAGCAATAGCATGGACATAACAGAGTATACTGTTTCGCCCATGATACCCCCTATGCGTTGTCATTCCTGAGGACTCAGGTGTTATTTCTCCGTACCCCGTAAACTCACGCCACATCCCACCCTTCAAACCGAAACACAGCAAACACAACTGCTTCACGGTAGAAACACGAATGGGACAGAGGTAGCCAAGCAGAAAGCTTATGTCCAGCAGTGGACAGGTAACAATGATGATGATCGACTAACCTATTAGGAGTAGGTGTGACTTGCTCCGGGAGCCAATACTGCGAGGTAGTGACGAAGTTGCGGGCGGGCTGCGGCGTTGACGGCGGCTGCGGCTCGAGGCCGTTGTGGCGGGCTGGGTGCGCGGGGTGCGCGGGGTGCGCGGGGTGCGGGGGCTGCGCGGGGTGCGCGGGGTGCGGGGAGCGGGCGAGGCGCGAGTCGGCGGACAGCGACGCGTACCACGCCTCCACCGAGACAGTGCTCTGAGCTGATTTCACCACGAACGGGTGCTCAAGTAACTTCGCGTATTTAGGTCGATGCCTGTAGTTTTTTGTTAGGCTGAAATAAAAAGGATCAATATTTTAAATCTTTATTAATAATTTGTAGTTGTTGATTATATTATTGATTTTCATATAATGAGAGAATGACAGCAGAAATGAATGTGAGAAGTAAACGTCGCTGTCATGTCTGTATGTCCAGTGCGAAAGATAGAAAGAGGTGAAATATCTATGTACAATTAAATTAACCTACTTGATGGAAAAGAAAGTAATGATGTTGACAAATGGCTATGAGATGAATATTTACAATATTAATTTACAGACGCCACAAATTATTATAATTAATATATAGTTATTAATTTACTGTTATGTAAATTTGAATAGTTATAAACTAAATTTCTAATGTAAGTAGTATATTCATTTATTTTCACATTTATTATATAAGTAGGTAGGTATTATATGTATTTATAGTGTATGTATTTATATAATATTTTATTATATATTTTAATATTTTATTTAATTGTATATGTGTTTATGTATTAATAGTCGTAGCACTTCAGCTGCCCGCTAACGAAATGCTTTCTCACTGTACTGGGTTGACTGGAAGAGATCTCTGTCAGAGATAAGTCCACCCTTGCTCGCAACATTTATAAATACATTACTTTATATGTAACTTACAAGTGCAATAAAATAACTTAACAGACACGTTAAGTCTCTTTATATTTATATCTCATTCGCGTGAAATTAGTATTTACACAAATAGATAATGAGATAAGTATTACATTATTTTTAATTACATATAACTGACTATGACCATTTGTTTCAGTGAGAATTAAAAGTATGTACTGATTTTTTTTTTTGATGGGTGAAAATGGTATGGTAACCCGCCTGCGCTAACGGGATACGCTGGCGGAGCACCAGTGAAGAGTAATAGATGAGAATGAAAACAGGTCAGTTAGCCTATCATGATGTATTCATCAGGAACTAACCATGATAGTTTCCAGGGAGAACAGCGAGGAGGTCGACTTACCATTACTAACAATCCCTTTCCCCCCAGTATGTACCGATTGTCATATACTTACTTACGTTTATTAGTCAAGACATAAAATACCAAACTGGTTTTACTCGTTAAAGAATATAGAAGAGTATGAAACAAAAGCGCAGTAAGTGTTTAACCTTAAAATATAAACAGAAACAACATTCCCCCGATTCGTCACAGCAAATGTACCTACATTTGTATTAATTTTCAAACAATATGATTTGTTTCCTTTTAATATAATCAAATACGAATTTTTTCTATACGTACCACTGTGAGACAAATGATTTGAAATCTGGTGTGAAGTCACTATCGTCAGGTAGCTGCGGTGGGTCATCTGATATGACCTGAAAACACACACACACACATATGTACATTAAAGATAAATCATATATATTGCTCTTGTTCTGAGTGGTTTACAACAGTCATTTCATGGCCTATTTACTACATTACTAGCTATTACTCGCTTCTTCATCTGCGTGACCGGAACTTAATATAACTGTCTCCATTCCATATACTATTGCGTATACCAAATTTCATAGTAATTGGTAAAGCCATTAAGACGCTAACAGGTAACAAACAAATTTACTTTCACATTTATATTATTAATACGTATAATAGACAATGATGCTAATACTAAACCTAGTTTAAAGAGACTGATTGGTCAGCGAGCTCTCAATGTATTGACCAGCTCCCTCAAAAGCATTTACCCTTCATGATAAGCTATTCTAAATGGTGAAAAACTAAAACAAAACGGAAAATACACGATATTAGAAAAATAATAGTTTCTGGTATTATTCAATACAAAAAAAAATCATAAATAATAAGATTAAAAAAACAATGTAATGTGAAATGTGAATAGGAGTCTATTTTCCGCGCTTAGCCTCTCATTTGGGCCGCTGTGCGTATGAGTCGTAGCTAGTACAGCCAACCTAGTTCCGCCCAGAAGCGCAGAAGCTTCCTGGGTTCTTCACAGGCGTCACGGAGCGACCTCACCATTCCGAGAATTTCTAAACGTTGAGGGGCCACAGCCTCGCATTCCAGGATTACGTGAGCAACCGTTTCTTCGGCGTCGAAACAGCCTCGACATAGAGGGCTGTCTGTGGCTCCTATTGTGTATAAATGTTTGTTTCATGGACAATGGGCCGTTATTGTCCCTATCATTATTTTGAGGTTTTTTTCTATCTAGATGTAATAAACGTTTTGATAGTCGTCGATTCAACGTAGGTACAGCCAATTTTGATTGTCTGCAATCAGTAGCCTGTATCCATCTTTGGCTTTGTATATCAGCGGATCTTTGACGAATCCATATTCGAAGTTGCGAGAACGGAAGAGGAAGAAGTGGACACGGGCCTACCACCCATTTAAAAAAACAAAACAAAATAATTATATTTTTTGCATTTGATTCAGCTGAGAATACGAATAGGATACTAGTTAAGGGCCTACCTGTGTGTTGTTACCTTGAAATAAATTACAATAAATCGATATTGAAATTGAGACTTTACACACTCTAAAATTGCAACACTAACGACATAGTGGTTCCATATAGTCCTAATAGATACATATTAGTGTAACTTGCCAATGTAAACTATTTTAAAAAGATCCGAATTATAACCTAACTCTTAGCTGTTGTTTCATTAGTGCAGTATAAAATTATCTTTGGTAATAGATTAGATTGATAGATTTACGAAAAGACTTGCTGATCGAAAATGATAAACGACGCCTACAGGCATACTCAGAGACATGAACAACTGTTACACATCTGAGATATGTCATGCATTGCCATTCCAGAGGACTAAGGTTTTAGTGTCCATAACCTTTAATTTTACGCGGGAAGCTTAATCTAATTGCCATCATCCTAAGGTCGCCTGGAAGCTCGCTATATAGCGATAAGGCTGCCCATTGTTATCTCTTTATTTTTGCTTTTATGTAATCGATTATTTGTTTGTATTATACATATTGAGGCATTTGAAATGTGGTCATAGAGAATGGAAAGGATAAGTTGGACAGAAAAAGTAACGAACGAGGAAGTCTTGAAAAGGGTGAATGAGAAAAGACAATAGAGAATAGAAGAGGCAAAATGCTGGATCACCTTATACGACATGACGATTTTTTAAAGAGCATAGTAAAGGGAAAATAGAGGGCAAAAGAGGAAGGGGAAGACTGAAGATTAACTACACGGGACAGATAATGGAAACACTAGGTGTCATGTCGTATAGAGATATCAAAAATATGGCATGGGATAGAACTGGCTGGAAAAAAATGCATGATTGGTTGCACCGACAAAAGGAAACTCTTAAATGAAAAGAGAGAGTATACATATTGTTAATTTTTATTATTTGTATTATTCTTTGAAGGCAACAATACAATTTTTATTCATTCCATTTATTTACTTGGTTTAGATAATTGTCCCATTACTACATCATTTGGGGATGACTATACTAGAATATTCTGTGACTCACCTTTGTGAGGACCTCGAAGTCGTTCTGACAGTCTCTGTATGGAAACACTCCAGTGGCGAGCTCGACCAGCGATATGCCCAGCGACCACACGTCTGCCCTGATGTCGTAATCCGGCCGCGACGGATCTGGCGGGTCTATTCGTTCTGGCTGTAAATGTACTTTGATTTTATGTTAAGAACTGTTCAAACAATAAAAATGGGTTCTTAATTTAAAAATATATTTTTTGTATAATACGTGATATTTTCGACAAAAAAACTTTTTTTTTTAATCAATTATTTACTCCTATATTGTTCTCGTTCCTATTATGATTTTTTTATAGTAGAACGAAATTATATACGACTTTAAAATTTTAAATTACTTTCAAATTTTAAATAATTTGATCAATGATTTTATCTATAGCTTCATCATCCCTAGTGAATCTACGAGATAGAATGAGATAGCAAGCTTTGATGTCTCATTTTAACTCATGGACTCACTTGTGATAAATATTCATCGATGGATTCTCTCTCATTCTCTACATCCTAACCTACTACTCTGGTACCACGCTCGCGTATACTGATAGCGCCAGTGGGGTTACCATTACATTATTACTGTTTGAAAAACTCTTGTCAAGTTCACTTGTAAGTGGTTATTCTTATGAATACTTTATGATGGGTCAACTAACATGTGTGAAATGAAAATCTCACTGGTGTCACGCCAGCGTGTACACGATAACGCAGACGGAGTTACTATTCCATTATCATCCATTAGATAGCATAGGTGTAGAATCTTTTTAGGCATACAGGGTCCTCACTTTACAAGGCGCCTGAAAGAAATTGCTGTTTAGCGATAAGACCGCCTACCGTTGCCTATTTATCTTACATTTGTATAATTAAGTTTTGTTAATATTATTCTTTTTGTTTGTGCACATATTGTTAATCTTTATAACTAGTATAATTTGTAATTTATAAACTCAATAAACGAATATTAGAGAAATCGACAAGATACTCACTGCCATATACGCGGCGCAGCCTGCACTCCGCGTCTTGGCCTTGGAATCGACGAGGCGGCCACTGATGCCGAAGTCGCAAAGCTTCACATTGCCGCGCGCGTCTAGCAGTATGTTGCTCGGCTTCACATCTCGGTGGATGACACCGTGTGTATCTTTCAGGTACGACAGCGCGTTCACAGTCTGTGAACAATACGTACTTGCATGAGTTCATAGTCTACAGTTAGTGGGAAATTACTTTAAGGAAATCCACTGGGAGAAATTGTTCATTAGTATAAAAGAATACTTATAATGAGAGGAGATGCTAAAAGTAATTTTTTTTTTAAGTAAAGTCGAAAAACACCAAAAAATGGACTAACGTGGTACACTCAACTCTCAGATTATGTAGTAAGTAGTACCACGGAGATAGAAAGAATACAAAAAAAAAACTTACAGCAACTGTGACTTTCCCTAGTATAGCCTCCGGTATGGGCGCGGCGAGCCGCTTGAGCAATTTGTCGAAGCACGTCTCCATGAGCTCCATGCAGATCCAGACGTCGGCGTCGGTGACGAAGCAGCCGAGGCAGCGCACGATGTACGGGCAGTCGTGCGAGCGCACCACCACGTCCAGATCCATCAGGATACGCTTAGTCTCCTCCGAGTTGCCGGACCGGCGCATTTGCTGTTCGAACAGAAATCCAAATTATTACTTTGAAAGTTTTTACCTATGACTTCGTCTATGGAACAAGGATTTTTTTTTTTATTTATTTATTCTTTATTGACCACATTACAAAAAAAAATGTCTGGTACAAAAGGCGGACTTCATACTGTATAGCATTCTCTCCCAGTCAACCTTTGTCTAAACAGAAATTTTATTATGCGATGAAAAAAATATGTTGACTTCGTTTTATAAACATCCAAAACTTTTGCTTACTAAACTGTGACAACGTGGCATTTATTTGCCAAATTTCAAAGACAATTCGCCATTTTTCAATCACCGTCCTTTCAGGCATTAACTGTCCACTGCTGAACATAAGCCTTCCCCATAAGGAGAGTCGCCACGCTTAACATACGGGTTGGCAACTGCAGTTAGGTTTTTAGAGATGTTTTCAGAAGGACGCTTTTGATCATCCCTCTATCATTAAGTACCCTTAGTCGACTCTTACGACACCCACGAAAAATTTCCTTTTTCGGTGGTCAATTCTACGCCGGGACCACACGGCCACCATAGCACATTTTTCAATTTCAGTTAGTTTTTTTTTACAACACAGGGGCAAACGAGTATGCGGCTCACCTGATGGTAAGTGACTAAAGGTAAGGCAAGGACTTTACCAGGGGGGAAAAGGGATTGTTAGTAATGGAGACTGAGAATCCTATTGCTAGCAATATATCCAACCAGGTCGACCTCCTCGCGGTTCCCCCTGGAAACTATCATGATTAATTCCTGATGAATTTATCATGATGGGCTAACTGGCCTGTTTTCATCCTCATCCCATTAGCGCAGGCGAGGTTACTACTCCATTATCATCCAATAAAAAAAAAAAAGGACTTTACCAAAAATAAAGTTTAAAAAAGGATTGTATATAATTACAATTTTATTATAATGACTTCATGTACCTATAATAAAATATAAAATGGCGCAGTTCTTTAAATCCAACCTTGAAAAGTGGTTTAACACACGTATTATTTCGTTTCGATCTTGTTGACATGACGCAAATTATGTGCAAAACCTAACGCTATTTGTGTCAGAGGCTGTTGATCTTTGAATTTTCGTATTTGTATGTAAATTTGTGGTTTATTTTGTTATTAACATGAATAATTTATCACAGAGCGATGACCTTGAAAGTTGAATGTCTAATTTTATTTAATACAACTGTTTGTTGTTTGTAACTCAAAATTCCGGAATGTACCAGCTTCCAAAATATTTTAGACTGTGTTAAAAAAAAGAACCTGATTTCCATCCATTCTTCAAACAATCCTTTGAATGTTTCGTATATTACCATACCATTTCCGAGGTGCTTTTGTAGCTTTTGAGATTGCACAAAACAGCTTCACAACACAACATATAAAACTAATACGCCTAAATGTATTTAGTACATATTTTGTTCTCTCCGTAAATCCAGTAGTAGATAGATATGATTCTAGTGAGATAAGGCATTCCGGAATTCCGGTAACCTTCATTTCGTTACGTTTTCCCAAGTCAAACACAACTAATATAATGTCCAGGTATTATTTATTTATTCATTAGTACAAATGTGTGTACATGGCGGACTTAATGCTAAAAGCATTCTCTCCCAATCAACCATAGGGAAGTGTCAGAATACTCGAATGCGGTACTACTAATTATTGATATACATACATACTAAAATTTTATATATATTTACGAATAAATATATATGAATAACAAATATACTTACACATATATGATATATACTATATTATACACGAAATTGAGAATAATATAAAGCACTTACTGCTCGGATAAAGTAAAAAAAGTGAGCGTGAACGCTTTTTTGAAAGACTAATCTGATTACTAATATTTTATTTTTAACGTGTGGAAAGTCTTAAATTTTTCTCTATCCTTCTCTGACATCGGTGACTATTGTGATGTAGACTAGAGACATCCATTATAGTACCTGTCGCGTGTTTGAGAGGGCGTGACGTCAGATCGCAACGGGCGGCAGGAAGTGTCCATACTGTATTTTAGTACTATTACTTATATTGTGCTAATACTAAGTCCCAGGGGAAAAAGGGATTGTTAGCAACGGAGTTTGACAGCCCTATTGCTGGCAATATGCCCTGTTAGGTCGACATCCGCGTGGTTCCCCCTGGAAACCATCGTGAACAATTCTTGTTGAAATCGTTACAATGGATTAACTGAATTGCTTCATCCTCACCTATCATCCTTCACTGGTGCCCCGCTGTTGTATACCGATAGCGGGGGTGGGGTTACCATTTCATTATCACCCATTAAAAAAAAACTAAGTCCCATACTAATTTCATTTCACCGTGTGATAACGACATAGAATACCTCTTCATAGACATAGTCTACCTCTTCCTTTCCCGTGGGTGTCGTATAAGGCGAGTAAGGGAACTAAATGGTCAAGGCGTCCCTCTTTAAACATCACCATAAGGTTGTCTTGAAATAACTCTCAGCAATAAGACCGCCTTGCTGTACTTATACAATTGTATCGTTAAATTTGTAAATTGTCTTACTTATTTCCTACATTGTTTAATGCAAATAAAGTATACTCATTCATTCAAAATGCCATTAAATGCAAGCCCTCCCCCCCCCCAATAAGTGGAGGCCTATATTCAGCAGTGGACTGCTAACAGCTGATATGATGGCAATGATACTAATTTAACAGTTATATGTGTCTTTTAATACACAAAATTATTGATTTTTTGTTCTTTTTTCGAATTTTTCATTCAAAAAATATCAATATGAGTAAATTCCAAGGACAAAGTTGGTCTTAGTTTTGTTAAGGCTACCGATTTCAATTAAAGCCTGCACTACAAATGTATATACTCACTTTGACAGCGATGACAGCGCCGGACGGCTTGTGCAGCATCTTGACGACGTGTCCACAGGTGCCGCTGCCGAGTTCCCCCAGCAGCTGTAGGTCGTTCACATTTGAACGGTACTCTAGGCCGTCTACGTTCAGTTTCCCACTAACCTGTAAAAAAAAAAACAATCGCCCAGTTATAATTTTATTGTATAAGTAAGGTTAGAACAGTCTTTCCCAAAGTTGGCGATAACGCCCTCTTGTGGGCGTTGCAGGCCTAAAGGGTAAGAGACCCAGAAAAAAAAATGGAGGCGTTGTGTAGAGGCCCGTTTAGAATTAATGTTTAATCTCCGCTAAAATAGCTCACAATAATTGATTAATTTAATTTGAAGTAATAGTGGTTTTTAAGTAGGTGAAAAATGGGGTCGCTAAAAATAATTTATTCTCAAAGTGGGCAGTAGATAAAATAAGTTTGTGGAACTCCTGGATTAGAACATATTAATTTATCTGACAATAACTGTATAGTGTAATTTTTATTAATGGGTGAAAATGAAATGGTGACCATACCTGCGACATTGGTATACAATGACGTGGCACCAATGAGAAATGATAGGTGAGATGAAAGCAGGTCAGTTTGCCCTTTCCGAACCAGGGGGAACCGTGAGGAAGTCGACAAGGTACAGAGGAATAACATCAGAGTCCACAGGAATGGCAACGCATGGGGGGTATCATGGGCGAAACAGTATACTCTGTTATGTCCATGGTACCGCTCATGTTTATAGGCGACGGTTTCCACTTTCTAATAGGTGGGTGGTCAGCTTGTTTGCCATTCTAAGTTGTATAAAAAAAAAACAATGCCCATTGTCAGCAATATAACCTATATATTGCTAGCAATGACAACGTCATTATTATTAATCTCTTTTCAGTTTCTTTCTCCCCTCAGTGTAGACTATTGCCTATAGACTAGTTAGTATTTTTTTCATAACGTGTGATAATGGAATGGTAACTTTGCCTGCTCTATCGGTATACGCTGGCGGGGAAGCAGTAAGAGATGATAGGTGCGGATAAAACAGGCTCATAGTGACGATATTCTAAAGAATTACCCAGAAGGTTTCTAAAGGGAACCGCATGAAGGACTAGTTATTAGTTGGGGGATTCCAAGATTGATTCAGTCCAAACCATGGCTTTTCAGCTATGAAAATTATTGGTATAAAGGGGAGAGCATCTGGCAAACGTTCAGTCCTACTGTTGATTCAATTTTAAGTACGATCTCCCCAGCCGTAATTTAGCTGTAACAAACGTGTCAACATATCTAAATGAGCGTAAATGGACAAGCAAATAACGAATTTGCGGCATCTATATATTTATTAGAACTATATAATTATATGATATAAACCTTATAAACTTCTCTCATCCTATATTCTGTATCTGTGGCCTGCGGTGACCTCGGCGGGAACGCGGGCATCTCTCTGTTAAATGAGAATGCATTAGCTGAAACAAAATAAAAAAAAAAGTAGACATTACTTTTTAATTTAACTTTTTTTTAAAATAATAAATATTATTTTTGAAGTAATGAGTTCGAGAATACAAATAATTATGAACTCATATAATTTTTGCATATAAGAAAGGTTCTTGAGTGGTGACCCCGTATGGGCAAACGCAGTGTAGGACTACTCTCTACTAGACGGAGTGACGACCTCAAATGCTTTGCAGGGAGTCAGTGGATGCAAGTGGCTCAGGACCGTTCTTTATGATAATCTATGGGGGCGGCCTATGTCCAACAGTGGACAAATAATGGCTGAGATGATGATGATGATTGCATGTCATTACTAATATTATTAATATTAATTATATTTATATATATATATATATATATATATATATATATATATATATATATATATTTTTTTTTATTAATTATTTTATAATACTAATTATTTTTATTCAGTGACGTCCATGGTGCTGTTCATGTCTATGGGTGACTTACCATTTTCTATCAAGTGTGCATATACTACTTAAATTTCCATTAAAATATTTAACTTAAAAGTAAAATCTCAGTAAATACACTGTCATATTTTACCCTTCAACCTGTACACTACTTGGCTTGCTGGCATGTAGTACAGAGTTCTCTTTGTAGCATATTTGACAGATATTTTTTTCTGCTTCTATTATCGTAGACAAATCAAATGCTGACTGCATTTTATTTGTCTAACACTCGCGTTACAGTCGCGCTCATGACTTATGACTAAAGATCACGAATTGATCGGAATCAATTCGTTTCGGAAGTTTCGGAAAACTGGTCGAGCTTTTTCGATCTAATTACACGTAAATTAAACCGATAATTATTACAATAAAATATAATGTGTGCTCACGAAACTTTTAACGATAAAATAAAATAAGTATTCAAAGTAGTAAATAGATTTTCTAGACAGGAGTGCATTATTTTAGGTCTTATCATTACTTACTATGAAGCAAGATTTTTTTTTATACAACTTAGAATGGCAAACAAGCTGACGGTCCACCTGATGGAAAGTGTTAACCGTCGCCTATAGACATGAGCAGTACCATGGACGTAACAGAGTATACTGTTTCGCCCATGATACCCCCCATGCGTTGCCATTCCTGAGGACTCAGATGTTATTTCTCTGTACTCTGTAAATTCACGCCATATCCCACCCTTCAAACCGAAACACAGCTTAAACGATCAAACGATTTGAAATAAAAAAAAGGCTCTAATACTTTCTACATACTATGGAACTATTAAACCGATTCTAAAAATTCTTTTACTAACATAATGTTACACTATCTAAATAATATTTACGCACGCGAAGCCACGGGAACCGGCCAGTTCAATACACGACGCTACAAATGTACCCAATCAATATATACATGGGACAAACATTTCATAGAAAATTACAAAAGAAAAATACAATTTTCATGAGTGAAGAAAGTAATTTATCGATTTACAGCCGTGGCAGGATGCCAGATCATGCTATTGTCTGACTTCTTAGAAATTGTAATTTATTTGAATACATAATTTGCAACTCTCATGACATGTTTACATAGTTGAGATTTCGTTTCCGTTATGATAATGTAATTTGAATTATGTTTGCTGGATATACATTCAATGGGACACTAATAAGTGGTGTTGAAAATAGTAGTTTTTATACAACTGCTTACAGCATGAAGTTGATCACTACCAATGTTTACAGGCTTGAACAGTACTATGAATATCGTAGTACACAGTGTGACAACCCTTTGGCTTTATTCATACATTGTTATATTATGAGGACTAAGGTGTTATGCCTGCAAATCTATTAATTAATTTATTTAACACTTTATTGCACCAATATTACATGAATTGTAAAAAGGGGTTTTTAATTAGTATAGTACAGTAAAAGGAGCAGTTTTATTGCAATGTATGCAATACAAGCATAATTTTTTAGCAGTAAACACAAGAGTGAGACAGATATGCCTTGAACTAAAAATTGGGATAGATTGAAAATCTGTTCTTCATCATAGTCTGTGAATGATGATAAGACTATGTCCTAATTGGTGTATACCGATAGCGCGGGTGGGGTTACCATTCCATTATCACCCATTAAAAAAAACTATGTCCTAATCAAGATCTATAAACAATGACTAAAACACAGTATTATTTATAGTCAGACCTGTGAGCCTAAAAACTAGGTATTTTGTGATCATGTTTACACTGGATCCAACAATACAACACAAGGCATATTGTGTGGTTTATAGGGGATAAAAATTCTAAAGACACACCTTCTGCCCTCCCTCCAGCAATTGGGAAGGTCTTGGTGAAGATTTTCCACAAGTAAAAAGAAAGTTATTCTTATGTTCGTTCCCATTCATGTTTCTACCCTGAAGCAGTTGTGTTTGCATGGCTGTGTTTCGGTTTGAAGGGTGGGATATGGCGTGAATTTACTGGGTACTGAGGAATATCACCTGAGTCCTCAGGAATGGGAAGTATCATGGGCGAAACAGTATACTCTGTTATGTCCATGGTACTGCTCATGTCTATAGGTGAGGTTACCACTTTCCATCAGGTGGGCCGTCAGTTTGCCATTCTAAGTTGTATAAAAAAAAAATGTTATTCTAAGATAATTTTATTTAAATTTATTCAGCTAATAAAATAAGACTGAGTGACAACCATTAAAACTACTTATACAAATTCATACATTACAGTTATAACATCAATAGGAAATCGCATAAAATGAATAAGGTCTAGTTATTAGTTTTGAATATGGTAAAAAAAATTTGTGAAATATTTGGTGAAAAATATTTTTTTCTAAGCAATTTGTTAATCATCAGTTTTCTAGCTTTTATTTGGAATAAATACAGCTTGTTTTTGCTTTCAGATACTGACATAGTAATCTCTCTGTGATATATGAGTGTATAAATAACTTCGATCAAAATAAAAAAGTGTATATAGTACATACAGCAAAATCTATACTTATAAAGTTGTTTGTCCTAACTGACTATCAACACACAAAACAAACTACTAAGTATACAAAGCTGAAGTTTAAAACATAGGTTCATTTTTTAATGTAAATATTTACTAGGAAAAAAATTTAAGGGCAAAAATCCATATAAACAAACCTACAGACAACAACTAGTGAGTGGTAGCATCATTTATTTATTTAGAATAATTAAAAATGACTATTCAACTATGCTTATAATTAAATTTACTTAAATAAAAAATAATAAATACTCTATTTTACATTTGATCTTTTTTTGAGCTTTTCTATAAACAGCAGTTATAAAAACATTATTAAGCTGATTATTAATAATAAAGTTATTAATTAAAGAATTATGAAGATAATAATATTACAAATATAAAAAGGAGTTTATTACATACATACATAGTATTCGAAATTAGGAGAACCACTTTCATTTAATTGATATCTTCTATTTATATAGACATTGTCATGGTAATAGTCAATCTTTCATCTTTTAACTACTAATAATTGTCTCTAATTTAATGTTTATGTCAATATTTTAGAAAAACAGCTTTAGACTTGCAATATATATAAATAGCAATGGCTTTCTTGAGTCTGACTGCTATATTGACATTGGCAGAGAAGATTTTTTATTTATAAATAACAAAAACACACCCAAATATGTTCAGTAAAAAATTTTATTTACAAAATGTGCAGGACCAGTAATTAAACTATAAATAAATATCAGGTATACTAATGCAGTGTCAGCAATTAACGTAACTTGATGTCCAACTGATTACTGAATAAACATTACTTTCTCACAAAAATTTGATACAATCACAAGAATACCTAAGTCGTATTTCCTGATAACTTAAATATATGTACAGCATTCTAATAAAATAAAAATAATGTAGAAAATTTCACTGTTCATTAAAATACGTAAATAATCTGAAAAATGATTTTGTAAAGAGATATAATGGGTGAAAGAGGTGAAAGATAATGAAAGCGTATTCTCTGTAGGGAGTATAAGGTCATAATACTGCATAGGAAAATACTCACGAGGCCTTGGTCTTCGATTGTTTCCATGTCTAGATCCCGCAATTCCAGCTTGGCCGTGATAGCCACCCTCGCGAATACGTTTTTCATTTTCAAGGCGTTGTTCCAAACCTCTTAATTTTCCTTCAATCGTACTTTTTGACATTGTATTTTTATGTATAAAACCCCTATGAATTCATTTATTATTTGTTACAAAATAAACACCCAAATTAAACAAAAAATATGAAAAAGAACACCTATCAACTCAAGGATTTTTTTCGACAAACATTTTCATTCATTCAATTAATTATTATTTATTCAATCATTCATTAAACCATTCTACTGTCAACATAACGCCATGATCGTCTGCAGGCTCTTTATTAATTTTGTTCAAACATTAGTAATTTATAATATTCTAAAACATTTATTTTAAATTACCCAAAATCAACGGAGTTAATTATTTAAATCATAGATAGATAATAGATAAAAACAGCATTCGTATTTAAACAATATTTTGTCGACAATCTCGATTGTCAAAATAAGTAGCAACACTAGTTCATAGATAAATCAAGTTTTCTTCCTTTTCACTCACTCTCGTTTTGTCCCATATTTTTAGTCGAAAAAAATGACCAAAAATTTTATTTATTAATATTTCCCATTATTTCCTAATTGTTTAATGTTTACTACAAAAATTGTATTTTTATCACTGCCATATGTTGTTCATATATAACAGTGGGAAATTAAAATGTTAATAATGACGTGAAAACTTAAAAACACTAAAACAGTGGGTGTATTTGTTTTCATCCTAATGATTGTACAGTAGTAAGAGAGGATGATGCAGACAACCTCAGAGGGATGCTTAAATATTGCCGAACTGGCAAATCAACTACGAAGAGAGAAGATATTCATCAATTCTGAACGGCAGCTGTTGCAAAGTCTTAATGAGGAAGTGGAAAAGAAAGCTCTGGAATTACTGCAAACTTCGTGGATATGTTCTCAGCAGCGCCAGAACTTAACAAACCTCATAACTTCGAGGTGTGAAAGTGACTCCATAGCTGCATGCCAGAGAGCCAGCTTTCTGGAAAGAACCACTTTCATTGATGTCTATAAAGTTTTGAAATACAAGGTGAGTGTTATTTTTTCATTGCCAAAACTAGACATATATATAACCAAAACAAAATAATTACTACAATAGTAATTATTTTCAAACTAACACTTAGTTCCAGCAATCCATATACTATAAAAAAAGGCTTTATATTACATGTCTAAGATAAAGTTATTTTTCTTTCGTCCACTAACAATTAACTATTGTTTTTATTAAAACATTTTTCTTTTGAGATATATAATATGCAATTATTAGGAATTACCCACAACCAGAGTACAATGCATATAGAGTCTTAATATATTACAACTAAATTAAAAATTGTATACTAATGTGAAAGTTCTGTTAAAGTTATTCTTTTCTAATTAACACAAACAAACAAACAATGTTTTTACTTACTAATACTTTTTCTATTGTGGAATGCAAATAGTCATCATTATGATATTGCCACTATTTATACTTCATTATTAGGGTTGTAGTTGTTCTATGTACATGTTATTAATTTAATGTTTAATATTCAATTTTTAAAAATATGTAATATGTTTATAATAAAACCATGTTATGATGAAGGTATTTAGAGAATCAGTATCATTATGTAATTTTGTAATAATTTCCTTATGTAAGAGTGAAAGTATCATCTTATTAAAATAAATTATATGTTAATTGATGCAATACTGAAAATGACTTGAAATTATATATAGTGGCAATTTTGAGGCTTCAAATTCTGAATGATAATCCTAATTTTAAACTATTTTTAAATATCTATACTAATGTCCAGTAATGTCTTAAATTAATTTTCATAATATGTTAATCATATCTTTTTATCAAAATAACACTGCATAAAATAAATAAATAATTAGAATAAAAATCTTTTTGATAACTAGGTATGTATAAAAATATTTTGTTTTATAGAAATCCACTTGATGGATGATGATAACCTATAGACGTGAAAAACACCATAGGTCTCAAAATACACCATTTTACTCATGGTTAGTTTGTCTATGTCAAACTGGCTGTCATAGTTTTATTAAGGCATACATGAAATTTCCAAACATCGGCAGTAAAATTAGTGATTAGAACAAAGACTCAACCAATCTATTATCATAAGGCATTTGGATAATTGAATGTTTGCATTTATTAATTATATTCAATGACATCACTGTCAAGGAAGAGATAAGGATGAACAGTATGAAATATAAATAGGTCCTTATAAACTATACAAATAAGTGACTTAACTGGAGAACAACTCACACCAACTAATCTACAAAACTGAGATGATAGCTTGTATTGAACCTGGACCTAGCATACTAGAGCTTCAAGAGCTATACAGTCAATTTTTTTTTAATGTAATGGTAACCCCACCAGCTAAATTGGTATACGCTGGCGGGACACCAGTGAGTGATGATAGGTAAGGATGAAGGCCAGTTAGCCCATTGTGATGAATTCCACTAGAATTAACTATAATGGTTTTCAGGGGGAACCGTGTGGAGGTCGACTTAATAAGGTTTATTGCTAGCAATGGGTTCATTAGACCCCTTTACTAACAATCTTTTCCCCCCCACACAGTCGATTTAAGAGAGCTACCACTGGACTACTCTTTAAAATGTTAAATTTCACCCAAGATACTGTTTGTGGCTGTTGTAAAGGAGCCAATTGTAGATAACATGATGGAGAAAAAAAATATTAACTATAAAGAGACAACTTATGTTTCTAGAATATAGTAATCTCTTAAATTTTTTTTGATGGGTGAACATGGTATGGTAACCCCGCCTGCGCTAACGGAATACACTGGCAGAGCACCAGTGAAGGGTGATAGATGAGAATGAAAACAGGCCAGTTAGCCCATCATGATGGATTCATCAGGAATTAACCATGATAGTTTCCAGAGAGAACCAAGAGGAGGTCAACCTGGTTGGATATATTGCTAGCAATGGGATTCTCAGTCTCCATTACTAACAATCCCTTTCTTAAATAATATTATAGTTATCTTTCTAGGAATAATACATAATTATAGGTGTGTATTCAAAACTACAATAACATAATTTGTTGATTTCATTTGCTTAAACATTACTCACTGTTAGCAATTTGATAATTAGGAATTTGTATAACTGAAGTCTAGATAATGGACTCTCTACTGTACCATTATTATATTACTATTCTAGACAGTGTAAAAAAAATATCATAAAACAAAATTATATAATGCAACAATTATGTTACCCAAAAATTATGTTAATGATGTGCGTTTGCGTTTTGATGATGAACGGATGATGTGATGATGATGATGATGATGAATAAATACACCTAGTATTTGAAGCGGTTTAATTAGGGTAAATAAAAATAAATACTTTTGAAGCGTTGTATTGAATATAAATTTGATGTGATGCACTGAAGGTTGTTTTGCAAGTAAGTTACAGTTTGAAACCTGAAAGGTCATGTAAATTTCTCCTGCGTTATGATTGGCGTTCTCATGATGTTGTGATGAGCGACTCTTGCTTATATATAATTTGTTTATATTATGCTTAAATTTTAATGACTTAAGATATATTTTTTACTTTATTGTCATCATATTAGCTGTTGAATGTCCACTGCTGAACATAGGCCTTCCCCATAAGCGGGGTCTGTCATTAGTTGCCATGCTTGGCAAGCAGGTTTCCAACCACAGTTAGTCTTTTAGGGATATTTTAAGAGGGAAGCTGTTGCCATTCTCTTGACCGTTAAATTCTCTTAGTCGTCTCTTATGACTTCCATTGGAATGGAAGGAGTGGCTCATGCTAAGTCTGGACACTACATGGCAATTTTGTTACTTATTGTATGTAAAAAAAATTGATAAAACAATGTAATTGTTAGATCTGTGTAGTCTATAAGGCATTTGTATATTGTTAAGGTACATTTTAAGAGATATTTACAGAAAGAGCATTATTAAACATACCTAATTATTATCTCCAAATATATCACAACATTACTTCAATAATTGTTCTTTTATTTTGTTTAGTAAATGATTCACTGTTTTGTCAGTTGACAAATACAGGATATATTGTACATATTAATATAAGTATAATGTTGCCTTGTAACAAATTGTTCATTACTAAAATAAATATTTGCCAATTCATGAGTTAACCTCTGGAACTGATGTGAATATGTATGGATCGTTTATGAAAGCGTTTAGATATCTAGCCTTTGATACTCGGTTTTGTTTGTTTAACCTAAAAAAAAAACTAGCACTGATCTACAGGGATCAAGTCATCATCATATCAGCCATTAATGTTTTTTTTTATATACAATTTACAATGGCAAACAAGCTGATGGCCCCTCTGATGGAAACTGGTAACCGTCGCCTATAGACATGAGCAGTACCGTGGACAGATTATACTGTTTTACCCATGATACCCCTCATGCTCCCTCTGGTAAAATAATGTTCAGCAACATAGGCCTCTATTTATTGGGGAATTTTGCTAGTAGTTGCCATAATTGGCAAATCGATTGACAATCGCAGTTAGGCTTTGATGATGTTCTAAGAAGAATGCTGCTGCCCGTCCCTTACCCCTTAGTCGTCTTTTATGACGCCCACAGCAAAGGAAGGTTTCTTTTTTAATGCATGATAATGAAATGGTAACCCCACCTGCGCTAGCGGTATACGTTGGCAGGACACCAGTGAGGGATGCTAGGTGAGGATGGAAAGACAGGTCAGTTAGCCCATCATGATGAATACACCAAGAATTCAGCACGATAGTTTCTAGGAGGGACTTTCATGGAGGTCCTGACCTGATCGCATATATTGCTAATAATGAGATTGGTAGTCCACATTACTAACAATCCCTTCCCCCCACGGCAAAGGAAGAGGTGGTCCATTCTATGCCAGGACCACACAGCAAGTATCAAGTACTCATATTCGGTCATAAAACATACATTTCTGTTATAATAACAGGAGGCGAATGCTTTGGGCGAGCTACTAGGATGGTTGCGCGACTCCCCGCACCTGGTGGCGTTATGCCTGCTCCTCGGCGAGGACCACATCCCTCCAAATATGCCGGCGTCGTTGGTGGCGGGCCTGTACGGCAGCTGTCGGTCAACGGCCGACAGGAACCGGCTGCTGGCTGTCATACGCTCCCTGATCAAACATCAGATGGCGCCATGCCCCGATCCTCGCAAGTAAGGTTTTTTACATACATACATACATATCTGTCACGCCTGTCTCCCATTAGGGTAGACAGAAACAATGAAACGCCAAATGCTTCGATTCAAACAAACCTCTTTCGCTTCTTCCACATTCATCAATCTTGTCATACACGCTCGTCGGTTACGGGTACTTTTAATTTGGCCCTTCTTCAGCACGTCGCCTATTTGGTCGACATACGTCCGTCTAGGGCGGCCCCTACCGACATCTCCATTCATTCTTGCTCGATAAATCTCTTTCGTAATTCTTCTTTCATCCATCCTCTCCAAATGACCAAACCAACGCAACATTCCTTTTTCGATTTTTGTCACTACATCGTCTTTCAGTCCACACTTCTCTCTAATCACACTGTTTCTTACTCTATCTTTTAAAGTAATACCACACATACTTCTCAAAGCTCTCATCTGTACAGCATTTATCTTACTTTCATGCTTCTTCTGCCATACCCACGATTCGCTTCCATACATGAGTGTTGGTGTCAGTACTCCTTGAATTATAGCAAGGCGAGCTTTGCTCGATACATTTTTACTTGACATAATCGAGAGCAGTGCACCGTTAACACTGTTTCCCGCTTTTACTCTCCTCTCAATATCTCTGTCACACTTCCCATCCCTCGTAAACAAAGAACCTAAATATAGAAACTCACTCACTTGCTCCACTTTTTCATCTCCTATCATAATCTGGCATGCCGTTAAACTTTCATTCCTCTCAAAAACCATTACCTTCGTCTTCTTCGCATTTATTTTCATACCTTTTCTTGCATACGCTTCATTCATTATTGTTGTTGTAATTCATACTCAGACGATGCAAAAAGTACTTGGTCGTCGGCGTATAAAAAAGTCTTATACAGAGACTCATTCATCCTGAATCCACAATTAGATCCTTTCAAATCGGTCAAGCAACTGTCCATAAATAGGTTGAACAGCCAAGGAGACGCTACACAGCCCTGTCTAACACCGCGTTCAATGCCGAACCAGTCTGTATAGACTCCATTTATTCTCACACAGGCATTTGAGTCCTTATATAAAGATTTGAATGCCTGTATCAAATGGCTGCTCACCCCATACATTGCCAGTGTTGACCACAGTTCATTCCTCTCCACTCTATCATAAGCCTTTTCAAGGTCAATGAAGGCGCAGAAAACCTTCTGATGTTGAGCTAAGGTTTTCTCTATTATGCACCTTAAGGAAAAGACTTGATCCGTACATCCCATACCCTTTCGAAACCCTGCTTGCACATCCCAAATTTTACTTTCCGTTTTAATCAAAATCCTAGCATACAATTTGCCTACAACACTAAGAAGGCTTATTCCGCGGAAATTTTTGCACTCCTGCTGTGACCCGCTGCCTTTATATAGTGGCACAATAACAGCTTTGCCCCAGTCACCTGGAACACAACCGGACCGCCAACATTTATTGAACAACAGACACAGCAGGTTTACAACGATTTCTCCACCTTCTTTAAGCATTTCGGCAGATATTCTATCGAATCCCGCTGTTTTACCAAATTTCATAATCTTCATTGCATTCATTACCTCATCCATACTTATATCACTTTCACTGTCAACTTCTTCGTCCATTATTTCATTTTAAACATTCTTTCTTTCACTTCCACGTTCAAATAAACTTTCAAAATATCTCTTCCAATGATCTAAGACTTCCTTTTGTTCCGTGATAACATTACCATCCATATCCCTTATCACGCCCATTTTCGGATTTCTCTTTTTACCTCTAGCTGTTCGAACTATTTATAGTTTTAAAATAGAATGGCAACCCTATGTTTATCCACTGGTGAGAGGAAAAGGGAAATTGTAAATAATAACGATTAGTAGCTCTTTTGCTGGCAATACATTCTGTCGGATCACCTTCGCGGTTCCCCCTGGAAACCTTTGTGGTTAATTCCAAGTGTATTTATCACGATGGACTAACTTATCTGCTTTTTCGTTCTCATCTGTCATCCCTCACTATTGCCCCGCCGGCGTGTACCGTTAGTGCAGGTGGGGTTGCCATTCCATTATCAATCATTAAAAAAAATCATGCTGTATACACTTATAAGGCTTTGTAACTTGTTACAACAAATATAGTCTGTATTGATCTTGTTAAATGTTTTGTTGTAAAGTTGCCTTCAGCATCTAATAAATAAAAGTTCTGAAGATGAAGTTAAAAAAATCATACGATATTGCACCGTAGTATAATATATCCTATTAAGACGTGTAGATATAACTAGAGTACATTAACTTTACCTGAAATTCATATTATAAATTGACGAAAAAATTTAAACTTCGAACGAGCGAAATAAGTGCACGTAACATGCGCAAGCATGATGGACTCTGTCGAATTGATATTTAAACCTAAGAACAAGGAATTACATAGAGGAATAATAAAATAAAAACTGTAAATCATATGATTGTCTCCTTTCTTTATATGCAAATATAATTAGTAAAAAGACGACGAAAGATACACCATCAGTTGTCATTTTTCTCAATTCATAGCAGATTAGTGTGTAGAAGATTATTGATATGTCAGTTATTTGTCAATGACAAATTTTACATTCTTAGATTATATATTTGACACAGTTTATGTAGAAAGTATGCAAGCAGCTTGTATCTGAATTTGGCAGGATTTTTTTTTAATGGATTATAATGGAATGGTAACCCCACCCGCGCTATCGGTATACACCGGCGGGGCACCAGTGAAGGATTATAGGTGAGGTCATGAAGTAGGTCAGTTAGCCCATCGTGACGAATTCAACAAGAATTGTTCATGATGGTTTCCAGGGGGAACCACGTGGAGGTCGATCTAATAAGGCATATTGCTAGCAATGGGTCTGTCAAACTCCATTACTAACAATCCCTTTCCCCCCAATTTGGTAGGGTTATACGACCGTATAACATTTTTTATACACTAGCCTGCTATGAATTGACAATTTTATCACTCCTATGTAATTTCTTGTTCTTAGGTTTAAACATGATCATACTTCCCTCAGGTTATTCCGTACGGGTAAGTGCGCACTGGCGATGCTGTACGCGGTGTTCCGCGACGGGCACACGCCGGCGCGGCAGTTCCTCATGGCGGCGCTACACGAGCCCGTCATGGCCGCGCTCCAGGAAGACGAGTTCTTCCTTGACATCGACCCGGATAAGGCCATGGAGAGGTGAGGCGCATTGGCTTTTAATTTTTAGGATTAATTTTATTGATATTCCTAATATAGGTAATATTACTCTATTAATATTATAATTATAATTAGGCATGGGTAATATATGCAGAATAACACGCCTACCAAGCGTGCCAACTACTAGCAAAACCCATTTTAAAATGGAGGCTATGTTCCGCAATGGACAGTTAAAAGTTGATACAACAACAGTTTTCACTGCATGATTGCAGCAGGTGCCATGCCTTTAATGCTTGACTCAAACCAGCAATCAATATTTATATTACAAAGACGAAAGATTTTATTTTTTGTAATAAATTGCTGTGTTTCGGTTTGAAGGGTGGGATATGGCGTGAATTTACTGGGTACAGTGGAATAACATCTGGGTCCTCAGGAATGGCAACGCATGGGGGGTATCATGGGTGAAACAGTATACTCTGTTATGTCCATAGTACTGCTCATGTGTATAGGCGACGGTTACCACTTTCCATCAGGTGGGCCGTCAGCTTGTTTGCCATTCTAAGTTGTATAAAAAAAAAATCCTCCACCTTTACAAAGAACCAATGTGATCCCTCCACGTGGAGGTGATCTGACAGAATTATTGCTAGCAATGGGACTGGTAGTCGTCGTTACTAATAATTCCGCCCCCCCCCCTCCCCATCAGCTCATTTTACCATACCATTCATGAATGAAAACTTTTTGTGTTCATTCTTACAGATTCTCAGCAACGGACAGACTAAAGAAGTTTGGGCAGCCAAACAGCGCAGAGTACTCGGCGAAATTGGCGCGCTACCGCAAGTGGACGGTGCAATCGTTGTACAACCTTGCCAGCAAGTTCATACACACGATGCGCGAACACTGGTCCATCTTTCCGGCCAGCATCGCGTGGATAGTGCAGCAGATTGTGCATTTGCTTAATCAGCATTCTACGTAAGGGTTTACTGTGTTAAACTTAATAATTTTTAGTGGCCGTGTCATCCCGACATAGAATAGGCCTTCCCTCTCTTTCCCGTGGGTGTTGTAAGAATCGACTGAGGGAGGGCGAGGGATAGGCAGTAGCGTCTCTCTTAAAACGTCTTTAAAGCCTAATTGCGGTTGCCAACCCGCCCGCCCAGCGTGACAACTGCTGGCAAAACCCCCTAAGGGGGAGGTTTATGTTCAGCAGTGGACAGCTAAGGGCTGATATGATGATGATGAAACTCAATAATAAATATTAATTTTTCATGAAAATTACTAAAGAGATTCAGTCTGCCAATTGTCGAAATCGTGTCATTGGAATCGATAGAATAGATTTAAGTATTATATAATAGATTTATTAGAACTTTAGTTCGTTTTGATGTCAAATTGAAATTTTAGAGATAACTTTAAAGGATGGTGGCACAGAATCGTCTCCAATATATTTATTTTTCCCTACATATTATGTATAAATTTCTAATTTCAATAACTAATTAAAAATAGTTTTGAAAATGCATTTCGAAATTATACCGGTTCTACATCCAGGAATTTCAAAATACTAAATTTGATAGAGTAATATTGAGGAAGATAAATATTTGTTATGTAAGATAGCATGAATATTGGGTATAACGTTGTCTGACAAACTAACAAATCAATGGTTTGCCATATTGTCTTTTTTTTTTCTAAAAAGGAGTACTGTTATTTGTGAACTAGTACTATATATAAATTAATAAAATAATGTAATTCATCAGGCACGCACGAAATTCTAGAACAGCCTTTCCCAAAGTGGACGATAACGCCCCCTTGTGGGCGCTGCAGGCCCTAAAAGGAGACGATAAGAGACCCAAAAAAAAATGGGGGCGTTGTGTAGAGGCTTAGGGGGTGATTTGTTGGTCTTGAAGTAATAGTGGTTTTTAAGTAGGTGTAAAAATGGGGGCGCTAAAAAATAATTTATTCTCAAAGTGGGCAGTAGATAAAATAAGTTTGGGAACCCCTGTTTTAGAAGAATAATAGATTGTGATCGTTGGCAGCGTAAACGAGCACGAGCTTCACGCGATCTGCACGGACCTAGTGCTGACTCACTACATCTGCCCGGCGATCGTGAACCCGGACACGCACGGCCTGGTCGACGTGCCCGTGTCGTACGTGGCGCGCTTCAACCTCATGCAGGTCGCGCAGATCCTGCAGATGCTCTGCCTCTCCAGGTATCAGGAGGTGTGTATACAGTGTCACAGTTAAATATGAACTGATATTAAAAATTATTAAAAATATATAATAAATTACCCACAGATTACAGAGATCTAACAGACAAAAAATATAATGAAAAACTTTACAATTGACTTATTGAGAAATGTTTTTAGAAGACTATTTTAATGCAAAATTGTAGGAGCAAATTCCAAATAAAATATTTGCACGTCAGATGGTTGAATGCAGTCTTTTCTTAAACATTAAATACTTCTAATGTAATTAACCTGTATTTGAGCAAACAAAGTTATCATTTATTCATCCTCTCACCATGAATCAGGTGAGCTTTCCATTCCATTACCGTCTATTAAAAAAAGTTCACTCTACCTATGTACTGAATTTAATTTAAATCCATTCAGTAGTTTTTACATGAAAGAGTTATAAACATCCATCTATCCATAATTACTAAATTTCATATTTATAATTTTAATAAAATTAGAAGAACTTATTTTGCTATATCTATATTTATGTTCAAATCGGTTTACAAGCAATTTTCAAAAGATTTTTTCTCTCAATATCTGGTAATTTTTTCTCTGTGTTACTATATTGAATTCTGAACTGATTTTGATGTTTTTTTATTGTTTTGTGGTTGTTGAATCAGCCATTATTTTTTGTAGACTTTGCAAAATCCTTTTAGTTTGGGAATTTATTTGTAGACAATTACATTTATAATTAAGATATTTTAAATTTATGTGTATGAATGAAACATCTGTAGTGAATTAGTGTGTTTATAAAAAAATAGTGCTTTGTCATTTATTCTCAATATCACAGTTGCCTGTATCACTAAACACGAAACAAAAAATACAAAGCATAAGAAGAATAATTATATTAATTTAACAACTTTTCTTTAAATGTTTGATCTTATATTAAAAAAAAAAAATGTTATTGTAGGAGTAGTAATATTTATGTTATTGTGTGCACTCGTAACAGGTGGAGCCAAAAGTACGTGACTTGTACTCAAAGTTCGAGCGCACGTGCGTGTGGACGCTGATCGAGGCAGTGGCGACGGAGGCGTTCGCGCCGGCGGCGGGGCCCGCGGCACCGGCGGGGCCCGCGCCGGGCGGCGGCGGCGCGCCCGCCGCGCCGGGGCCCGCGGGGCCCGCGCTGCGCACCGACGCCGCGCTGCGCACGCACGCCGCGCTCTACACCGCGCACGACGCGCACGCACTCGTTAGTATAGCTCGCTTGTCATCTCTCACACTCCGGGGCCCGCGGGGCCGCACCGACGCCGCGCTGCGCCGCGCCGCGCTCTGCGCACCGACGCCGCGCTCTCTCACACTCCGCGCACGCACGCCGCGCTCGCCACCGCGCACGACGCGCACGCACTCGTTAGTATAGCTCGCTTGTCATCTCTCACACTCCGGGGCCCGCGGGGCCCGCGCTGCGCACCGACGCCGCGCTGCGCACGCGCCGCGCTCTACCGACGCGCGCGCTGCGCATCTCTCACGCCGCGCTCTACACCGCGCACGACGCGCACGCACTCGTTAGTATAGCTCGCTTGTCATCTCTCACACTCCGGGGCCCGCGGGGCCCGCGGGGCCCGCGCTGCGCACCGACGCCGCGCTGCGCACGCACGCCGCGCTCTACACCGCGCACGACGCGCACGCACTCGTTAGTATAGCTCGCTTGTCATCTCTCACACTCCGGGGCCCGCGGGGCCCGCGCTGCGCACCGACGCCGCGCTGCGCACGCACGCCGCGCTCTACACCGCGCACGACGCGCACGCACTCGTTAGTATAGCTCGCTTGTCATCTCTCACACTCCGGGGCCCGCGGGGCCCGCCGCGCTGCGCACGCGCGCGCTGCGCACCGCGCACGCCGCGCTCTCTCACACTCCGCGCACGCACGCCGCGCTCTACACCGCGCACGACGCGCACGCACTCGTTAGTATAGCTCGCTTGTCATCTCTCACACTCCGGGGCCCGCGGGGCCCGAGGGGCCCGCGCTCCGCACCGACGCCGCGCTGCGCACGCACGCCGCGCTCTACACCGCGCACGACGCGCACGCACTCGTTAGTATAGCTCGCTTGTCATCTCTCACACTCCGGGGCCCGCGGGGCCCGCGCTGCGCACCGACGCCGCGCTGCGCACGCACGCCGCGCTCTACACCGCGCACGACGCGCACGCACTCGTTAGTATAGCTCGCTTGTCATCTCTCACACTCCGGGGCCCGCGGGGCCCGCGGGGCCCGCGCTGCGCACCGACGCCGCGCTGCGCACGCACGCCGCGCTCTACACCGCGCACGACGCGCACGCACTCGTTAGTATAGCTCGCTTGTCATCTCTCACACTCCCCTACACTTCCCCGTGGGAAACTCGTCCGGGGCTTTCTGCCCCCTTCGTGGTATTTCACCTCCTGTATACACTATATATATAGTAGCCACCCGCCCCAACTTCGCACGGGTACAATATTTGTTTATTCACCTTTTAAATTGGTCAACACGTTTTAGTAAGGCTGGTACGTAAATTATATAAATAGAGCCTTGAGTCTCTAAATAGGCTCAATTTTTTGTCAACAAATTGTCAAATTACTTGTGTAAAAATACTGCACTATTGTACTCTAAGATTTTAAAATGGACGGCCTATTTGGTAATTTGCTGTCCGCGCGTTTATAAAGTTTCTCCTGCGCCCCTCACCTCCTCGCCCCACCTACTATTCTCGCACGGCCAGCGACAACGCAATATTCAGAAGTAAACAGTTAAAGGCTAATATTAATATTGAAGAAATATTTTAACCAAAATATAATTATGCTCTTACGTTGTTGTCTCCCTCATAACCATAACAAATTATAAATGTTTATGTCTGATAATCTCATAAAATTTTGCAGTTCTGAACATATATATATACATATATATATTTATTTATTAATAAACATTGCGTCTACAGATAACATTCTTGAAGCGCATATCTTCGAAATTGAACAACAACACGCCGAGCCTAACAGCTGAAGAGCAGCCCAACAACTCTGCTCTGGTCGCCGAAGCAGCCGCTCTCAGGTATCTAATATTTTGTAACTTGGTACACAACTAAGTGTAACCAAACTTTTTGTATAATTAAAAAATATGGCCCATCTGAGTGAGCGAGAAAGATAGATGTATGAGTGAAAAGTAAGATGAATGATTTTTATTTCAAGTCTTCTAATAAGTGTTCATAAATAACATTTTTTTTTATACAACTTAGAATGGCAAACAAGCTGACGGCCCACCTGATGGACAGTGGTAACCGTCGCCTGTAGACATGAGCAGTACCATGGACATAACAGAGTATACTGTTTCGCCCATGATACCCCCCATGCGTTGCCATTACTGTGGTCCTAAGTTTTAATTCCTCTGTACCCTGTAAATTCACATCATATCCCACCCTTCAAATCGAAACACAGCCATGCAAACACAACTGCTTCACGGTTGAAACACGAATGGGACAGAGGTACCCAAGCAATCGACTTTTGTACAAAGTCTCCCTCTGTTAGTAAAAATGATTTATTTTTGTCTCATGAATCTACATGTTTTTTTTTTTAACGATATATACGAATAACGATGAAACGCTAAACCCGCACGCGCTAACGGTATATATTGGCATAGCGCCAGTGACGGTTGACAGGTGAAAATTAAATGGCAGGTCAGTTAGCCCATCGTGATTTAAACTCCTGAAATTGAATACAATGGTTTCCTAATTAACAATCCCCCCCCCCCCCCACGACATTTAGATGGTGTCCATTTTGCAACGCTAAACTCACAGTGTTACAGCATTATCACGGTTTCTTAACATTTTAGCTCTGCGTACGAGGGCCAGGGATCAGTGTCGGAGGCATGCGTGGCGCGGCTGGCGGCGCTGCTGCAGACCTTAGAACCCAACTACCGCAGCCGCTTGCACGATCTGCTGCGCAAGATGCCGAACCTCGCCGACTACAGGTACGAGCTCTCTGCACATATGAATCTGTAGATGCGTTGTTGTTACTACATCCGTGAGATAGAACGAGACAGCAACATCCAGTGTCTTGTTCTTTCCTATGCGAGCTCTAACAAATATATTTATCATAAATTCATTTGCCACTTAGCTACATCACCACTACTTGTGAGAGGAAAATGTTGTTTATCAAAAATTATATAATACTCTATCTTGACATAACATTTTATCAATTTAAAGGTTTCTTGTGAGTTTGGTACACAGAATTTTTTTTTTTTTTTTTTTTTTATACAACTTAGAATGGCAAAAAAGCTGACGGCCCACCTGATGGAAAGTGGTAACCGCCGCCTATAGACATGAGCACTAGCATGGACATAACAGAGTATACTGTTTCGCCCATGATACCCCCCATGCGTTGCTATTCCTGAAAACTCAGGTGTTATTCCTCTGTACCCAGTAAATTTAATGCCTTATGATTCAAAAGGAATTAAGGGACTGTCCCTTCACGAAGATGTCCAAAAGGGACAGTATCATAAAATTCTCGAGGCTTAGTAAAAAAATGCAACTTATAATCATGCAAGCTTTGACACAAATTTGCTTAACTAAATCAGTTATTCCAAATAGCAAATCTTTTAATATTCATTGGATTTACCAGAGGAAGACTTTGTACGAAAGTCGATTGCTTGGGTACCTCTGTCCCATTCGTGTTTCAGCCGTGAAGCTGTTATGTTTGCATGGCTGTGTTTCGGTTTGAAGGGTGGAATATGGCATGAATTTACTGGGTACAGAGGAAAAACACCTGAGTCCTCATGAATGGCAACACATGGGAGGTATCATGGGCGAAACAGTATACTCTGTTATGTCCATGGTACTGCTCATGTCTATAGGCGACGGTTACCACTTTCCATCAGGTGGGCCGTCAGCTTGTTTGCCATTCTAAGTTGTATAAAAAAAAAATGATTTTTTTCTTTACTAAAAGTGAATACAATTTCTTTTTAGACAAACATCCCCATCAGAGAACAAAGAGAATGCCATAGACAACGGTCAAAATGGTCACAGTACCAAACGGGGCATCTTGGCCAAAGTGGGTAAACCACGGTTGCCTCGCAGCGCGAGTGCCAGCTCCGCACTGTCGCAAACAAGTGACGACAAGCCTGTCAACGGAAGTGTAGATAAAGAGGACGGCCTGGACCACAACGAGGTGCTGGTGATAAAGCTCGCGAATGTCGAGGAACATGATTATGTTGGTGAGTATGACCCATAGTCAAATCGAGATTTCTAGATTATCGGTAAATTTAAGAGACATATACTCTATGCTTTGTAGCAAAATATGGGTGACAGCTAACATTTTGACAAATATTACTGTAAAAGAACTATTTCAAATGTAGTTTTTGTAGTTTATTTATATTTTCTTAATATTGTAATAGTGCTGTTCATGTTTATAGGCGACTGTTACCACTGTCGTTGTGGTGATTTCAGATGCGTTTCATTAGACCGATTACCGATTGTCGTTAATACGAGTATGTTAGCTGTCCGACACGCGGATGATCGGCGACGATTTGTTACCGGCAGTCACACTGTGAGCATGATCGATTACTCGGATTATGTATCGCTGCGGAATCCTCACGACGTTTGTTCGGTTACTCGCGTCCATCTTCCGTTGCGGAAAGATCGGCAACATGTGTGACATATGGCCTTAAGGCGCTAACGCAAGGACGGAGGGATTATTAATAATGCGGACTATCAGTCCCATCGTTTTTTTTTTATGGGTGAAAATGGTATGGTAACCCCACCTGCGCTAACGGGATACGCTGGCGGAGCACCAGTGAAGGGTGATAGATGAGAATGAAAACAGGCCAGTTGGCCCATCATGATGAATTCATCAGGAATTAACCATGATAGTTTCCAGGGAGAACCGCGAGTAAGTCGACCTGCTTGGGTATATTGCTAGCAATGGGATTCTCAGTCTCCATTACTAACAATTCCTTTCCCCCCACAGTCCCATCGTTAGCAATATACACTGTCAGGTTGACCTCCATGTGGTCCCTCCTGGAAAGCATCGTGCTGAATTCCAGGTGTGTTCATCACAAGAGGTTAAATGACCTGCCTTTTCATTCTCACCTATCATCCCTCACAGGTGCCCCGCTAGGGTATACTAATAATGCAAACGAGGTTACCATTCCATTATTATTCATAAAAAAAATGTGGCGCTAGCTTAATTGAGCGTGTCAATGTATTGGGACAGGACTAGTGCCGGAGTCGAAGGTGCTGGAATGTTACTACGGCGGCGCGGACGCGGCCGACGGCGCCGACCACCATGCGCCCGGACATGCGCCCGTACAGAAGCGCACCAGGTAACTTTTTTTTATACAACTTAAAATGGCAAACAAGCTGATGTCGTCGGTGACATGACAGGAAGTGGCGAACAGAGCCGACTTAAGCCGAGACCGCCCGATGGTTCTTAGTGTTGCCTTTCGATGAAGCCCGAACACTTTATGTGCTATTAATTTTTTTTTATAGAAATATAAATTGAAATAATATATATTCTCATAAGTGATTGAAATGTTTCTGAAGAAAAGTTTCATTAACTAGGTAACTAAGTTGTTAAGTTAAGGGCACTTAACGTAGCCATGGTGTGGATTCAAATGCCGCACTCCAAATTTTTCAATGACATAATAATTATTGTGATTTAATTTTCGTTACTATCGTCATAGTCGTAGAATACTGACGGATCTTTATATGTAATCTTTGTCAGATCCGTCAGTATTCTACGACTATGACGATATGATGATACTATATGGGATGTAAGATATATTTTTATCTTCTTTTTATTCCGGTCAGTGAACTAATCCCGGCCACGCGAACTAAGTCGCGGGTAAAAGCTAGTATTTTTATATATTTTTTTATATCTATTATTTTTAGATTCTCTGTGTCACACGACGAGGTGTCTCTAGGCAACACGTCGGACAACTTGGAGGCGGTGTCGGAGGCGGCCTCCAACCACAGCGTCACCTCCAGCCTCGAGCTCGAGACCGAGGACCAGAACGACAACCTCTCCGATATGGTGAGTCGACTTCACTATGAATATCGTCGTAATGACATCATCGCTTTAGCCTTTCATTTATTTATTTATTTATATGCTTTTGTATATTTACTTATAGATATTATTATTATATTCATTATTCCTTACTGAACATAGTTCTCGTCATAGACTACTATAATCAATGGTCTCGAGCCATTTGCATTCGTTACCTTCCAACAATGTTGTTGCGACTTAAAAAACATACTTTTTTCTCAAACATGCTTGGAAATGTGAGCATTATTTTGACAATCTTCTTCGAGATAAATCAAAATTGCCGTACTGTCCAGATACATGCGGGCAGCGGCCGGCAAAAGTTGTATGAAAATCCATATCTGTCGTGTTTTGCGGCCAAATAAATTACTATGTAAACTCATATCTGTCCAAAAAGGTAACTAATTCAAGGTTTTATTTAAATTTCGAACTGGCTTGCAAATAGAAAGCTGTTTATTGAAAAAAAAAAAACAGAGGGGCATTATGGCGCGTAAAAAATTATTCTTGTTTGTTATTCGTCATTGAACTTAAAAAGTAAAATTTGTGTTTTTGATTTCCGCGCACTGTTTGAGAAAAGTACTATACAAGCCTTGGCCACAACTAGGCATTGATGGACTCACGTATGTGTGCCTCGGCTACGCCTCGGCCCACATTTGCACGTTCGTCCATCAATGCCTCAGTTGCTGGTAATGTACTATAACGGCACATACATAGGAAGAAAAAAAAGAAATTAATTTACGATTACAGAATTGTGTACGAAAGTGAGAGTTCGTATTTTAAATTTAATTTTATAATTTTTTGTCAGGTGTCAGCGAATGTGAGCGGGCGCGGCAGCCCGAACATCTCAGGCCGCGAGACGCCGTCCTCGCAGGTCACCGATGGTGACGGTCCGCCGCGACGGTACGTACCACCACCACTAACAGCCTCACTACAATTTTATTTTTATTTAATAACTTAAAATCCAAATCTCTTATTACCAAATTATAAAAAAATGCGCACGTAATGAATGATCAAAAATAAATCAAAAGCAATCATATTTTCGACTGACTTTAAAAAGAAGGAGGTTCTCAATTCAGTTGTTTTTTTTGTTTATTTCCTGATAATTCCGACAGTTGAAAACTAATTTGGATTTTTTTTTTATCTGAAAAGATATGCTTAATTATATATGCTAGATTGGTGTCATAGGGATTTTAAGATCAGTTCAGAATAACTGATTATACCACAATTGAAGTCAGGTTTTTATTTTATGTACATTGTACATTGCAACATAGGGTTAGGACAATCACCAACAGCATTCTAAAAGTAATAGGCCATAAATATAACTCGCCTATAATTGGGCATTTAATTCAGATGCTGATCTAGTCGGCTGGCTCACATCTGAGTGAACTGCTTTAATTAATTTGCTTTTCTTTTTTACTAATTTATCAAAAATCTGTGGTGGCGCTGGCCTCACGTAAACAATATCGTTCGTGAAAATAATGTTTTAATAATATCTAAAATAATAATTAAGTCATTAATATACTAAATACAAGAAGAACTAAGTGTATTTTAACTGAGATAATGTTATCCAGGTGAAATAACATCGTCATTGTCTAAAAATAGTAAAAATAAAAAATATTCAAGTTGTAACGACGATAAAAATTTAAACCACGAGTGAACAATTTATACCGAAGTGTAATGAAAATGTGTAGTATGTGGATTAAAATTGCCAATAATCTATTTTAGTGAAATTTACATTATCAAATTGAAATATTATTATCAGAAAATGAATAAATTATGTACGGGTCAAAATGAACAGTGATTATGTGACTATCCACCTTCTTTTTTTTTTCAAAAGTGATTTATTTGAAATTATTGATGAACGAATCTCTTTCTATAATACTTGAATATACTTGATACACTTAATTTTGATAAGTTATAAGCAAGTAATATTAGCGTGGTGTCGATAAGTTGCACTTTGTATGGACGTCATCCTCTAGTCTGCTTGAACTATTATTATTGTTTTTTTTTTTCTTTTTTTTACTTTTTATTTACGTGTACGCAAATTGATTGGTTTTATTTTTATTTGAATATCAAGATAATGAATTTTTTGGAAAATGTTACTTTTCGACGGCAACGAACTCAATCGGATTCATGTAATACTAGTGGAATTGAACAAATATCAGAAACACTCAATGAATCAACCAACAGTTTACCTAATTTTTCAGATACTGAAAATGAAAATGATGTGATTCAAAGGCTGAAAATACAGATTGATAAGTTATCATTAGAATTAAGATCTGCTCACAAAGAAATCGAAACATTATCGTTACAAAATACATCTCTCAAACGGATAAATGATAGGCTACAGAAAAATAATGATCTACTTAAAAAAGTAACAGATAGTCCTGTTTCTAAAGCAAAATCACCTGCACAAAGGAAAGTACTAAAATTTAATACATGGAATAAGCAAACCCAAACAGAACACTTTACCACAGAAAATATGGTTCAGAATGCCGTAGAGAAAAGAAATAATTGCAGTGATAATGAAAACATATTACAGTTAACAATTAATAGACATGAAATTTTAGATCAACAACTAGAAAAACAAACAGTCAAACACAAACTATGTATTTTGAGTTCCAATAATACTAATAATATATTATTAAAAACAGAAAATACATTTGAAACCTTTGATATATGTCACTATGTAACACCAAATTGTGGAATAAAAGTACTTTTGAATGGAATAAGTATGAAGCTAAAGGATTTTACAATGGAAGATTTCTGTATTATATTAATTGGGGACGAAGACTTCAAAACGACAAATGACAACTTTAATCTCATTTTTTATATTAGAAATATGCTTAGGGAATTAGAACATACAAACATAATAATATGCTTACCAACTTTTAGATGTAATAATTTTTCAAATATGTTTAATTGGAGAATTGAAAATTTTAATAGTTTATTGCATTTGGACTCCCTAACATATGAATACGCATACATTCTCGACTCTAATCTTAATTTATCATATGGACATAGAATGTTCCATATACATAGTACTGGTTGCATAAATGATTACGGGATTCGAGTTGTTTTCAAAGATCTGTATAATTTAGTAAAAACTTTGCAATTGCAAAATAACTCTGACTTGTCATTGAACAATAAATATGTAAGCGACAATATTAATTGTAAGAATGAACATCAATCAGAAAAAAAATTTTTTCGATGACAATTTTCTATACATATTACATCAGAATATAGCAGGCTTAATTAATAAATCTGACCTTTTGTCTGTTTGTATAGATGAACTCTTAGAAAAAAATTTAAATGTTGATATTATATGTATAACAGAGCATTTTATTATGGCTGGATATGAGAAGTTCTTTTATATACCAAATTTCCATATGGCTACTTGCTTTAGTAGAAAAGGTAGTAAGAGGGGTGGAACATGTATCCTGATAAAAAATGGACATCAGTGGAAATCACTGCCTAAAATAACTGAACTTTCCATATCAGAAGTATTTGAATGTTGTGCAGTTGAGTTAGTCGCTCATGATACTGTTATTGTATGTATATATAGAGTTCCAAAAGCAAATAATTTAGATATATTTTTTCAAAAACTAAATAATATATTGGAAGTAATTTGTAAAAAAAGTCGTAAAAACATAATTATTGCAGGTGACTTTAACATTGATGTATTGAAAAAGAACGATCTCACCTTAGAATTTGAATGTCTACTTTCAACTTATAATCTCAAATTAGAAATTCGCCAACCCACAAGATTAAAAAGTCAAACATGTATTGATAATTTTGCTCACAATTTAGGAAATAAGTGTAGATCAGAAATTATAGATTTTGCACTATCTGATCATACATCTCAGTTATTAAAATGTCGAATAAAAAGAACATTTACGAGTATCAAATATTGGCGCATTAAACGACGTGACTTTAGCAAGGATAACATGACAAAATTTATAGATTGCTTAAAATTTTTCTGACATTTATGATACTAATGACGCAAATGAAGCCTTTAATATTTTTTTTGACCATTTTAAACTTTTTTATGACTTATGCTTTCCAAATAAACTTATTACTAAGAAACCGTTTAAAAAGCCAAAGTGGATATCGCGTGGAATTAAAGCTTGCTGTAGAAAGAAAAGGAAACTTCTATGGGATTATAGATTTAATCCAAACGATACAAGCAAAGACGCCTTACAAAAATATTCTAGAAAACTTAAAAAAATTATTAACCTAACTCAACGTTCACAAAATAGTCATAAGATAAATATGTCATCGAATAAAACTAAAGCGACTTGGCAAATAATAAATAAAAACAAACAAAGTATAGCTAGGAGTTCCATGCATTTAGTAAAAAAAGAAGGCAAAATTATCTGTGACCCACAGGCCATATGTAATGCTTTTAATAACTTTATTATCGACAAAGTTACACCTATACTGAACTCAGGAAATAAGGTTACGAGTACTATAAAAACAAGTAAAAATTCAATATTTATGGCGCCTAGTTTACCCCATGATATATTAAAAATTATAACACACTTAAAAAACACTAGCAGTGTTGGCATTGACGAAATATCTACAAAAGTTGTAAAAGCTGCTTCAACATACATAGCCTCACATCTTAGCTATATTATCAATCTCAGTATAAGTTCAGGTACTTTTCCTAAAATTTTAAAAACTACAATTGTAAGACCAATATTTAAAAAATGGGATAAATATTCAATGGAATGTTATAGACCAATTGCATTGCCTACAACATTTTCAAAAATTTTTGAAAAATACATATATTTACAAATATACGAGTACTTTGAAAAACAAAATCTATTCACATCAGATCAGAAAGGATTTAGACGCAACAAAGACATTAACTTAGCAATTTATGATTTCTTGTACACTGTTTTGACAAATATGGATAAAAGTACACCGGTTTGCTCCATTTACTGTGATATGACTCAAGCTTTTGATTACGTAGACCATAATATTTTACTTCAAAAATTATATGTATATGGAATCAGGGGTAATGTTTTAAATTTACTAAAGTCTTACCTTACTGACAGGAAACAATGTACTCAAATAAATAAAATAAATAATAGAACCAAACTTGAAGAAAATTATATTTCTGACCAGAGAACTGTCTTGTATGGTGTTCCCCAGGGTAGTGTTATGGGTCCATTGTTGTTTATTATATATATAAATGATCTACCCAAAATAACAAAGCAACCTATGTCACTTTTTGCTGATGACAGTACAGTAACAATAGAATGCCAAAGTATTGATGAGTATGAAAATGATGTAAACCAAGCTTTGAAGAATATAGTTAAATGGTTGAATAATAATAATCTAAAAATAAATATTAATAAAACACATATAATGCATTTCAGTCAAAGGACTTCTTTAAATACTATTGGTGCTTGTTACCTTAATAGTGATATTAAAATTGTAGAGAATACCAAATTCCTAGGTATTATAATAGACAATAAATTAAACTGGAAAGATCATATAGATGAATTATCCAAGAAATTGAGTTCTTCGGCTTATGCTTTAAATAAATTGTCTCCTACAGTAAATGAATCAGCGCTCATTACAGCGTATCATGGTATTACTGCTTCAAATTTACGGTATGGCATAATATTTTGGGGAAATTCAACGAAGAAAGAATTTGTATTTAAAGCTCAAAAAAGGTGCATAAGAGCCATGTTTAATCTTAAAAATACTGATAGTTGTATGCCGTATTTCAAACAATATAATATATTGACAGTACCTTCATTGTACATATTTGAAGTGTGTGTATTTGTTAAAACTAATAAGAATTTATTTCCACGACTTTCAGAAATTGTTAAACGCAATCGACGTGATAATGATAAGTTATATCTAAAAAAATCTAGTACAAAACTTATGCACGATAGTATATTATGTATGGCACCAAAAATCTATAATAAAATACCAAAATCTATAAAGGATGCACCAACTAATGTATTTAAGTATAAATTAAAAAAAATCTTAATTGATAAATGTTATTACAATGTATGTGAATTCTTTAATGATAAAATCTGACAAAACGAATATTTATTTATAGTTATTAACTTAAAAAAAAAAATAAAGTTCCATAATTATATTTTTTTACTATAAATGTGACATTGCTGATTTTTCTTTTTATATAATATAAATGTTTTCTTATGTAATTGTAAATTTGTATACCTCGATAGATGGGGTTGATTATAGAGGACTTATATTGTTTTACCATCCATTGTTACCTATGTATCACAAAATAAATAAATAAATAAATAAATAAACTAACATAGTTTGTAAGAAAACTGTTACTAACAAAATGGACCAAATTGTAGACTGAGTAATAAAGTATATTATTATTATTATTAATTATTGTATAATCTTAATCTAAATTATATTAATCTGACTTACCATTAAAATATACCTAAGTAAATTATATTTTTGTTACTAGACTCCCACAAAATGTACCCGTTAGTCAAGCGAGCAGTGCCCAAGCTAAACTCATGAAGCAAACAAGAAACGACATCGATGACAAATTCTGCAAGTTCGAAATCAAGGTATTGTTATTATTACGGCGAAGGCAGCCCATCCGATGCCATTCCTGAGGACTCGGGAATAATATGTACTTTATGTAAATAATTAGTTTATCTTTTGATTCCCCGTAATGATCCTTCCAGAAATTGCTCGAGGGTGACGAGACGATCAGTATAATGTCGGACACGTGGAGCACGGACGTGCTCGCCTCCGACTCGGAGACCATCGGCGACACCTGCGACCACGGACAAGCCGCCGCCAACCAAGGTGAACTATAATAGTAATTGTTTATGTGTATACCAGCTTTCTTGTGCTAACATAGTCCTCGCAGCCCCGCTCAAAGACGTAGCAGTTTCCTCGTAACTTGTATATGTTGGCATTCCGGAGTGCTTACCATGAAATATTATCCCAAATTTTGGGGCCCAACAAAACAAATTTGATGTTGAAATTCCTTTGGACTTTTGTAGGAGGAATTATGACAAACGAAATGTTCCATTTACTGAACCGATTTCGGTATGAACAAAAACACGAAATTGAGTCGTTAAAAACTTGGGTGGGGGTGCGAAGCTGGGAGGGGAGGGTTGGCAGATAAATGATTGCCACGCTTGGCAGGCAGTTGGCAACCGCAGTCTTTGTTTGTATTGTTTTAAATAGGACGCTGCTGCCCATTGCTCGCCTTTCCTTAGTCTACTCTTACGACACCTACGGGATAGGAAGGGATGGCCTATTCTATGCCGGGGCCACACGGCCAACAAAAATTTTTTTTAATAAATACTTCTAACATTAAATGTTGATGCAGGTGCCAATGCTAGCGGTACAAACGCCCCCGACGTGTCGGAGACTGCGAGTGAATCCGCCTGGAGCATGGACGTGCTCGCCTCTGACAGCGACCGTAACACAGAGGTATCTAACAATAGCTTTTTTATTATATTCTTCATATGTATGAGTACAGGAAGGTTAATGACTCATAATACGAATCATTTCATATATTCACCAATGAAATTGTATTTTTTTTTAAATGGATGATAATGGAATGGTAACCTCACCCGCGCTATCGGTATACACCGGCGGGGCACCAGTGAAGGATGATATGTGAGGATGAAGTAGGTCAGTTAGCCCATCGTGACGAATTCAGCAAGAATTGTTCACGATGGTTTCCAGGGGGAACCACGTGGAGGTCGACCTAATAAGGCATATTGCTAGCAATGGGGCTGTCAAACTCCATTGCTAACAATCCTTTTCCCCCCCAATGAAATTGTATTAGTTTACTAATATTTACTTACGAATATTCTATAGATTTCTATCAGCTTCTCAAAGGTTGATTATAAGAGACCCCTTTATGGGATAAATCTACTTTGTACATTAAATCTTTTTATGTACCTTAAAATGGCAAACAAGCTGACGGCCCACCTGATGGAGAGTGTCTAAAGACATGAGCAGTACCATGGACATAACAGAGTATACTGTTTCGCTCATAATACCCCCCATACGTTGCCATTCCTGAGGACTCAGGTGTTATTCCTCTTCCGCCAGTATATATCGATAGTGCAGACGGGGTTACCATACCATTATCACCCATTTAAAAAAACTGTTGTACATAGGCTCTCCCCTAATGTATGTAAATGTGCAGGTGGACACGGACGACTGCGTGTCGGTGGCGGCGCGGTCGGACAGCTCGTGGCCGCGCCGCGCCTCGCAGCCGGACGATGGCCTGCCGCCGCCGCAAAACCACCATCACCATCCTAAGCCGCACCAGGTCGCTATAGTTATTTTTTATTTCAGCCATTAACTGGCCACTGAACATTAGCCTTCCCCATAAGGGGTTTTGCCAGTAGTTGTGGGTTGGCAACAGCAGTTAGGCTTTTACAGATATTTTAAGGGGGACGTTGCTGCCCATCCCTCTACCATATACTCCCTTACTGGCCTCTTACGACACCCACAGGAAAGGAAGGGGTGTTCCATTCTATACCGGGACCTACAGGTAGCTATAGATACATATTTATTGTTATTTCCTTGTTACATCATCATTACAGGATCCCAAGTCGATAAACTCTTGTATAAGTATGTGAGCATCAAAAAGGTATGGGCCCAGTACACAATATTGGGGCTAGTAATTGTATACTATCACAATAAATCGATAAAAATATTAGGATCATGGGAATGATAGAATAAAATTAATTTAATAAGTGGTTTTTCTGGCATAAATATGTTTTCTAGCATTTTTTAATCGTTTTTTACGCTACATCTCATGTCATAGTTTAAATAAAGTAAAACTCCAACAGAGATAACTAATTTGTATCATTGAATCTTTACTCATTTGATTTTAAACAAGAGATAAGTAAAATTCGTTTTTTATAACAGAATGGCAGCGTGAAGAGGCCAGAGGTGAGCAGTCCACGACACACCTCCAGACCCAATCTACCCAATAGGTGAGCTGAACTATACCTTACATATATAGGTACATTTTATAAAATTGTAAAGCATCTGGGTACACAGTGATTGTATTTGAGAGCAATGATTTTCCCAATACATCATCATCATATCAGCTTTTAACTTACCACTAACATAAACCTCCCCTTAGGGGAGTTTTGCCAGTAGTTGTCACGTTTAGCAGGCGGACTGGCAAGCGCAGTTAGGTTTAGGAAATGTTTTAAAAGGAACGCTGTTGCAGATCCCTCGCTCTCACGATGCAATTACAGAGCTCGTAATTTTTGTTTGTGGAAGTATCAATACTATTTGGTTACTAGCGGCCTATATATTTACAACATTTTAAATTTTTATCTGTACCTACCTAGCTACCTACTTCATAAATGTGCCCGCCCCCACCTGCCCTTCTCCCGTACTGCTACAATGCCTTGCTAGCTTGCCACGCGGCCGACAGTGTCTTTTTTTTTATTTCTATGACTTATTAAATTCGTAATGTCTATTGAATGGAATAGCCAATTTGAACAATTCAAAAAGTAATCTACATAAATTGAAACATTTGCGAAAACAATATGATTTATTTGGATAAAGATTTAAACAGAAGTATGAATAACATGTTGTAATTTTGGTCGGTATTTCTATCAACTTTTAAAATGTAAAAAGTGATTATTGTGAAATAACGATAATAGTTGAACATATAGTATCGCGAAGTTTTTTGTAGTTATTGATATTTTCTTCAATATTGTAGAACACACTTTTCTTCTATCACCAATAGTTCCCGCAGCGCACGCGACGAAAGATGTTTTATAGCATTTTTTTACACCTTGAGTTACGTTACTAAAGTTTTAGTAAGGATCCCTAATCTTTTCTAGCTTTTTTTTTAATCGGCAAAGTAGTTTTTGAGTTTATTCATTACAAACATACACACAAAAATACAAATCTTTCCTTTTTATAATATAAGTGTAGATGTAGATGTAGATGGAATGAGCTCCCTGCCGAGGTTTTCCCAAGAGACTACAGGATGGGGTTCTTCAAAAGGGGGGTAAAGAGATTTCTTCAGGATCGGCAACACACACGATTACGCCTTACGTATTAACCTCTGGTATCGCAGGCGTTCATAGGCTACAGTATCTGCTTATCATCAGGTGGGCCGTATGCTTGTTTGCCACCTCAGTGGTATAAAAAAAAATTTATTAATTGTGTGGTAACAAATAATACAACGCGCAGGGCGGGCGGCGGCTACCTGTCGGCGACGGCGGCGCTGTCCCGCGGCGGCGAGCTGGACCTGGCCTCGCAGCCGCCGCTCGCGCTGCACAACCACTACGCCATCGACAACAGGAAGAGCATACTCGTCAACGGATACCCGGTAACATACGCCATCACATCTCGTTGTACAATTTTACTATATATATAAAGAATAATGTAAAAACATATGTAAATTATTTATATAAAAAAATGACGGCCTGTTGTAATTGATACCAGCAATATTCAATAGTTTAAGCGCGATTGAGCAACAAACATACAAACATATTTACAAATTTCATTTATAATATTTTTAAATACACAATCTGGACTTAACGCGATGAAAAACAGGTAAATGGTATTGTAGCTACATGCCTGCTTCTTTATTGCCGACGTTCTGACGTGGATTGCACCACGAAGTGGTCACGACAGGACTCTGTTCTCTTATCAGTCCAAACGTCGGCAATTAAGATACAGATACGTAACTACTATTTACCTCTAAAAGCTTTTTCATCGCGTTAAGTTCCGATTGTGTATTTAAAAATATATGTAAACAACGCGAAAGTTTCAAAATTCATTCACAATATTAGTAAGATTCTGTGGCAATAAAATTGCATTATATTATCTGTATAACTACATCCAATAAATAGATAATGCCTCTCTTGCTAACAAGTTATTAAATTAATCGCTATATCTATAGTTCAAGTGCAATATAATATGTATATATAACAATTATGAGGACGATATATATACAAAGAAGATATTTAAAACAGACTTCTATTATATTGCGCGTGTGTGGTAGGTGATGACTTGCTACGCGTCAGCACCACAGAGTCCCAGCCTGCCGCCGCATGTGTTCGACTACGTGCCCTCAGACAGGTACCATTTTTTTTATTTTTTTTTTTAAACAACTTAGAATGGCAAACAAGCTGACGGCCTACCTGATGGGAAGTGGTAACCGTCGCCTATAGACATGAGCAGTACCATGGACATAACAGAGTATACTGTTTCGCCCATGATAGCCCCCATGCGTTGCCATTCCTGAGGACTCAGGTGTTAATCCTCTGTATCCTATAAATTCACGCCATATCCCATTCGTCAAACTGAAACACAGCCATGTAAACACAACTGCTTCACGGTAGAAACACGAATGGGTCAGAGGTACCCAAGCAATCGACTTTTGTACAAAGTCTCCAATACCAATACCATACATCAACATCATCATGTCAGCCGTTAACTGTCCACTGCTGGACATAGGCTCGCCATAGACTGCCATTTTACTATAGGAAGGTTTTGCCAGTAGTTGCCACGCTTGGCAGGCAAGTTGGCAATCGCAGTTACGCTTTTTATTATTATTATTTCGTTAACTGTCCGTTTACCAGAGGAAGATTTTGTACAAAAGTCGTTTGCTTGGGTACCTCTATCCCATTCGTGTTTCAAACCGTAAAGCAGTTGTGTTTGCATGACTGTGTTTTGGTTTAAAGGGCGTTTATATGGCGTGAATTCACAGGATACAGAGGAATAACACCTGAGTACTCAGGAATGGCAATGTGTACTCTATTATGTTCATGGTACTGCTCATGTCTATAGGTGACGGTTATCACTTTCCATCAGCTGGCCCGTCAGCTTGTTTGCCATTGTAAGTTGTATAAAAAATAGTCCAATCCTGAGCCTAAGCCTTCCCTAAAAAGGGAGTTTTGCCAGTAGTTGCCACTCTTGACAGGCGGTTTGGCAACGCAGTTAGACTTTAGAAATGTTATAAGAGGGATGCTTCTACCCATCCCTTGCCCTCGCTTAGTCGTCTCTTACATCACCCACGGGAAAGGAAATGGTGGCTCATTCTATGTCGGGGCACACTCGGCAGTTACTCTTTAATAATGTAAAAAGAGACTCTGCTGCCCATCCCTCGACCATGAAAGTCCCTTACATGTTTCTTACGACAGCCAGAGGAAAGAAAAGGGTGGCACATTCTAGATTGTCACCACACGACAAATTGGAATAATATAAGTTTAATTAAGTAATAAACCAATAGAATAGTATTTTTTTTTTAAATAGATTTGTTTGCAAGCTCTTTTATATCGTCAATTGTTTTTGTCAATCAATCGATATTATCCCAATATGAAGTCATTTAAACGTCTAAATTTTTTTACGACATGTATATTTTTCACGTCTGCTTTTAAATAGTTTTATGTAACATTATTTACTCATATTTTCATTTATAAAAAATTTTTCATTCATCCCAGTTTATTATTTCTTTTAACAGCAATAGTGCTCAGACGGAATCGACTCTGGACGGTGCCAACAATAGCCAGTCGGACGCGACCAGCCAGTGGGTGGACGACAGCTTCCCCGAGCCGCACCACTCTCCCCACCGGCCGTACCCCTCCACATCCAAGTACGACCTGCCCTCCACCTCGAAACCCTACGACGACAACGACAACAACGACCTCATGGACAGGTCGTTGAACTCCAGCGAGAGTTCCTTCAACGCGCTCTCTGTATCGCAATACGATAGGCGATACGATGGTACCGACGAGCAGCCCGAAGCGAGATCGACGATAACCGATCTGATGACTCGTATGAGCTCCGCCACCATCTCCACATCGGCGAATCTAGTGAACAACTTGACGGCGCGAATAGTGAAGTCGTCGGAGATCCGAACTAGCATCGTGAGCATCAGTTCGTCGCGGATCGAGAAGAGGGACGGCACTAGCAACATGTCGCTGAGTACGCTGTCGGTGAACAGTGCGGAGACGTCGGTGTCGGACAAGAGCTCGAGCCAGGACGTGAACTCGGAGAACGTGACCGAGAGGCGGGTGAGCCCGCCACCCGTCAAGACAGCCTCCACTGGCGCCATACCCAAGAGTATCAGCTTCGATGCTACAGCTGAAAAGTCACAGAGGTAATTCTATTTATTCTTCTATTAAATTTAAATGACTAATATTAAAAAAAAACTTAGCGAAGGTTTTTTTTTTAATGGATGAAAATGGAATGGTGACCCTGCTTACGCTAACGGTATACACTGGCGGAGCACCAGTGAGGGATGACAGGTGAGAATGTAAAGGCAGGTCAGTTAGCCCATCGTGATGAATACATCTGGATTTCAGCACGATGGTTTCCAGGGGGACCACGTAATCAATTCGTAACCCTTAATCATGAACATGATGACACGTAAGTTAAACCGGTAGTTGTTACATATCTTGTTATATAAAAATCATGACGTTCGTTTATTATAATCTTTGAAATCGTTTAACCGATTTTAATTATATTTTGTAAAAGTTAATGTAAGTAATTAAGATAGTTTTTATCCCGGTAAGAGAAAATATATACGGTAAGTGCCGGTAGGGACAAGACAACGTTTTCCAAATCAACAAACAAACGATTAATGTTTTCCCAGAAGACGGATAGTCGGCGAGGAGGGTATTGTGGGTAACCTGGACGAGTTGAAGAACAATATGAAGCGTTCGGGCGGCAACCTGCTGCACAAGATCAAGATGTTCAGGCAGCGCGGGCGCAGCCATCACAACCACAACGGTGAGCCAGCCTCAAGCCTTACACCGTTGCTTTAATCCAGCTAGATTATAGCCATTTAGTTTCTTTTAGCTTTTTTTATTACTTATTTAATTTTAAATATTGTAAAATACTTTGAAATATTTAAAACATTTAGTTTAAGGTTAAGATTTATTTTAAACTTAAAACAAAGAAGATGTTACACACTCAATGTCTATCTTTTTTAGTTGTACGCACATACTGGGAATTGAGGTCCGATATTTGCCAAAACAGTGAACGAACCGACATTATTATATATATATATATATATATATATATATATAGGACCACATGATTGTGAAAAAGGTCATCACCCCACTTGAATATCGCCATTACCAGTGGGGCATCTATATTCATTTCCAACTGATTTTTAATTTTTAATAAGTTTAAATGTAATGTATTGGATAATTATATATAAAAATTTTTTTCAATGGATGATAATAGAATAGTAACCCCGCCTGATGAGTAGTCAGTGTATATCTTCAACTCTTCCAATAATATAGTTTTGATGTGACGATGTTAACGCGAATGTTACGCGGCGGACAGACATGAAGGTGGCGGAGGAGGAGGCGCGCGGCGAGGAGGCGTGCCGCGCGGAGGCGGCGGGCGAGAGCTCGGAGGACATCCTGGCCAAGTACCGCCGCAAGCCCTCCGACGGCGGCCGCCCGCGCCGCGCCCAGCGCCGCCTCTCCGACCTGCCCGACGCGGACCACGACAGGTCGCCCGCACTACCTTGCTAACACCACTCTATACATATTGCGACAACTTGACACCAGACGGCGGCACTCACACAGAAATTGTATTAACTATGTAGCTCAAACTTCAAATCGTCAATATTATTAACCAATTTATAAAACATCAACTAAAAGTTATCTATTCTTCAAAGTTATTTATTCTTATAAAAATGCAGATTTATCGTTGTTTCGAAGCTAAATTGCATTCATAATAGTATATTATTTCACTGACTGTTCTATAAATAGTTTCCGTATAAATTATTTCAAGGATGTTTTTTACCGTGATTCAGGTGCGAAGGTGTGGTAGACCTAAACGACCCGGAGGTGTTCAACAGCATGAAGCGCAAGTTACGTGTGGTGTTGTCCAACCCAGACCTCCACTGTGTCGAGTATGTGCCCAACGTGAGTACAATTTGTAGATCTTTTTTGTACTTACATTACTTGCATATAGGTAGGATCCGGCTCGAAGGATCTTTTTCTATTTATTAAGTGGACGTGTTCTTTTTTTATTTTATTTATTTATAAACAATAATTTGTATTTTAATGTCATAGTATGTAAAATAAAATTCATAAGCAGTACATCAAGAAAAAAAAAAGAAAACACACAACAAGTTATATTTTTAAATTTATGACAGTTAGAATTCGTCAATTGAGTACAGACACCTCTTTAGCAATAATGACTTCAATTTTGCCCAAAAAATATTTGAATCATTCAACAACTTCAAGTCCTTAGGTGGCCTTTATTAATAACACCACGGTTTCGTGGACAATGATGTACTGTGTTATTTGGCAAGTTAGTTAACAACTAGTAAAGAATACACGTACGTGCAGCGATGCACGAGCACGTCGCTGGTGGAGTGGGTGCGTGCGGCGGCGGCGAGCGCGGCGGGTGGCGCGGCGGGGGTGGCGGGGGCGGCGGGGGAGGCGGGGGCGGCGCACGCGGCCGCGCTCGCGCGGGCACTCAGTGCGCCCGCAGCGCCCGCCGCCGCCGCACGCCTCGCGGCCGCGCTGCGCGCCGACCTGGCCGCGCGCCGCCCGTACGCCGCCTACCTCGCCTCGTGCCGCGCCGCGCTCACGCACGCCGAGCACACGCTGCGCGCGTGAGTATTGCTTTTTTAATATTTTATTCACAAATATTTAAACGTCTCGATTAGTTTTACCCGCGACGTGACCGAGATAAGTGGCCTATATCTTTCTCTATCTCATATAGTACGTGTACATCTAATTTGATGGCAAATCGGCTACGTCATTACGGCGCTATGAAAAAAAATTCATTTTTACACTTATAATATTAGTATGGAATGTATTTGATAATTGACAAGTACCCAAAAATTAATAATAGACTACAGTTTAAGATGTATTCTGTGTGCTAAAGCTGCCGCATAACAATTATAAATTCTGCATTCAAATTATTGTGACATATTCCATCGAATGTTAAGTCGTGAAAGGTAAAAGATTCGTATGTACATAATTAAATGAAAGTAATAAATTAGCTCTACCCGCTGACATTGATGCTCCTTTCTACTTTGGTTTTTCTGGAATAGAACTCTATTAAAGCTCGCCTCTGTACATTTGATTACATTGTCACATTTTTATAAATAACCGGTATGTACAATGAAGAATGAAATAAAATAAATGCTTTACAGGCAAACGAGCCAAGTCCGCGCGGAGTGGTCGTGGTGCGCGCGGGCGGCGGCGGCGGCTCGCACCGCCGACCAGCTGGAGCGCGGCACGGCGCTGCGCCGCCTCGCGCGCCACCACCACCCGCACAACGACCTCGCGCACTCGTACGGTACGCACGCACGCACGCACGCACGCACGCACGCACCCACCCACGCACGCACGCACGCACGCACGCACGCACACCACACGACACGCACGGACGCACGCACGCACACACGCGCGTACGCACGCACCCACGCACGCCACACGACACGCACGGACGCACGCACGCACACACGCGCGCACGCACGCACGCACGCACGCCACACGACACGCACGCACGCTTCATGATATAATCATAATAACTGAGAAAAATAGAAAATATCTCGCCCTGGCTCACGATCTCACCGAAATGACACTTCCCTATGGTTGACTGGGAGAGAATGCTTTTAGCATTAAGTCCGCCATGTACACATATTTGTACTAATGAATAAATAAATGTGGGGGGTGGCGTCCACCGAAATTATTCCAATCGTTTTGTCGGTGAACGATCTTATCCCAACCGGTCTGGAACAACATCTCAGACGGTTGGGATTCCGAGGCGGCTCACTCCCGGGAAGGATGCAGAAAGCGGTGCTCTTAGATTCTGCCCGCATTGTACGCCGGTTTCTGTCGCGGGGCCCTGAACCCCGGTCGACTGTGCTTCTACCGGGGGTTAGTTGCCATCTCCTCTCCTTAAGAGGGGAGATGGGATTTTTTGTAAAATTTAAAAAATAATAATTTATTTGCTAAAAACATAGATAATAGATAAATTATAGATAGATATTAAATCCTGTTATCTCTCCCTTTAAGAACTATTTTCCCGTGTTCTATCTTCATCCTCCAGTTTCATGCTCTCCTGTTGTGTGTGCTTTTAAGTTTGTGTATGTTTATGTATATATTTGTTTATATATAACAGTGCGCCATCTACTCTTTGTCTTTCTTTCTTTTCTCGATGTCCTCTAACCAAAGATCGTCTGGAAGAGATTGCTTAGCGATAAGGCAGCCTTTTGTATTATTTCTCATTACAATTAAATGTATTTACTATTTTATAAATGGCGCAATAAAGTGTATAAAATAAAATAAAAAATATTATGTTATAATTTATATTGTAATATTAATGTTCCAACATGACCCGCATAATGGCTAGACGCAGGACGGCACGCAACACGCGCACAATACGTACACCATACGCACACACACACCACGATGCTGTCTCAACAATATCACACGCGGATATGGTACGGTACACAACACGCGCACCACATGCTCATACACACACTACGATGTCGCGCCGCTCACACGTGCACCCACGTATACATGGAAGGATACGTCCACGCTAAGCCATATCTAGGATTGGGCAAATAAGGCTAACGGCGAAATTATTAGATCAGGATTCACTATGATTAAATATTAATGAAAAAAAAAAAACCTTACTTAAACAGAAACAACCCTCGGATCGCGGAACTGGCTCTCATCATAGAATGTAGTGCACTTGCAAATTATATATCACTTTGTAATGATTTTTCCTTGTAATTAATTTGTTGGTACACTTTTTTTATTAACCATTTTTATGCCTATTGTATTTTTTCTTTTTTTTAATACAACTTAGAATGGCAAACAAGCTGACGGCCCACCTGATGGAAAGTGGTAACCGTCGTCTATACACATGAGCAGTACCATGGACATAACAGAGTATACTGTTTCGCCCATGATACCCTCCATGCGTTGCCATTCCTGAGGACTCGGGTGTTATTCCTCTGTACCCAGTAAATTCACGCCATATCCCACCCTTTAAACCGAAACACAGCTATGCAAACACAGCTGCTTCACGGTTGAAACACGAATGGGACAGAGGTACCCAAGCAATCGACTTTTGTACAAAGTCTCCCTTCTTCTTCTCTTTTTGTGTAACATTCATATATCGTATATATAAATATTTAAAAATACTTACTATAAGTTAAAGATACAAAATTTCTATAATTTTTACGAACACAGGCGGCGAGCTAATGGACGAGAAAGCAACAAGACTGACGGCCAGCATAAAGGCCATTACAGCTGAACTGAAAGCAGACCCGTCTTGGGAGGGTGAGTCAAATTTAATATTTCCATTCTGAGACACAAAGAAAACGGTTGCAAGTTTTATACAAGGGAGAAATTATTGCCGCCTGTGACTTGAGTAATGTTTGTGCGCAGGCGCAAGTAGTGCGCTGCTGGAGACGCTGGAGCTGACGGTGGAGCGAGCCGCGTTCGCCCGCCTCTACCTACACGTCATGTTCCCCAACGGCGACGGGGACATCGCGCGCGACCAGTACGTACAATTACACAAGCACGCCCACTGTACTTATAATGGTTATAAAATACAGGCAGTCCTCGCACTTACGGTATGATTTTTTTTTATGGATGATAATGGAATGGTAACTCCGCCTGCGCTACGATATACACTGGCGGGGCACCAGTGAGGGATGATTGGTGAGGATAAAAAGGCAGGTCAGTTAGTCCATCGTGACGAATTCAACGATAAATTAGTCACGATAGTTTCCAGGGGGATCCGCGTGGAAGCGATTTGATAGGGTATATTGACAGCAATGAGGACTAACCTCCCCATTACTACTAATCGCCTTCTCCCCAGCTGTAACCAGTTTTTTTTTTTAATGAGTGATAATGTAATGGTAACCCTGCCCGCGCTATCGGTATACACCGACGAGATACCAGTGGAAGGTGATAGGTGAGAGTGAATACAGGTCACTTGGTGTCTGTAACCATGATGAATTCAACGAGAATTAACCATGATGGTTTCCAGGAGGAACCGAGTGGAGGTTGACCTAATATTGCTAGTAATGGGGCTACTAGAGCTGATTACTAATAATGAAGGTGTACCGAGTGGAGTGGTGAGTTATGAGAGTTCGTGTGTGTGTGGCAGGGTGCTGCACGAGCACGTGCGGCGCGTGGCGGGCGCGACGAGCGCGGCGCGCGCGGGCGTGGCGGCGCGCCACCTGTGGGCGGCGCCCTACCCGCGCGCGCAGCGCCATCTGCGACACCTGCCCGTCTACCGCGCGCCCAGGGACAAGGTGCGACACGTGCCTGCACACGCGCACACATACTTATTTATTTATTCTTTATTGACTGCATCCAAAAAAATAGTACAAAAGGCAGCCTTTAGTACATTACTGCAGCGGCCAACAACTGAGGCAATGATGGACGAACGTGCAAATGTAGGCCGAGACGTAGCCGAGGCACACATACGTGAGTCCATCAATGCCTAATTGTGATCAAGGATTGTATAGTACTTTTCTCAAACAGTACGCGGAAATCAAAAACACAATTTTACTTTTTAAGTTCAATGACGAATAACGAACAATAATAATTTTTCACGCACCATATAGTTCCTTTGTTTTTTTTTTTTTTTTTTCAATAAACAGCTTTCTACTTGCAAACCAGTTCGAAATTTATATAAAACCTTTATTTAGTTACCTCCTTGGCAGCCATGTTTTGAAGTAAAAGGTCATTCCATTTTTAAATTACAGGACAGATATGAGTTTACATAGTAATTTATCTGGCCGCAAAACACGACTGAATATGGATTTTCAAGAAGATTGTCAAAATAATGCTCACATTTCCAAGCATGTTTGAAAAAAATACTATATAACATTCTTTCCCAGTATATAAACAAAAATATATATATAAAAATAATAAACAATATATTATTACCTAAAATAATTACATACAATAGAGAACTACTGCACATTATGATTATGTAAATATACATACATGAATACATTAAACAAATTATTTAAATATACAAGTATATATCATAAAGACATACATACAAATATAAATATACATACATACTTATAGATTATATACGATAACAATGATAGAGAGCAAAGGTGATATTGAAGATAATGATTTTTTTTTATACAACTTAAAATGGCAAACAAGCTGACGGCCCACCTGATGGAAAGTCATAACCGTCGCCTATAGACATGAGCAGTACCATCAGAGTATACTGTTTCGCCCATGGTACCCCCCATGCGTTACCATTCCTGAGGACTCAGATATTATTCCTCTGTAAAAATTCATGTATCATCTTCACGAAACACAGCAGAAGATGAAATACGAATGGGACAGAGGTACTATCGACTTTTGTACAAAATTATGACGATCTAATTTTTAATAGATATTCATGTGTATATAATTTTAATGGGGTCTAAAAAGGGACTACTCACACTTATTCATCTCCATTCGCGTTTTGCTGAACGATTTTAGTCACACTTATTCAGCTCTGCTTCTATCAGCCGCGTACGGTGTCGTAAGAATGAGAAAAGCCGTCATAGCGTGCTATCTCCGCTGAAACGCTTGTCTACTGCGTCGACGTTGAATATGCTGCATTTCGTAAAAATAAAACAATTATAATTATTATAAAATACGTCTGCACTCTTTAATCCTTTCGTACATAATGATTACGCAATAAATCAAATCAATGCAGAAACAATACAGGTCGCAACTTGTCGACAAGGAGTCGCGAAACATCCCTGAAAAGAGCTATTTCGCCGCGTTCGACGGTAAATGCGGAGGAACAGCGCTGAACGCTTTCTATAGCATTCGCATGATAAATACACATCCTCATTTTTTTATTTTTTATTTTTTTTTATTACATCCACTGCGTGAGCCTTGCAGTCTTCCAATACGCTCACCCAGGAAAGCAGAAGTACAATAACATATAAAAAGGAATATTACACAAAAATAATAAACAAAAAATAATATAAAAAGATTTAACTGAAATAAAAAACGTCTGAACACAAATACTCTGTGGTTACTCGACGAAACTCCGCAACGCGCCGACGAAAAACGCAAGTTGGAGGCAAATACATCCAATTGCGGTTACTGGCTCAAAATATCATTGAGTAGTTTCAATGCAAGAGATAGGGAAACCTGCTTAGCCAACTCTGTTTTTCATAATGGAACATCGAATAAGTGCCGTCGACGTGCTCGCACGATTTTATACCGAGTAGCCGCGAAAGCAAAATAGACGCGGAAAGCTGATAAGCTGAAAGTGGAAGCTCCATACAAAATCGTTGTTTTCTATGGACAAAAGCTGAATATAGCTGAATAAGTGTGAGTAGTCTCTAAGATATCTCGTTATCTCAAACGTTAAATTAGCTGTAGGTATAAATATTGATTCGTTTTTGTCACTCTAAATAGACATACTAATGTTAGCGTTGATTGTGCAGCTGGCGTGCGTGATGCGGTGTGTGACGTCCATCATGGCGGTGCTCGGGCTGACAGAGGGCGCCGCGCCCTCCGCTGACGACCTCACGCCCGTCCTCGTCTACGTCATACTCAAGGTAGCTATCATTATCGTATTTTTTTTTAATGGGTGATAATGGAATGGTGACACCACCTGCGCTATACACCGCCGGGCCACCGGTGAAGGATGATAGGTGAGGATGAAGCAGGTCAGTTAGCCCATCGTAACGAATTTCACTAGGATGGGCGGCGGTAATCACTTACCATCAGGTGAGCCGCATGCCTGTATGCCCCCTGTGTTATAAAAAAAAATTAACCACGATGGTTTCCAGGGGGAACCACTTGGAGGTCGACCTGATAGGGTGTATTACTAGCAACAGGTCAATTAGACTCCATTACTAACAATCCTTCCCCCCCCCCCCCCCCTATAGCGAGCGGTTGTACCGAACTATTTCTAAGACACATGCGTTTTAGAACTTGTTTTTGCGTTGCACTGTGGTATAAACGTGTTTAACTGAGGACTTAACCTTTATGCGTGGCGGTGCAGGTGAACCCGCCGTCGCTGCTGTCGACGATCGAGTTGGTGAACGCGCTGGGCGGCGCGGCGCTGCAGGGCGAGGCGCTGTACTGGTGGACGCAGTTCTGCGCCGCCGTCGCCTACATCAAGACCATGGACTACCCGCGGCCCGACGCGCCCGACACCTAGCGCACACATACACGCCTGGTCAGTCGCCTACACTGTCGCTGTTATATAAATTCACTGTTATAGCCCACTTTTCAAACCGAAACATAGCCATACATAGACACACGAATGGGTTAGAGGTACCTAAGCAGAGGACTTCTGTATCCAAGCAGACGACTTTCGACAAAATATTGTTTGCCGAGTCACTTAGTTACATTATAAAATTTACTAACTCTTCTTCTTCTTCTTCTTCTTCTTCTTTTCGTGAAGTTTTGTCTAGCTGGGTAAAGCTACACATTGAGTTGTGTTGCCATTTTGTGTTATTGCGGCATACACAAAAAGTGTGATAAAATGTGCTTACAAACATTTAAAAGGCCAGCAACGCACAAGCAACTCCTCTCATGCTGCAGGTGTTCATAAGCAAAGGTAGCCACTTTCCATCATGTGGACCGTCTGCTTGTTTGCCTCTCTGACAATAAAAAAAAACATGTATGTAAGTTTTTATATGTTTTTTTTTATGCAACTTAGAATGGCAAACAATCTGACGGCCCACCTAATGAAAAGTGGTAACCGTCGCCTACAGACATGAGCAGTACCATGGGCATAACAGAGTATACTGTTTCGCCCGTGATACCCCCATGCGTTGGCATTCCTGAGGACTATTTGTGACTAAAGCTGTAAATAAACGTTTATTATTATCATTAAGAGATTCATTAAAATTTTTAATTGTATTACAGATGTCAGCGCGTGTTTACGAAATAAAATTGGTAAAGGATCGGCATGCCGCAAACCGCGGGCGGTGTTATACAATTTAAAACGAACATAGACAAAATTATCCATAAAAAAACACTAGAGCTTAGTAATATAATCGAATGTAGAAAACTTTTCTGTCAATCATGTATTAATTTATGGTGATCAATGTGACATTTACACGTTGTTTATGGTGTTACCCCCTTTTATTTTAACTATTACACTGTTTTGTCGTTTTCTTTTAAACTGAGAATTTAACGCCAAGGAAAGAGACGAAACAGTTCATAAGCGGAAATTGTGCAGCCGAGTTCTTTCTACCACAATAAAATAAACACTTTCTTTATTTAGCTTGCCTGAATTTAATGCTAATAAGTTGTTTAGGGACCTTTTTAAAAACCTCTTTGAAGAAATCGTAATAAATTTAAAATATACGATAAACACCTCATAGTATGTTGACAGTCCACCATCTTATATAACTTACCGGAATTTAATGAAGAATTAGGAAGGAGGTTTAATAATATTTACGAAAAGGTATTTGAAGAAATAATGACGAATTTAAAACATACATTAATTATATAACATGCCACATTGATCACCTAACGTAATATTTAAAATGGAGGGACAATGAAACGCCCTTCGCTTGTACACTTCCATTAAAAATAGAAAATATAATCATCCTCAAAAATGTATTTTGAATATAATTATGTAAATAATATAGGAGAGTGTAACATTATTTAATACGATATCGTGGAATTACGTATTAGATTAATTTAATTATAAGTAATACTAATGTTTGAACTAAAGAGATTTCGAAGTACAGTCTTGGTAGTTTAATAACACTGAACCCGAGGCCTACGTTACGTATTCGAGTAGCCTAAAATTATAGTTTAAATTTAACTTTCGAGGGATATCTGTTTTGAGGATTTTGACTCGCTTTTGTTTGGAGTCAGCCTATGTTTCACGTATTCGTCATATCGGTGTCTCTTTCTATAAGGAATAATAAAGTTTTTTTTTTTTATTATAATCATACAAAATATACTGTTAGGACACTTGATACGACACGACGAACTTATGAACATTATAATAGAAGGTAAGATAGAAGGAAGGAGGGGAAGAGGGAGACCAAGGTATAGTTACACCAAGCAGATTAAAGAAAAGGTTAGTATAGTGTCGTATCAAGAGGTAAAGAGACTCGCTGAAAATCGTAGTGAGTGGCAAGAGCTCCACCGACAAGAGCGCAGCTCTTAAATAAGCTAGATAGATAGAGAAAACACACTAAAAAAAAATACTATCATAGCTCTCGACGTCTCTGCACGGAGATTAAGATGAGGATGGAATTATCTATGAGTTTAATTTTTTAAGGAATAGACTATGTTTTTTTATCTGCCGTAAATGAAGTTTCTGGTTGAGAGTGCACTTACTCATTTAAACGCATTAAATTTAAATATTGAGGTGGTTCTTTGCCCTGTGTACGACTTTATCAATACTAGAGTGGGTACAACTACGCAGCGATAGACAGATGCTTATCTCTCGAGAGTATTATATTAACTTATTTATAAACATTATGAATATACTATATTCATCTTGTAGATTGGGATATACAAAGTAGAATAACGGTGAGTTTTGCATTAGTAGAAATCGTCATGTAGTCTGAAGTGGGTAGGAAATCCTAAGCAAGCTTTACTATTTTTTTTTTTAATTACATTTAGATACACATTAAAAATATATATATATAAAAAAAAATAACTGTGTGGAAAATGTGTTTGTGATGTCAAAATAGGAATATTTAATATATTAATATCCTATTTTCATTGTGTTGTCTTGTCGTGTATCAATAATAAGCTGTGTAGATTTATTATTATAAAAAAAAAAAGAAAATATGTCTGAAATAAATACTTGTCAAGATTCTTTCAAAATTGTTGGCTTTTTTTATACCACAAAGACGGCAAATGAGTATACAGCCCGTCTTATAAAAGCAGTGTTGCCTTTATCAAGATAAAAATATCCTATATGGTAATTTAGGTCATAAATAACTATTAAAACTTTTTCTATGGTATCTAATACTTATTTCATTTAATCTATAGTTCTATAATGCGTCCAAGCATATGTAGTATTTATAATAATAGAACGTGGATCGGTTATACTGTATCATCAGACAGATCGTAAATGTTTCACTTTATTTTATTTTTATATATATAAGTAGTAAATCTAAACAGCTTAATTTTACGTATTTTATTTAAGTGAATGTAAACTCAATCGCCGTACGAGTTGCCTAAATGGAAATCATCTTGTTCGACTGTGATGTTAGGTTGCGTAATACTCGGATAAAGAGGTGTATTTTTGAAGAAATTGTATGTAAATTATTATATTTAGGGAGTGGATTGATATTGAAAAAATAATGAAAAATTACTAGCTGTAAGTTTTCTCTGTAATATGCGAAGTGTTGACATGCAAATAAGGAGTGGGTATTATATAGTAATTTCTATATATTTTAGTTACAATACTATATACTTATATACTGGTTCAATAACGAATATGTTAAAAGTCTGTTATCGAAAATAATAATATTCAATAAGAGACTTTAAATATATTCGAAAATAAATATCCGATATTGGTGATGTGCTTTTTTCACTATCAGTATCTAGTAGAATCCAATATATAAATATCGAATCGGTATCCATATTACCCATTCCTAATTCAAATATATAAATTGAGAAAAGTAAATCGACTGGTTCGATTCAGAGGTGCCAGTTTCTAAAAAAAAAAAAAATAAAAAAAAATATTTATTTCTAAAATAGAATTTAAATTTGATATCACAGTAAAATCTTTACAAGCTACAATTAGGTTTAAGTCAAAACCATTATAAATTTAAATTATCATGATTCATAAAAAGTATTTTTGACGTAACTAATTAAAATATTGGAATTAAGAGAGGTCTAGAGAAATGGTGCCTCAGAATCGACCTGTGTCACTAAGGAAGTTAAAGAGGTTATAAAGAAGGAAATACAATACACTATATGCAAGGCGTTCTGAATTAATATCAGATACTTTTTAATTATAATTCCGTTTTTACCCTTTGCCGAATTTTCCAACAATAATTCAACACTCTGAATTTATCGTTCGGTTAACACAAATGAGAATGTATATGTATATTTAATAAATTTTATTTTCTAACTACCTACTTGTTACCTACATGAAATAATGGTCAATGAGATGAAACTCGTATAAAATGAGATTATATTTTTATTTAGAATCTCAATCTGTGGGCAGCAACTTGAAAATATGAACACCTTATTTTTTTTTTTTTTTTTTTTTTTTGTATAAAATTGGTTTGGAAACAGTATTTATCGAGATAATACCGATACTAATTTACTTATTTTAGATATTTTTTTTTATGTCTGAAAATATTTTAAAATAATGTAAAGATTACGAAGTGGCGATAAAGACATTAATCGAAATATGTATATGTGTGCAGCTATAACCATAACTACAGTTCTCTCTTTAGCTTTATATTTTTTTTGTCTATGCAGTCATGACATTCCTTTAAAATGTTTTAGACTGATTTTCGTAAAGATCGAAAATAATTCTCGAATAATTAATAAAGGGTTTTCTTTCCTCGTAGGAAACTGCCTTCCTTACCTTCGTACAATGTAACAACAGCTGTAGTGATGATCCATTTGAGAATACAATCACACAATTTGAGTACATCAATAAGGAAGTTAGCAAAAAATTTTAAAATAGAACGTCGAAACAACATACTCGCGTTTAATTACTAGCGTAGAGAAGGGTACGGGTAAATTGTAAACCTATCTCATTCTGTGACCATGCCGTTTGGCACTTATCTAAGAGATTAGTAAGTTTAATACTAAACCCCTCGTCCCTCCCTCCTCTTTTATACTGAGCAGAGGGCCTACCATGAAATGAAATTCCGAAGTTTCGGACTCAATTTCGTGTTTTCTTTCATACCTAATACGGCCCAGTAAATGGAGCTTAACATTTCGTTCGTCACAAATCCTACCATAAAAGTCCAAAGGAATACTATTTTAATATTTTTAATGTTTTTAAACGGTAAGTATTATGTAATTTTAACAGCAAATTTGTGTTTCGTTCGGCTCCGAAATTTCGGAAAACATTTCATGGTAGGCCCTCATTATATTATAATAGTATATTCGAACAAAGTAAATTTCCATGTTGATGTAACTATTTGTGTAAGTGGAGTCAAAGTTATGTTACTATAATCCATTGAGCGTAATTTAAGTTAAAGTTTTAATCGTTTTAGCACATAGGCCTTTCTAGGGGCCTGCTCTCTCTGGAAAATAATTCTAAATACACCAATGTTAGCACTAGTTTATTTTGCACTCTAACAAGACTTCTAGAAAAAATTATGTTTACTTTGTCTATTTTATTATTATCTACATTGGGCGTGCGATGCATTCATACTTGTAGCGAACATGGAAGGAAAAGCAAAAATATTTCATGTTACATTGCACCAATCTGTACCCGGTATAAATACTTTACAATGTACCTACCAATATCTTTAAATTGCTTAATACAACTAATATTAAAAGGTGTAAAATTAAGAACTTCTTTTCTTGAAATGTGAAAACAATTTTTTAAATATAGAATGAGCTGTCAAGTTTCTAATAAAATAGACAAGGTGTAACTTTTTTTAACACCGTTTACTGTAAACTAATATATATAATAGTTGTACAGCTGTTATTAGATTTCCTTAGTCTAAGAGCTGGTAACTGTCGAAGATAAGTGTTCAGTGCCATTTATGACTACCCATAGTTCTATAAAGCCTAGTCAATTGTCTTCAGAAATTACAGATTCTACATTAAAATAATTATAACAATTGAGCTTTCTATATCATCATCATTGTACCACAATCAAGGACTAAAATGTTTCATTTCTAATTCTCTCTATGTCTACATAGTGCTAGCTCTTAGATTGTTTATTTTTTAAGTAATTATTATTCACCAGTTAATCATCCACTTATTACTTACGATCCAATTTGAGAAAACAAAATTTAAGCTACTATTATATATTATATCCCTACATAAAATAATGGCAAATTCAACAGCATCCAGATATCAAGATGTTTCATTAATAAAGCCTTCATTTGTTTAGTAATAATTAGGTAAGTTGATGCACTTTATTATAAGCTTAAATATATATGCAAATGCATACATATATATAAAAGTAACTAGCCGGTGTCTGTACATAGTAAATATTTAAGAAACACAAATGCGGCGGTACACATAAAAAAAAAAAAAAACCAAACCAATTACAACTCTAAAAATATTTGGGTGCTGTTGAATTAGATATTAATTCATTGATAAATATGTTTCCTTGGCGTTGTTTTCGGATACAATTAATAACTTTCTATAATAGAAAGGCATAATATCTAGTAAGGTCAACAAAATAAAAGCTAACGTCTAATATTTGCAATATAAATTCCAAATCAACTGTAAAATGTTTCAAACTTTTAACTTGACAACTCTCGCATAATTTCGTTTTTAAATCGTGTATATTTGTCTTTTCTATTTTTTAATTAGAATAATATCGTTGCATATAGTTCAATAATCTGCTGTTAGTTGCTAACTTTATTAGTGTAAAGCCAGATGCGTACCTATTGTAATCAGAGCAATGAAATTATATTTAGCAATAAAAAAATATGTTTACGGTATGGTTTCATTTTTGAGGAATGCGTGGAGGTAGATCTAGCAAGGTTTTTTTTTATGCAACTTAGAATGGCAAACAAGCTGGCGGCCCACCTGGTGGAAAGTGGTAACCTTCGCTTATAGACATAAGCAGTGCCATGGACATAACAGAGTATACCGTTTCGCCCATGATATCCCCCATGCATTACCATTTCCGAGGACTCGGGTTTTATATTAGTAACAACGTCCAACAAAGCAAACAAAGTAAGGACTCACGTCCCGTTATGCGTTTACTTAATACCGACATCCTCTAAAGAATTTTTATAAACACGGCTCCCAATTAGCTTTGCGATAAACAAGAATAAAAACTATGTTCTACCCGACTTTAGGAGTTCAAGCTGTACGAGGTTTGTCCGGAAAGTACGTATAAAAGTTTTTTAAAAATTTTATTTTACAATTATTCAGGTAAATCAATTTTATCCCCTTCAAAGTACTCCCCCTGTGACATAATGCACTTGTGCCAACGCCGTTTCCACTGTGAGAAGGCTCCTTGAAAGTCCTCTGGTTGTAGGTTTCTCAGCTGCCCCGTCGTAGCTTTTTTTTTATCTCATTTATGTCCCCTAAATGCCGCCCCCGAAGTACCAATTTGGTTTTTGGGAACAAGAAGAAGTCACACGGGGCCAAATCCGGCGAATAGGGGGGTGTTCGGTCACCGTAATGGAATTTTTACTCAAAAACTCACGGACAACAAGAGAGGTGTGGGCAGGGGCATTGTCGTGGTGAAGAATCCAACGCCCCTCTCGCGCCAATTCTGGACGAACTCGTGCCACACGAGCTTTGAGGCGTCTGAGCACATCGACGTAGAATTTTCCATCAACTGTCTGGCCTGGAGGGACGAATTCTTGATGGACAATCCCCCGAACATCGAAAAAAACAATCAACATTGTCTTGACATTTGAGCGGGATTTTCTTGATTTTTTTGTTCGTGGTTCCCCGGATGTCTTCCACTCTTTGCTTTGGGATTTTAATTCGACATCAAATTCGTAGAACCAAGACTCATCTCCAGTGATGACTCGGTTCAAAAAGTCACCATTCTCTTGATTACGACGCGCTGCTCTTCAACGGAAGCGGGCTCCATGCCGACGGGGTTTCGTTAAGAGGTAACTTCACAGATGGCGTGACAAGCCAGTTCGCACCGCACGGCGGTCAGACCAGAACTGAAGCATTGTTAGGGACATAAGGAAGGGGTCCTGCGCTTACCTGGCCTCCCCACTCCTCTTTCTCGCATTCCAGAACACTTTTATACGAACTTTCCGGACAGACCTCGTATGTCCTATGTGCTCAACAATATTATAATCTATTATAAATTTCGTCAGTCTCTTAAATATGTCAATTTTCTTATGATGTATCAAATAAAAATTACTCAAGTTGGAAATTGGGGAGAAGGGATTGTTAGTAATACAGTATAGGACTGCAAATCCCATTGCTAATAATATACCGTCCACCACGTGGTCCCACCTGGAAACCATTGTGCCGAATTCCAGGTGTATTCATCACGATGGGCTAACTGACCTGCCTTTTCATTCTCACCTGTCATCTCTCACTGGTGCTCCGCCAGTGTATACCGTTAGCGCCGGCGGAGCTACCATACCATTTTCACCCATTAAAAAGTTATAAAGAAGTTGGTAACTATTGTTTTCGATAGTATGAATTCTCGACCCTTTTTTTTTACTTATCCCCTTATTCATAAAAACATACTTCTCGTAAACTCATTTTACCTATTAAACCTTTCTTTTACAAATTCCGAATTTGAAAGAACAGTTTTATAGTACATAATGTACTTATATCTAGACTTTTAATATGTAAGGTCAATTTAAATAATGTAACTTAATTATAATTTTGTTTACCGGTTTTTTTTTTATATAAAATGTAAAATATTTGCATGCATGCCTATATCTTTTAAGGCAATTAAACAGATGCCAAAATAATACCACGTGGCTTGTTATAATTTTAAACTGTTTAATGCAAATAAACTAATTTCATTTCATAGGTTTGTAGGTTTTAATTTTTATATAGGCCCTTAGGTTAGATTTTTTTTTTATTTTGAAGTGTAAAAAGAGAATGTTACAGGTTACAGTTGTGTGCTGTTACTGGACTTTAAATACATATAAATTCAGATCTGTCACTTATACACGGGAGAAATGGATTGGAAGGTTTTGATAGAACAAAAAATAAGTTATTTTGTTGCACATAAATTTATTTATGTACTTGATTTTACATTTTTATAAAGTTCACTTATAAACAACACCACTTTACAGCAGCAGGACACTGGAACAAGGAAATTTATATTAGAAACACATAGATGGAGCAATGGAAGATGTGAACATTACAGGAAAAATATCAGTCCTTAGTGTGACGTCATGGCATTCAGCAGTAGCAAATAAAGTTAATAGCATCATTTGATAATAAAAATAGAAATAACTTCCTGGTTGAATATTATGTACTTTGTCAGATTGATTTAAAAAAAAAATAAGATTCACAAGTCAATAAAAAAAAAAAGAAATAGTTACAAAAGGACCATAATGACTGGGCTAAATCTTTATTGTAAATAAAAACTACACTACTAGATGTTTCGATGTTTAGAAATAAACATAAAAGTCAAATGAAAGTTAATATTTGACTGTATATGGTATATTTTATATCAATGCTTCATCAAAACAATAATCCTGGAAATAATATATTTTTTAATTTACAATTATAAATATATAAGAACCTTATCACAGTGCGAGTTGTCTATGATCGTGGCCTCTCCTTCTTTTCTTTGTACAGGGCTAAAAGTGAGACGTTGGCTACCTTCACGACCTGTAAAATAAAAATATTCTCAGTAAAGATAAAAAGTAAAGCAAATATACATATAAAACTAGTATATCAGTTAGCTAGTAACATCATGGCATTCAGAGTAGCAAATACTCCGATTATAGCAAATCATCACATGTAATGCCAAGTTATAACAGCTCTATACATAGTAAATTTAATTAAATTTAACTACCTACAAATATAGACTAATTTGCTTCATGAAATAATTTAAGCTTTGCACTAACATGACTTTGAAAACTCTTTGAAAAAAATTTAGATGGGTTCTGAAACCTTATTGATTGTAGAAATATTATCAAAACTGATTCATAATTACCAAAGATATAGTAGAATGTTCTCTAAGATGCTTAAAAATTCTACTGAAGTCATTTTTAAATTTCTTTTTAATAAACAAAATGTTGAAATAACAACCTAAAAATATAATCGCAATAATTTTCAATCTACCCACAATAATTTTTTTATTCATTAATTACAATTTCTGAAAAATAGATTAATCAATCAATCAATTCTTTAGTCTACCCCCATAACCTAGTATAAAAATAATATAATTTTATGAATATTACCCAAATAAATTTACTAGTAAGAGGCCTCACCTTAAATCTGACTCCGGGAATATCACCAACAGCATGACCCTTACGACCAAATCCTGCAACTAGCACTTCATCGTTCTCCTCAATGTGATTGAGACAACCATCCCGAGGAACGAAGGCTGTGATCTTCTTGCCATTCTTGATGAGCTGGACACGAACACACTTGCGGATAGCAGAGTTGGGCTGTTTGGCTTCAACACCACTGTTGGGAAATGCCATTATTATATAGCAATTGTAGGGACATCATAGTTAATATTAGAGTGCACAACATATAAAAAGAAATATAGACACAATTTGTATGCCATAACAATTTGTTAGATTTGTTTTCAACAATTTATAGAAATGTGTTTAATAATAAATAGCATTAGTTACTGTATTAATATTAGCTCATTAATTAGTTTCTAGAGTCCAAAACTAGTCAGGCAACACAGAGATTAATGGGAGTAAATATGTTGTTTGTATTTTTATACAAATGTTTTATAGTTTTATTATATATATAGTTTCCAATTTTTAAATCCATATATCATAATTATGAATTAATAGTAGAAATCTGTATAAAAATGGTCTATATATAGTAATAATGTAATCATGGAATAATTAGTTTAAATGTGCATGTACTGGACTAGAGAAATAATTTAAAACTAGGTCACAAAATAAATTTATGCAAAATTATCAACCATAACACAACCACGGTTTTAGAGTTCCTCCAGGCGCTGTTAGACGCCACCGCTCGCAGTATTATCCTGTGATTGTAGTAGAAACACATTCACAGGTATAATACCACGCGCGGGAGCGTCCTCGTTCCCGGCATGCGTCGTTCCTCGATAGATATGCTACACAACCAGTCATTCTACAAAGTCTCTGTAAAACAATACTTTAAACGGTCTCGAGACATACTGACACTGTTATAAATAGTTCAAAAACAGTTTCGCATCTATGCTTATTAAACTGGAGAAACGTACTTACACTTTTTCCAGGACGATGCCCTTGGCGTGAGATGCACCACCGAAGGGATTAGCCTTCCACCTCGTTCCCATGTGGGCCTTTTTGTAATCTTTGTCTGCCCATCGCTGCTCACGGCGATGGTTCACGTGCTTACGCGCCGTACGTATTCCTCGGGGTTTACCTGAAATATCGATGTCGCCGGTTAGCACCAATGTTTACATGAACAGCAAAATCGACCCACCGTATTTTTTTAAACATAACATGAACGGGGAAACTTTTGCCGGACCTAATTATTATTGTAGGAACTACGCGATTGAAATAGATTTATTTTACACCACGAGAAAAACATGTCTGCGCCATGGCCGACACTAGGCGTGCGGTTGTATTTTTCATATACTCAGACAGTAGTAATACATAATCACTTAAATAATTACATTAGACTATATTGAACTTATTCACATATTTTGAACAAAAAATAATAATTAAATGACAACAAAAACACAAAACTATCCCTTACCCATTTGGATAGCACGACACCAGTCGGCTACGGATGGGAAAAGAAATTAAAATCACTCGTCCAACCAACCATTGGCTTCAATTTTACATTCCTACCAATTACAAGAAAAATTTTATCATTGCCAGAATAAAAAAATATCGATTTTATACCTTTGTAAACGGTCATTTGTATACACCATTTTTAAAATCTTAAGTACAATTTCACAGAGCTCTTATTCAGATTAAATTACAATATATGAATGTAACATAAAAAATTATAGTATGAATGTATTATATTGTATTATATTATTAAATTTTAATGTATATCGCAGGTATTATTTATTTATAATAAAAGGCAAAATGGTAGACGCCACTGTCTGTAAATATTTGATAATAATGAAGGTTGTTTATCACCAGTTTTTTTATAAAGGAACATGGTCTTAACTTGAAGATTTCAATACAATGGGTTAATACCCAAGTAACATACATTCACGAATTTGACTTCTGCGGACTAGTTAAAAGATAGATGCGATTTTATATGTCTATCCCTCTTTAACCCATTCGCAATGTCATAAATACAACGAGCAACACACTATGTGCATTCCATCTATTGTATTCCGAAATATTTATATCTTACTCTAAGAACAAGAAATTACATTCAAGGAATGATAAAATAAAAGCAGTAAATCATATTTTTGCTTTCTTTCTTCTTATACAAATATAATATGTAAAAAGAGGACGAAAGATACACAATCAGTTGCTTTTTTTGTCAACTCATAGCAGGCTAGTGTAAAGAAAATGTTATACCTAAGAAAAAGGAATTACATAGAAGGAATGTAAGAGAAATGGGTTGATCAAATAAAATGCTTAATATTGTAGTTCTCTTTTATAACGCCATCATCGGTAGGAAAATATAAAGACTAATAATAGAATTGTAAAAACATAAGAACAATAGAAAATCAATATAAATATTACATGACAACTTAACTATTTAAATTTATTCCATTAGAAACATTTATCTCATATTATTTGTTAATACCTTTCAATATAATTAACATATTTCGCCTTGAAATGATATAAATATATAAAAGACGGAATATGATGGCCAGTAACATAAAAGGCGTATTATGATGGCCAGTAATACGCCACACCAACCTTCCGGGATAAAAGTAAGACAGGTCTGTCCCTAAAACGAACCTTTCTTCCCGATTTGGTGACCGACCCAGTAGCTTGGGAGGCTGGTGCAGGAAGTACAGGAGCGAAATGTGGAGAAGTGAAACATGAAGATTAGTCGCGTGAAGGGGCGTCATGTTAAGTAGTACTCAGTTCAAAATGAGCGGACTTTACACGGTCAAGACTCACAGTGACATTCTTACTATTAATGTAGAGAGTTGCAGTTTTAAAGATACAGTTACATTTACAGTCTTTAGATACAATAAAAGCTGTAAATCATATGGTTGCCTTCTTTTTTTTTATACAAATATAATTAGTAAATGAGGACGAAAGAAACACCATCAGTTGCTATTTTTCAGTGTATAGAAAATGTGTATGTAAAATTTTTGTTCATTTACATTACTAGATATATTCGACACATTTTATGTAGAAAGTATGCAAACAGGTTGTATCTAAATTTAGTAGAGTTATACGGCCGTATAATATTAAGAACAGGGAATTACATAGAAGAAATGATAAAATAAATTACTTTTTTCAGTGTATATAAAATGTGTATGTAAAATTACTGTTCATTTACTTTACTAGATTAGATATTCGTCACAGTTTATATAGAAAGTATGCAAGCAGTTGTATATAAATTATACGGTTAATCTAGTAATGTAAATGAACAATAATTTTACATACACATTTTATATACACTGAAAAATAGCAATCACCATCAGTGTTTCTTTCGTTCTCTTTTTATTAGTTATATTTGCATAAAAAGAACGGAGGTCACCATATGATTTATAGTTTTTATTGTATCATTCCTTGTTCTTAGGTCTTACTTAATCATGACGTGACACTTGACCTATTACAAAGTAAAAACTACATTTCAAACAAATTATCATATTGAAGACTAGGCAGCATGGTCTCCGACCTTAGCCTGTTCCACAACGAAACAAACGTACTAAAAAAAAAAAGTAAAAACTACTCTGTGTTTGACATTATTTGTGACTTATTTCTAGCAATAAGAAGACTAGGCAGCATGGTCTCCGACCTTAGCCTGTTCCAAACGGAACAAACGTACTAAAAAAAAAAAAAAATCTAGCAATAATTATATAGTTTCTCGTACGTTCTCCGCTTCTGAAATTTTCTTAATTCTATAGTATTGCTATTTTATTCCATTAATTGTTATTTACACTTAAACACAGTGAAATTGATTGATTTGATTTATTCCTTTGCCAACCAGTGTTTTTGTAGTACGGTGATAATAATTTACTTTTACGAATTCTGTGTGCAACAATCATACCTGTTTGTATTGCATCTAAGAAGCTTTCTTATTTAACGATACAATGACGACTCTAAACCTTGGCAGAAAGGATGGAGGGCCAGGTTATGTGGGCATTCAGTTTTGTTTGGAATGTAATAACATGCTTTACCCGCGTGAAGATAAAAACAACAAAGTGTTGTTGTATGCTTGTAGAAATTGTGATTATAAACAACTAGCGGATTCAAACTGTGTCTATGTTAACAAAATTATGCACGAAGTGGATGAGTTGACCCATATCAACCCTGATGTAGTGAGTGATCCAACATTGCCTCGTACTAAGGATCACATGTGTCCAAAATGTAGCCACAGAGAAGCTGTATTTTTCCAAGGGCAAACAAGACGTGCTGAAGAAGAGATGAGACTATATTATGTGTGCACAAGTTGTAAGCATAGGTGGACTGAGTGAAATTTAGAATTATTTGCTGTAAGAAATATTTTAAGGACAATAAATGTAACTATTATAAGATTTATTCAAATACTTTTATTTTACTGTAATCCATTTTTGTCAAGTCTTTTTATATTGAGCATTAATTTTTCCAATTACTCTGCTAATTCCCAAATTGTCTTACATTTTTTTTAGATAAAATTGCAACCCCACTTATATTGGCAAATACTGGCAAGATGCTAGTCAGGGATGATAGTTGAGAATGAAAGTAAGTCATTTAGTCAATCCTGACTAATTTAGTAAAAATTAACTGATAGTTTTCAGGCGGTACCAAGTGAAAGGCGGTAACATGACAGGGTATGGAGCTACTCATATCTTATACTAACAATCCATTCCCCCTTAGGGTTTATCAGGATATGAAGAAGAAAAGGCCATCCTCCCTATCTCACTTTGTGTGTCAAAATAGGAAGGAAAATACATCTTGCAAAACAGCTGGCAGCAATCTCTGACTAATGCACACCTCATAGATAAATGAATCATAAACCAACACACACATTTTATAAAAATGTAAGATACCCGTCAGCTGCTTAAGAATACCATAGTCCTCCAAATTAATATTGTCACTTCTATGGTAGTTTTAATCTCTGTGTCTTGAACAATAATCAAAAATAGTTGAGATGCTCTGGTGAGTCAATGATAAAATGAAAGAACGTTATATATTTTGTATTTGTTTATTAGCTAAATATTGCCAAGCCATATCTGATCTAATAATAACAGTTAACAATTCACAGCCATTGATTAATTAATTCATAATAAAATTTAATTATAACCATTCACAAATCTAATACAAAGCACTAGCAATCTATGTATGTATGTCACACAATTTAACAACTTAACAATATCATGTTTTACACATAGTACATAAATAATTACTTAATATCTGTATTTTGTATGTACCTTATGGGAAACAATCTTTAAATTAACTTTATAAACTTTTTTCTTATTAATAAAATAATATACAATCAACTAATATAAAAACATTGCCATCTTATTTTTATGTACCTTAGAATGGCAACAATCAGACGGCCCACCTGATGGAAAGTGATAACCGTCCCCTGTAGACATGAACAGTACCATGGTTAACAGAGTACACTTCGGCAGCCATGATATCCTTCATGCATTGCCATTTTATGAAATCATAGTTCCAATAATATACCTATGTCCAGATTTTTTTAACTGGTAAGTTTAAAAAAAAACTGGAAAAATGACACTACATATTAGAACAGTGAAACTACAATATTTGGCACATCCAGTTTTGTGAACTCTTATTAATTAATTTAAAAAAATAACATAGCTTCTCATAGTATATCTACTTGTTTAAAACCTGCCATTTTTTATTCAAAAGAATAAATTAAATTTTAAATTTAAAGTTCATGGACTTCTTAAATACCTAAATAATACCAATTCAGAGAAGCAATAGTATCATATTTTGTAAAATTAATTCGATACTTGATAAGTAAAACTGAATATTCTCTACATTACTGATGTACATGAATATTTTTCAAACGAAATGCCGTCTAATTTTGTCAAAATTGAAATCCATATTTTATCGAGAAAATAAAATATTTGTAATTAAATATTTTAACAAAATAAAGTTTTATAGGTATACGAGTACAAACACGATTAAATGTATAACATTGGAAGGTGCTTAATGATAATATACCGTCCAATCATCACTCGCTACTGAGTTACCTACACGAATCCTTGGAACGCGACAAGAAATACAAAATCCTTGGAATAACTTTAGAATATAGCATCTAAATAGTATGTACTTGTATTTGTGCAAAAATTGTAGATGCGGTGCTGTATAATCTCTACTTACAGTAATACGACTAGACCAAATTATCTAGGCCGAGGAATACCTAGTCACTTTCGTTAGGGGGAAGGGATTGTTAGTAATACGGACTGCTAGTCCCATTGCTAGATAGAATATACTCTGGCTTCACCCCCTGGAAACCATCTTGCTGAATTCCAGGTGTATTCATCACGATGGGCTGACTTGCCTTTTCCTTTTCATCTATCATCCCTCACTGGTGCCCCGCCGGGGGGAAGGGATTGCTAGCAATGTGGACTACCAGCCCCTTTGCTAACAATATACCCTGTTGGGTCGACCTCCACGTGGCCCCCCCTGGAAACCATCGTGATAAATATCGGGTGTATTCATCACGATGGGCTAACTGACCCACCTTTTCATTCTCACTTATCATACTTCACTGGTACCCCGCCAACATATACCATTAGCGCAGGCAGGATTACCATTCCATTATCACATATTAAAAAAAAACTAGTGCCCCGCCAGCGTATACCATTATTACAGGCGGGGTCCCCAATCCGTTATTATCCACTGAAAAAAAGTCACTTTTTATTATACAACAATGTTATTGCTTGTCATTAGTGTTATGAAGATTATTTTCCGGGAGACCTTGCCCGTTAAAAAGGCGGCATAAACATGTCTACGAATAGTTGAAAGCTCCACTCGCATCCCAGGATGCGAGCACACTGCTCCAAGATGTGCACTATTAAATTCTGTGCTGAGCACGGCCTACACTTTCCCCCTAAAATGCGCCTATGTAGCTTACATAAATCTAAATACAGCCTACCTCCTAAATCTAGAGGGGTCCGTAAGCGTTCGGTAGAAAATTAGTGGCTTCTAGCTCTAAGTTTAAACCGTAAAAGCAAGCTTACTCCGTGCGTTTCAAAGATTTATACTTTATTCCTAGTTGCTATTTAAGTAGAAGTAGGTACTTATTTTACAGTTTTATTTTTTATACCGCTAAATCATATACTGATCATATAACAGTGGTATGAAGATTATGAAATCGCAAAAAAATCCTTAGAAACGGTTTTCTATGACGATATTTAAAAACTTAGTGCTGTTTGCTAGTGAAAAAAAAAAAGAAATAGGTATTCCTTTATGTTCCTAAATACATACCTATTATACTTTTAACGTTATTTATAAATTATAATCAAAAGACTTATATTAAATAAAAGAATGTTTTCAGCTATAGAAGGGTTGATGCAGAAATTGTCATATCGTCATAATCGTAGAATACTGACGGATCTGACAAATATTACCTATAAAGATCCGTCAGTATTCTACGACTATGACGATATAAGTACTGTTGACTTATATACATACAAACAATTAAAATTACAAGTAGTTATGCAAAAAGCAGCCAGAGTACCTAAGATGATTCTCAAATGATTGTTTTACGTAACTAACTTCAAATAAACTTTTTACTTTTAAATATGGAACTATATAATTTAGTTAAAAAACTCACTATTCCATGTGTATTCCTATTCCTCGTAAGCAAATTTGAGTAAAAATATAGAGAATTATATAAGCAATATACTAAAATTTGCTTGTAAATTCTGTTGTACAAAATTACACTAACAAATAAGTGTAATCTCAATGTTGAATAAATGAATACAATCAAGAGCGGATGTTATATAAAAACGATTATTTGTACCAATAAAAATATATAAGTATAAATTCAAAGAACAATAACGAGCATCGTAAAATAAAAGCAGGACTAACTTCTACGTCTTTGTGATAATTTTTTTATTTGGTAAGTAGACATATTAGACAATAAAGAAATCTCTAACGGCGTACCCTACTTTTCTTCTCTCAAGAATTTGTTAAATAAGTAAGATTAAGTGACATTAAATAGTATACTATCCATACCTACAAATAACGAATAGCTACTGATCTATTTTTAACAAAAAAACTGATGGAAAAATAAAAAAAAACATATAAAATGATATTAATTTAAATATCTCTACTTATTCCAAAATCTGGACGACATTCGTATACGAATACCTATATATACGTATTTCTCTCGTATTTATATTATATGATTTTAATTTTAATGAGAATTCAACAAGTGTATATTGTATGTAATTTAACAACCGCCAAGGAAGACAGGGGAGAAGGGGCAGTGAATTATTACAGCAACCACGTGCCTATTACAATGAATACACATATTAAAGGGAGCTATACATAGACTAGTGGTTTTCTACCCCAACCTATAAAACCCAAAGATCATGAGTTCGAATCAGGCTAATACTAAAAATAAGTTTTAATTTAAATTTTCTACTATTTTCTTTCTCTAGTGATGTGAAATACTGTTAATTTAACTCTTCTTTGCATAATGGTGGAAATTTCCATTATAAGATTGAATGCCCAAAAAGTATATAAAAGAACAAGTTCACTTTAAGTTGATCGTGTCTGGATACCTTTTTAATGTCTATTGCAGAAAAAATAAATATTTTTGACTATCTCATCTATGAAATTAGGTGCATTGGAAAATATAGTATTATTATAATTATCGAATAATTAATAATAAATAGTCTCATATTAATTCCTACCATGAGATCCGTCTTCTTCTGTGTGTTGTCAAATTTATTTTAAGGTTATGGGCCTCCTAAACTTTAAGGTTGCAATAGGTAAAATATCCTCATTTCACTATTTCTAATGAAAAATAATGGGCTGATGAATTCATTTTCAACTTATATATATAAAAAAAAATGCGAAAATTATTTTCCTTAAGCATTTTAACAGTCGGATACTTTGTTAATTTATCACGTACATTTTAAAGTTCGTTGTTTTATGCAGGTACTACAAGACGTAAGTAATCAGGTGGTATAGTTTTTATTTACTAACGTAGCAGGCGCTTGAGTAGATTCTTAAATATATTTATGTAAATTAATAATATTAAATTTATAATACCTAGCGTGTAAGGTGGACTAGATAAAAGCTCTTGACAGCAAATAGCAGAGGGCGCCATGCTCCCACTGTAGTGAGCGCTACCTATCTGTTAACTCTGTACCAACTTGTTTTAATTTCAAAATCTACTCGTTATCAGCTCTAATCCAATGATTTGTATACCACAGATAGGTCTACATCTAAAAAGCATCATTAATTCATTATCTAAAAAATTGAGTTGAAATATCTATAAAGAACATCGAGATTATAATTATAAGCACCAACAAAAGATTTCTATAGTTTCATTAGACATCAATAAACTATGGCAGGTGTAGGCCTAGTATATATTTTAATTTTATTACAAAACCTTACCTGTGCGTTTGACTATTGGGTATAATTTAAAATTATTATCAAATTCAAGCTCAGGCAAAACAACCTAGGGTCACAACGATTCTATCTAATTGACTAAGTACAAAGCCAAAATGGACTTTAATGCATTTAATATATGTTCCATTATAGTGTTCTAAAAGTATTTTTGCAAATGTAGGTGTAGATTGTCTACGTTAACATGGCACGCCCCTCTAACTTTTTATTTCAATGTGTGTGACCATATACAGATATTGCCGTTAAGCCAGGATCGTAGTTTGACCCATGTTTAAGGTAGAGCAAAAGAACTTTTTGGTAAGGTGGAAGCCATAATTAAGTGACTTCGAAAAAGCGTATCTGTCAAATTTTCTTGGGGCCTTTCATTTTAAGGTATGGCATTGTTCATCAATCGCCCCCCACCTCCCCCCTAGCTATGGTCATGTGCTCTGTTTTTGAAGAAAAATTTTCAATAGCGGTCCAGCCACAGAAGTATTATATTTCTTAGTCGAAACCTTGTAAATATTTTTACTAGCACATTTTAAATTCTTTGGATTTTAGAGTGGTGTGCTATGTTATCGTAAACGAACTATACATGTTTAGGCCGTGTATTTTCCTTATAGTTTAGTACCTAGTGTTCCGCAAAAAAGATTCCTCGGCATATTTTATTAAAATTATTTAAAAATGTTGATTAGGTTATATCTATATCCAACTGGTGGGGTTTATAATGTTTACACATGTTACTGTAAAAGCCCAAGCAACGGTAAATGAAAAATATTCTAGTAAAATATAAGATCGGCAACTGTTAATGTTAAAAATCCGAAGTGTTCCGTGATTATAGTTTAAATTTTACTCAGGAGACGTGATAAATGTCAAAAAATAGACATAATATTAAGACACGTCTAAAGCGTGGTGCATGCGTCGTGGTTATGACAAAAAAAACTTTTTATGGAATCCTTACATTTACCAACTTATGTTGGTAAATTCTAATATTTACTGATGGGGGGGTTAAGATTGTTAGCAATGCGGACTACCAGCCTCATTGCTAGCAATATAGGATATATTGCTAGCAATGGGACCCAGGTCGACCTCCACGTGGTCCTCCCTGGAAACTATCGTGCTGAATTTAAGGTATATTTGTTACGATGGGCTAACTGACTTGCCTTTTGATTCTCACCTATTATCTCTCACTGGTGCCCCGCTAGCCTATACCGTTAGCATAGGCGGGGCTACAATGTCATTATCTTATTTTTTTTTTTAAATAACGTGTGCGCTATTTAAAAAAAAATAAGATAATGACATTGACATTTTAAAAAAACGCCTGCGCTAACGATATACGCTTGCGGGGTACCAGTGAGGGATGATAAGTGAGAATGAAACGACAGGTCAGTTACCCTATCGTGATGAATATATCTGGAATTCAGCATGATTGTTTCCAGGAGGGACCACGTGGAGGTCGACCTGACAGGCTATATATTATATATATATTATTATAATATGTATATATTGCTAGCAATGGGTCTGGTAGTCCGCATTACTAGCAATCCCTTCCCCCCTCTCCCCCTATCTACTAGTTAAACCCAAGATTTATTAACGTACGGACTTTTACAGTAATATTATGACAGATATAATAATAACAAGCTTTGTTTTAGGACGGCGTCCACGATGTTAACAGCTATTAAGACGGACTAGTGCGTACTCTATTCAACAAAGATCATTTACAAAATGGACTATTTGTTACGCTTCTCCTTAGAAGACTTTAAAATGCACCAAGCGATTACGTATGTAATAATTACTTTAATCAATTATTATATGATTTAAAATGGATTTGTGATTTCGCTGCCTTTTCATGGAAAATTATCAAATCCTTGTGTTTATTGTTATACTTACCTAGACGTAGTGGAATGCAGATTTATATTTTTTTTATACAAGTTAGAATAGCAAACAAGCTGACGGCCCACCTGATAGAAAGTGGTAACCGTCACCTATAGACATGAGTAGTACCATGGACATAACAGAGTATACTGTTTCCCCCATGATACCCCCCATGCGTTACCATACCTGAGGACTCAGGTGTTATTCCTCTGTACCCTGTAAATTCACGCCATATCCCATCCTTCAAACTGAAACACAGCCATGCAAACACAACTGCTTTACGGTTGAAACACGAATGGGAAAGAGGTACCCAAGCAAACGACTTTTATACAAAGTCTCCCTCTGGTTACCTGGAGATATTTTTTGACAATTGTAAATTTTTAAACGAAATATTTTCCATGATTAGGTAGGTATATTTTTGTGATCTCGAAGCTTTTACAAGCGTCCTGAGAGTCTACCAAGAAATGTTTTCCGAAATTTTGAGGCCGAACGAAATGGATTGATGAAAAACAAATTTGATGTTAAATTTAAATATAATATACCGTTTAAAAATTTTTAAAATGTTAAAATATCATTACTTTAAACTTTTATGACAGCATTTATGACGAGTTAAATGTTAAACTCCTGGGCCGATTTCGATATGAACGAAAACATAAAATTGAGTCCGAATATTCGGAATTTCATATCATGGTAGACCCTCTGATCGAGTTACCTGTCGTTATGAAATGTAATTGTAAGTAACTGCCTTTTAAATTTAAAATCTTAAATTTTCGGAAATACATCTTACCAAATGTTTTTTAACAAAAAATAAATACTTGAAACCGTGTCGTAGTGTCTTGTGTCGACCCCCGATTTACTTAGCTGGGCTTCTGCCACGTGGCATCGATTTTGAATCTTCTGCCACGTATCGAAAAACGTCAGTGGGCCGGCGGCGGCGGTAGCTCTGGGAAATTTTCGGGTAGAGGCGGAAGTACGTTGGTCTCGAATTGGCCAGATATGTTCCCTGGTGGAGAGTAATGCGCGACAACGATGACCTTACCGGCGCGAGAACGAGCTTTGCCGACTCCGAAGAAGCGGGTCGCCACCCATACCATCTGTGTGAAGTGACCTGTGAAAAATTACATTACTCTATGAAAAAATAGTTTTTTTTTATTGTGTCACGACATGTGATCATAGGATCCAGAGTGAAAACAGAGACATCATGGTCTATGAATACGATCAACCGAAATAAAGAATTTTCTACTCTGAACAGTTGTCGCATAATGCCAGTTCACTAAGAGCTTTTTTACGCTATGTTTTAAGGATCCGATATTATAGGGCGAATAGAACATTTGGTCAATAAAGTTATTTAAATAAAATTAGATAATTAAATGAATATTAGTTTAATAAATAAGTAGATATGAAACGATTTTTTATTAATTAATCAGGTCTTCTAGACCCTCTAGGGTTGAGTGAGGACTTCGGGGCCCCTTTGCCCCAGCTTAAACTTTGGGGGCAACTATCCCCGGATCTCTGGAACTATGCCTCGTTTAAAGTGAGGCGTGGTAATGAAACGATTGAATCGTGTGCAGGATACATTCAATAGAAAAGCTGACCCGGAGTAACGAAAAAAGACGATGCAGAAGAAGAAGGAGAAATGAGTAGTGTTTGAAAATTTCATACCTGCGTTTACATTAGCGTGAAGGACGTCTGGCTCCTTGAAGAAATTGTACTGGCGCACCGCTGCGTACCAATAGGAAGACACTTCTTGGCCTGGAATTATAAGGTAATGTTGTTTTATTTTTATTTATTTATTCATTACATCTCTATATTTAGAAATGATAGAATTTTCATCATGTCTCCGATCAAACTGTTTATAATTATTCCTCTTCATCCAAAGGTCGCCTGGAAGATATCACTCTTAGTAACGAGGCCACCCTTTGTTTTCTTACTATGATTATTTCTTGTAATTGTTTGTATTTATTATAAGTTTATTATTGTTTGGAGGAAACAATAAAGAGTAGGGGGGAGGGATTGTTAGTAATGAGGAGGCTAGTTCCTATTGCTATCAATATACCCTAACAGGTCGACCTCCACGCAGTTCCTCCTGGGAACGCAGTTCCACCTGCTTCATCCTCATCTATTATCAGTCACTGATGCCCCGCCAGTGTATACCGAAAGCGCAGACAGGGTTACCATACCATTTTCACCTATTAAAACAAAAACAATAAAGAGTATATATCTATCCTTAGTGCATCTATATATACAAGGTGGACTTGACACCAAAAGCATTCTCTCGCATTTAACCTTTGGAAAGTGTTAGAATACTTGAATGCGGCACAAGTAATAATTGATATACACACAAAAATTTACATATATAAACAAATAAATATATATAAATAACACATATATAAAGTATACCATATTATACACGAAGATGAGAATAGTAGACAATACGTACAGCTCGGATAAAGTATAAAAGTGGAACATAAACTTTTTTTTTTAATAAGAGTTTAGGCAGAAGTATCACGATGGTATCAGTATTCACATATTTATTTATATTATTGCTAGTTTTAGTTTAGTATTATTAGTTTTATTTATCTGTATGTTTGTTTCGCTAATACTACATTAGTAGTATTAACTAGGATATATATATATATATATATAAATAATTATAGGCACAAGGAAAACAAACTATCATAAAATAAATAATTATATAAATACATATATAAAGAATGGCAATTTTTTTTTAAATGAAGAAACAATCAGTGAAAAGATAATCTTTCACTTGTCGTTTGAAAGCATCAATGTTTGAAAAGTTTAAAAGATCTAACTTAAAAACTGATGTTTATCATGATACGGCAAGTGGTTACTTAACTTTCAAAATTTACGCGTACAAAAATGTTGATAAAAGCGAGTATAGTATAGAATATAAGAATAAACAATAGACACATGACGTTTGTAGGTTATGTACCTACAATTATAAATAGAAATAGTCTAGGATTACAAACTAAGTTACCAACAGTTGAGAACCTGACACAAATAGTAACAAAATAGATTAGCGGTACTGCACATAAAGTAACAGAAGCTATAAAAATAGGATTGAACAAACACAAAAATAGATTGAATGTATGAAAAGCAAAGTAACAAACAATTTAATTGAATTAGCGCAAAATACCAGAAGTAAGAGCAACTACGTAATCCTTTTAATTTATTTGACTTTTAGCAATGTTGAGCAGTGAATTTAGAAGTATTAAGCTTGACTGACCCGTGACGTCAGGCTGCAGGGCGCTGACTGGACGCTGGTACAAATTCTGTCCCACATCCCGATCATTTCTGTAGTGGAACTTGTTTGTATGCGCCAAATGGTTGGCCCATGCCTGAGCGTAATCGCACAGCTGAAAAACAAGCATGGAATTTAAAATATTGGGATCATATTTTAAATACACAATCGGGATTTAAAGTGATAAAGAACCTTTCCAGATAAATAGTACCTACATACTTGTTTCTTTATTACCCATACTGGGATCAATTGTGATCGGAATTCGATCACATTTTACATAATGGATCTATGGGAAAATTAGTAATATCAGGTTAACTTCCAGGCAGTTCCTCCTGGAAACCAATCGTGATTAATTTCCAGTGACTTCATCACGATAGGATAATTGACTTAACTTCATCCTCATCTATCATTGCTCACTGGTGATCCGCTAGCGGACAGCGTTTGCAGGATTACATATTCATATGGCGATCACATACAGGCAAATAATATACAGTGTAGGACGACCTCTTTGCCCCTAGATGAAGTGACGACCTCAAATGCACTGTAGGAATTCAATGGATGCAGGCTCCAGACCGTTCTTTATGCCATGTTCAGCAGTATCAGACAGATAATGTCTAATATTATGATGATAATGAATATAAATCCCTATAAATAAAGGTGCTGGTTGCGGCTACCTCCGGCGCCATGTACAGCTGCGTGGCGCCGTGCCGCTGCCGGTACACGTTGTGCCAGCAGAGGCACTCGGTGATGAAGTCGCTGTCCTGCCACGCGGTGCGCACCTCGCTCCACTGCACCACCATACTCACCGGCTTACTTTGCAGCACCTGTGAACAGTTCACAATAATAGACGATCTAAAGACTTTTTTCATTTCACACAACGCCTAAGCAACTAGAACTAAGCAAACTTTTATTACGGGGATAACTGACAAAAGTCCTTTGACAGAAATTTGGTATACGGATAATATAGGATAGAGAATAGAACGACATAAGCTGCTTTTATTCCGGTCACTGAACATATCCTGGTCACGAGGATGAAAAGCTAGTATTCATATACTTTTTTGTCCAGTAGAAACAGGCATGCTCGTAATCTATACAGAGTGACAGAGTGCTGTCACTAAATTAAAAATAGAAGTATACTTTTAAAGATATTCTCTATCCGAGACACTGAATGTTTTCGTAAAGGAGTATTGTTTAATATGTGACAAAAATTAAAGTTTAACGAAAACAAACAACTATTTAACGGAATGCACGGAGTCCTCGGCGTATGGGTTCAACTTGTAGGTACTTGACTGGATTTGTATAACTCAAATAAACAAATTTATTTATTACAAAATCTTCAGCTCTTAAAAACTATAACATTGTAATGTTATTTTTAGTACTTATTGATGATTTATAGATTTACTATTGTAAATCTGTAATTAGCTATAACGTAGTAAATTTATTACATTATAGCTTATTACAGGTATTATATCAAATATTATATATTTATAATATTTTGCTCAGTAAGCAGTTAAGTAACCACAATGCTCAAACTATCTATATGAGTGGGTATATGTATGATAAACTTACATTGGATAGACGGTTCAGACTAATTTAAGATCTTAGGAACTGTACATAACTACGGCTTTACTTATACAATGGCTGTATTATACACGGGGAGCCTCGTGTTCAGGTATTTTGAATTAATATAGGTCATAGGTAATTGGGATCCTTCCAGTTGGATACGAGCCAAACAAATTTATACAAGAAAACTTGCGTCATATACTTACGTAAGGTACTCGAGTTTTGCGAAAATTTATGCCGGTTAGCTTAGGTGTGCCTAAATGCGTTTTTTTTTATACAACTTAGAATGGCAAACAAGCTGACGGCCCACCTGATGGAAAGTGGTAACCGTCGCCTAGACATGAGCAGTACCATGGACATAACAGAGTATACTGTTTCACCCATGATACCCACCATGCGTTGCCATTCCTGAGGACTCAGGTGTTATTCCTCTGTACCCTGTAAATTCACTGTCATATCCCACCCTTCAAACCGAAACACAGCCATGCAAACACAACTGCTTCACGGTAGAAACACGAATGGGACAGGGGTACCCAAGCAATCGACTTTTGTACAAAGTCTCCCTCTGGTATAGCAATATCTCATCAAAAACATAAATTTGAAATGAGAACCAATTCAATATTGCTAACTAATTAACGCTGCCGCTTGTCTACATCTATACGAGTATATAGTCACTGCAAGTACTTTACTTGGTCTTAATGAATGATAATGGAATGGTAACCCCGCCTGCGCTAACGGTATACACTGGCGTGGTGCCAGATGATTGGTGAGAATGAAAAGGCAGGTCAGTTTGCCCATCGTGATGCAACACACCTGGAATTTAACACGATAGGTTCCAAGGGGAACCACGTCGACCTGACAGCTAGACCTGCTAGCATTAAGACTGATAGAGGGAAATGGGATTGTTAGTAATGGAGACTGATAATCCCATTGCTAGCAATATACCCTGTTAGGTTGACCTCCGCGCGGTTCCCCCTGGAAACTATTGTGATTGAGTTATTATTGAATTCGTCACGATGGGCCAATTGATCTGCTTCATCATTACTTATCATACCGCACTGATGCCCCGCTGGTGTATACCGATAGCACGGGCGGGGTAACCATCTATTATCATTATTAAAAAAAAAACAGATAGTACTCATTACTAACAATTCCCCCCCCCCCCCCCTTAAATTGCTTGATAGGCAAAGAGAGAGCCAAGTACCAAATGCTATCTACATTTGTATTTATTAATCTACATTGTCCCAGACAGATCCACAGAGATACAAAGGTTTATAAATTTATAACAATTATAACCCCCCTAAGGGTTTAAGCTCTTGCATTAAGGGTCGAAACGGTAGTCATCCATTTAAATTGCCTCTTGCGTGCGGGGGGTCGCTTCAGTCGATACATTTGCATACTAGCTAACACTGCTCGGCATTTACATAAAAGGGCCACTTTGTCGGATCGTTATTGAATAATACCAAGTTCATTATATATTTATTGGATATTAAATGGTTATATCTATAAATATTAATGAATATATATATAAATCTTATTTACTATATTGACATTATTTTAAATTTGGAACTATAGGCACCGCTCACCACGTCTGTGCACGCATCATCCAAGCAACAACATGAAGTTCAATAAAAATTTGTGTGATGACGACTCAATAGCTTAGATTATCGAGCCTCAAAAACAGGTCAACTTTTTGTCACCTAATTGTCAAATTAGCTGATTTATTTATTTATCTATATTCTATATATTTACGCATAAAATGTATCTCGACGTAATTTTTAATAAATAAAATGAAAGTTTATGCATTAAAGAGATGTAGAATTTATAAGACAAAATAAATATAGAAATTATAAAGGTATTTCTATGTAGACACTCTATCTATATAATCTTTTTTTTATACAACTTAGAATGGTAATCAAGCTGACGGTCCACCTGATGGAAAGTGGTAACCGTCGCCTATAGACATGAGCAGTACCATGGACATAACAGAGTATACTGTTTCGCTCATGATACCCCCCATGCGATGCCATTCCTGAGGACTCAGGGGTTATTCCTCCGTAACCAGTAAATTCACGCCATATCCCACCCTTCAAACTGAAACATAGCCATGTAAACACAACTGCTTTACAGTTGAAACACGAATGACGAAGGATAGAGGTACCCAAGCAATCGACTTTTGTACAAAGTCTTAATAGTTAGGTACTTCGTTCAGTATGCAATTAAATACCTTTTTTCATCAGAGAAATACAAAAACGACTTCTTGTTTTTATTTTATAAAAAAACTTATTTCACTTAAACGCCATAAAGAATGGCAAGAATAGATTTGGTACATTATTAGCACAAATTAGACCTATATTCTTTTAGACAGGCACATATAAAGGACTAATGAAAAAGTTGTCATAGGTAGGTTGGAGATACGACTCTTGCAAATAATCGACTAATTGGAAAAGTTTGAAGATTCTCAAGCGAGTGCGGTCGAGTGAGTGCTCGTGAGAAATCTCTTCGTATATAGGACGCTCTAAACGCTGGGTAGGTGCTTAGAAGACTATATTTATCTATTCTATATGTAGATAAAGATGAGTCCATATAGAGACATTATTTGTAAAAAGGTCATGATGATATGCACTATGCTCACAGGGAGTCGGATCTGTATTGTATATTTAAGTATCTATTTACAAATTTTAAAGTCGATTGCTTGGGTACCTCTGTCCTATTCGTGTTTCAACCGTGTAGCAGCTGTGTTTGCATGGCTGTGTTTCGGTTTGAAGGGTGGGATATGGTGTGAATTTACTGGGTACAGAGGAATAACACCTGTCCTCAGGAATGGCAACGCATGGGGGGTATCATGGGCAAAACAGTATACTCTGTTATGTCCATGGTACTGCTCGTGTCTATAGGCGACTGTTACCACTTTCTATCAGGTGGGCGGTCAGCTTGTTTGCCATTCTAAGTTGTATAAAAAAAAAAAACTTTAAAATGCGCAATCAGGGCTTAACGTGATATAAAAATTATTACATGTAAATATTAACTATATACCTACAACGTCGTGGTCACGACGTGGTGCAATCCGCGTCAAAGCGTCGGCAATAAAGAAGCAGGTATGTAGGTACTATATACCTGTAAAGGCTTTTACATCGCGTTCAGTACCGATTGTGCATTTAAAATATTTACAAATTATTATCTAAATGAAAAGGTTAAGATATCAAATTTGATAAATATTCATATAAATAAAAAAAAAACAATTACCGAATGTATGTAGGCACATTACTACCGAACGGCTGCACTTATTCGGCTAATTCTTTTTTTGTTCTATTTGCAATTATCAGGGCGAAGTTTTGTATGAAATAAAAATTGAAAGTAAAAAGTACACCCTGTGAAGCGGAGGCTGTTCAGCTATTTTTTAATAAACTGAAATTTTTAAATCAGTTAATGACGCAAAAATTAAAAATTAACTGCTTCATATATAACTTAAGTAATTCTGATTGTAGTTTAAATTTGTATACTTTTCTCCATTTTGCAATTTCAAAACAATTACTAAAGAACTTGAATACCGTACAATCTAATATTATTGCCAGTTCCCATTTTACAGCACATGTGGTAGAAAAACAAAACTAATCTATCTAAGATACGATAAAACTGTCGGAGACCGCAACCGCGAAGTCGGCGAAGTGAGCTAAAAATAGCGTAACTTCCCTTTCTTAAGTCTCTGCTACTGTTCTACGATAAATGTCACTTGGATGGAGACACAAAGCCTCCGTCCTTTCGAACTAAATTAAATGCCACTTGTATAGTGAACTACAGATAACATGATACTGCCTTAGATTATATAGATTGAGCATCGAGCCTAAAAAAGAGGTCAACTTTTTGTCAGCTAATTCTCAAATTAGCTGACTCGTTTTTTTTTTAATGTTCTAAATACTTACGCACACAATCTATCTTGACGTATCTATATTTATTTAATAAATAAAATGAGTTTTTGCGCATTAAAAAAGGTGCAGAAGTTATAAAACAAAATAAACATAAAAGTTATAAGGAAATCACTCGTAACTATTTATCACTGACACAATTGTATGAAAAAGTTGACCTGTTTTTCTTAAACTATTTGTGAAACGAACATGGAGATACTCTATCTATGTAATCGAAGGATATTGCTACTAACTTCGTTCACTCATTACCTAGAATTTAAAAGAAAATAATTCCTTCATTTTGTTTCTATCTTAAGTCTATTATTACCTATTTCTTTAAAATTGTTCTATTTCTT